GTCAAAGCTCACAGGTCATCCTCTGAATGTAACTGACAAGACAGAACAACAGTGCTGACCAACAGATGACCTGCCAACAAGAATTCACTCGCAAGGCACTAACAAATTTGCGAAATAACACAATATCACTTGATCAACTGCATCTCAGAATAAGAATCTGCCTAATGCATTCAGCTATCTTAAACCCAGGATGCTCTCTCAATACATTGAACCTTACAAAACTCCTACTACCAAACAGATATATATATATATACGAAAATGTGTAATTGGCTCATCTTCTATTGAACCTTTTCACAGCCTTTTGCTGTGATTATAATGCAGTGTATCATACCTGCGACACATTTGACACCATAGCACCATTGTGACTCCAGTAAACATTATGCGAATAACATGAAACTATATCACTTCCATTGGTCTTTCATGACTGAAACGATCAACATCACCGGTACTCACCTCATTGCATAACATCTCTAACACAACTGGAAACAGCACATGGCATACATACTTCTCTAGCATGTCTCCATTCTCATGGAAACAACTTTCTCAGCTGAGAATTCCCTGATAATAGTCTCCTTATTCAATTAAATGTATCGAGGCCTCACTCCTATGATGTCCCAAATTTGAATGTTGATGAATACTGTACTCACAAGTTCAACGTTGTTTGCATAAAGGAATATTCATTAGCTGCTTATTTCATGCTTAGGAGCGAGAGAACGTTAGTGAGAGGAAATATTGAAATGGTGATGTCATGAAACGATTTTAAACCCTGGACTGGCTCTCAATACAATAAAACAAATCACAAAATTCCTACCACCAAATGGCTACATGTGCCGGAATGTATGAGTGGCATTAATATCAACAGCACAGGAAAACAAGGCCATAACCCATGAACACAGACACTCCCTACCACCATTCAATCTGTGAATTGGTCCAAATAATCAAATAATATTCATGATGTGTTTTGAATATCATAAACTCTCAAACTATTCACCGGGAAACAAAATTATTTTTTTAAAGTTTTTAGTTACATTCCTGAAACATGACCAACAGTTTGAGTCATTCTATAACATCTCCTGTAACTGATGCAGCTGCCCCCCCCCCCCCCCCCCACCTTAACTTCCCTTACCTTTAAATCGATACCTCCCTTTCTTTCATCTTTGATGTGATATTAATCACTGGTCCCACAGCTTCTATTGTATTTACAACACTAACACAAACACATGTCTAATATTGAAATAAGATATTTGGCCTATGTTCTAGATAGTTAGCTCAATACCAACGGCCAGTGTTAACAGTACACTGACATTGACTGATAGACTGACACAGGATTAGACAAAATCTTCACCTAAAAAATGCCCTAAGAAAATCTCAAAATGGCTTCATTAATATGTACATTTACAATACATTGTCATGATTGTCATGAACAAACTGTTAGAGAAAGACAGTATGTGTAGCAGAATTACTTCACTAATGACTATAGCTATTGGTACATTATAGTTATTTCTGCATACTAGGCAAGGTCAGAGCTGCGACACATTAAACGTGTACTTGGTATAACAACCTGTGACAGTATTCTGCATTTAGGGAAAATACTGGATCTAAATAAAGGGTATTACTGTTCTCAGCATAAATATCAAGTAAAAATGGATTCCTTGATACAGTCAGTCTAATAGGGCTTTCACAAGAACAACTGCAGCCTTGAACATGCTCAAAAGACCCCAGATGCAGCACAAGACACTTGATTATGCTCTTTGCACATAGGAAACATGATATAACATGAGATATATGTGCACTCAAACTATGATATCAGAGGTTATCAACTATCCTCAATTATCTAGTGTATCCATCTTCCTGAGGAAGGTAGTTAATTGACTGTAAAAGTCCAGTTTCCACCCTTTCCCAAATAGGCTGGAATTTCCAGGCTCAATTGTAGCGCCATCAGTGGCAATTAAGAGTTATGTCCCTTCTATGTGACTCCTATTGACCAATCAGATTCCATCTCTCATATCACTTGCATTTGCTTGAAACAAAATGGCACGCCTAGTCAAGATGATCTGATCGATAATCAAAATCTACATTGTAATAAAAATGGATCCTACTGCACAAAGTGCATCAAATCACCTCGAGCTCCTTGATAAAAACCATGAAAAGTTTTGGAAAATATCTTTGAGATGGCCGAACCAAAACTTTTGTAAATCTTGTAATCGACCGAAATCTGCAAGGCAGTTTACGAACCGGATGTCGATTTTGCTGCCAGCCAAAATGGAACTCCATAATTCCAGCCTAGTTCAGCAAGGGTGGAAGCTGGACTTTTATAGTCAGTTGACTCTCTTCCCTCAGGAAGTTGCTAGTGCATCACATTTCCAAACTATTATCATAAATACCCTGGACAAATTCAGCACCAGAGCTTCCCTTCTTGATGACAGTCAACTGAATACATCTGGGACTCACATGTGGCATACTGCAAATTTGAACTGCAATTTGAATGAACTTTGCCAACTCTCATGCAGAAGAGACATTTTGATTGGTCGTTGATTTTGATTGGTTGAGCTTTCGCTCATGAGCAAGAGAACTTCTGAGTTTGTCAAAAGTGAGACAGAGATAGTGACGTCATGTCTGAAACGAAGCTTTTGATGGAAAATGGGTCCAGAGTATTGATCATAATAGAATGGAGATGTATTACACTGGATATCAAGAATGAGTTTGTGACATACCATTACATAAAGGTGGATGTGTTCTGCATTTGATCAAACATACTTTGTAGTAACAGAAAAAATAAAGATACAGCATTAGATTGTTCATCATCTTCAGTGATAAATAGACTTGACCCATTCACTACCATAGCTTTTTGATTTGGATTCAACTTACACAAGCTAAATAGTGAGTTAGTGAGTGAGTTGGGTTTAACGCCGCTTTTAACAGTATTACAGTTATATCACGGCTTGTCAGCTTAATGTGGGAGGAAAGCCCGAAGTGATGAAGGTCTCAGACGTTTACCACTTCGGTGAAACCCACGAGCACGGGTATGGTGCTGACAAACCTAGAAACATAATCGGGGCGAACCGAGACTCAAACCCACAATCATAGGTTTCTGGCGTGCCCAAGGGATGCAACTCTGCACAGCGAATCGCGATGCCTTAGACAACTGGCACAAGCTAAATAACTTCTACAAAGCAATATTGGAGTTATGATTGTCAGAAGTCCATGTTCCAGTATGAGAGTGACTAAGGCCACGGACAAATTATTGAGCATGTTTGAGGCATGGGATTAATTTCTTTATGTAAAAAGCATATGATACTGACAATTGCTGAATCTTACTTTACTTAATTTTTATAAAAAATAGTTGAGCATAGTTGCACAGCATCAAAAACTGGTGGGCATTGTATTATATGTCCTGCACAGAACACTGGCTGATATTATTGAAACTGATGGTAAACGGGAAACAAATTATGATTTCAAACCTCATCCACACACTGACAGCTATTTCCTGAAAGTGATGGTAAACAGGAAACTGGGCAAACTCTAAATCTCCATCCTCATCACCATGAGTGTATGCATGGAGAATTAATATGATATACTTAGTGTCCATACACTATACAAGGCATCATGGCTGGTACACAGCAGGGTCCAAACTACTATCTATACATTGTTAGGAATGTACACTTCTGGAGTTCAGTTAATGAGTATTACTTGCAGCAAACATTTCAAACTGTGACAATAGCATAATGAAAGGAATGGAAGAATACATGCAAAAGATACATATAATTCATGAGTTCAAACAAAACTGATTCATGGGTATCACAATGTTCTCAGATTTTTATACACACATTGAATACTTCTTACTATATTGTTATTTAATATTGTTATATTGTTAAGTTAACAGAAATCATAAAGGTGAGTGAGGGAGTTGGGTTTAATGCTGCTTTGAACAGTATCCCAGTTATATCAAGGTGTGTCAGCCTAATGTGGGAGGAAAGCCTGAAGTGATGCAGGTCTCAGACGTTTACCACTTTGGTGAAACCCACAAGCTGACAGACCTAAAGATATAATCGGGGTGAACAAGGATCCGATGTCACAACCATAGGTTTCTGTCGGACCTGAGAGACACAACTCTGCAAAGTGAATTGTGGCGCCTTAGACGACATGGCTACCCGTGCCCCTCAAAAGCGTGACTAGAGTACAAATCATAATTATCCATAATTACAATGGTTAGAACTTGATGATTACGTCCTATTCCAGGGCCCAAGGATTACAGAATAGATATCCCAGAATATTCATGTCTTCATTAACAAGGCAAATTGATTACATGTATATGGCATTTTGTTCACACAAAGTCTTAATAGGATATTTTGCCACTTCAAAACATGAATATGTGTACAAACAAATATACTGAGTATATTAACAAGCCAAGAGGGGTAGAAAGAAGGGTCAGGTAATATCCTAAATCAATAGTCCACTGTTACTAAACCAGTCTTTTAACAAATGACCAGACAAGAAACAGGTATAAAAAGGCACCAAGCACAACCAGTGTTGCTTTGATTCCTAACATTGCATGTATGTTCCATAGGATTGTGAAGCTGGGGGCAAGAATTCTACCACATACTAAACATGAAGATTAATAAGAATCCAGAGCTCCAGATAAGCTGCATATCTGCGTAAAATACACATAAAAAATGCAGTAAAATAAAATCCAAGCGTATCAAATACGCAAAGAACATTACAGATTCGCTACCAAAAAAAACTTGTGCGTATCATCAAAATATTGTGAAGTAACCCTGCGTATTCGATTAGCAAATCAGCAACTTATTTTGAAATTATAAACGGACATTCCGTCAACCTTGCCAAACTCCACGATGACAGTTACATCATGATCATTTGCCAGCACACTTTCTTGTGGAAGTATCGTTCTATTTTTGAGTCCTATAAAGCTCTCAAACCAACACGACACCAGTTTGCAGGGACTAGATGAATAGTGTTTTTAAATATTTAACTTAAATACCCACATGTGTAAAAACTAGTGGGTAATAGAAATTTGAATACCCAGATAGAATTACTGATACTCAATGATTTTAAAATGCATGGGTAAAATACCCACAACACCAAAAGCTTATCTGGAGCTCTGAAGAAACTGAAACAACACCCTAATTCATAGCTTTCATGCAAGTTCTATAAATACAAACTAAATGTTTATGTGGAGGTTCTTTGAACAAATGTGTATAGCTTTATGTACATTATCACATATACACCATTGCTATCACATTCAGGCACATAGTTCTGACTACAAAGAGTCTGTCATAAACAGAAACTGGTTCCTTCAAAATGACTTTCAGCAGATGAGTATCCTTGTTCACTTAAATAATTTAATTTGAATAAATAATTTACATGAATTATTTGAAAACAATTGTTCTCTGGATCAAACCTACAAGCCCTTGTATTTGTTATTGATATAAGATGGTGGCGTATCCTAATCCTTGACTGCCATGAGGGCATTAACATTAAATGGAGCTCAAGAGAGTAGTGAGTGAGTGAGTATGGTTTTATGTCGCTTTTTGCTTCACACATTGTACCCATGTCGGGAATCGAACCCGACTCTTCGGCGTGACGAGCGAACGCTTTAACCACTAGGCTAGCCGACCACCCTGCTCAAAAGAGTAGGTAACAAACTATTTTAATGTGCTCCAAATAACAGGAATGCATGATCCCTTTCTTTCATGACATGTTTTCTGGAAGCAAACTTTTCACGAATGGAAATCAAAATCGATTGAGCAACTATAAGGGCTTTCAACCCTCTCCCCAGGCTAAATTAACTAGCTTTTCAGGTTGGTAATCCTTCTGAGAAACTCAAACAGCAATAGATTTGTCGTCTGATTGTGTTACGTGTAATCAGTGCTGATTTGATTATTAGAAAGATTCTGATAGATTTTTCAATTTTTATACTTTTTTTTGTATGTATGTGTATGTGACTGCTTGAACCACTGGTGACCTTGACCTTCCTGAGACATTGAGTGGTCAGCATCTAGAGGTCAGAACACAACTGTTGGTCAGATGACCGTCCAGACTTGAGGGCACACAGCAAGTCTCTGCGACATTTGTCATCACAGGCATCAGTGGGATGAGATTTGTAGTACAGGCTGAAATGGGGAAAAAATCATTCTGGTGAATGTTCTCCATTTTGTTTTGTGTAGGCCCATATGCCAGTCTACAGAAATGTACATTAACGACAGCTCTAGTCTGATATAAATGGTTGAATTACTACTTAGCAAATCCCTGAATCCTTGAAAGTGGCATTCCCCAGTCTTAGGCCAATCAGATTTCTCCTATCAATGCTCATCCTGAATTACACATACCGTATTCGACGTAAAAAGCGCCTAGGGCGCTCTCAACATTAGAAATGGGGGGCTTTTAATAGAATGTTATTTATGTGAAAAAGAAACAGTCTTGAAAGATAAATTTCGTGGTTTATGCTGACAGCCTGAAATGTTTATATACGTCAGATATATTTTTCCAGAATTTAATTGCGTATTACACGCGAATTATTAAGTCTTTTGTATATTGATCAATCAGAAGGAGTGCTAATTGGGATTGTTCACCAGCAAATATATTAGTAAATATCGCCGTGGGCGCTTGTTAGAGCAGGGCGATTATTACGTCGAATATGGTAGTTTTAAATAATGACATGATGGATATTAAAGAATGGTATTGTTTTACCCAGAACTTGTTGAATTACCAAACAATCTCTTGTTATAATCCCATTGCTTTTAGGAATGAAATACTCTCACACACACCAGAACAGCTAGATGACATAAAGGGAATAAATTAATCAACATACTTGAAAATAACAAATGATATCTATGAATAAATATGCAAAATCTTTGATTGATCGAACAAAAAATGCAAATGCGAATGGTACGATGACAAAGCATCATTGACAAAAGAAAAATTAAATTTGTCAAAATACTTTAATTCATTAAATTTCTGATTTGTTTTAACCTTAAAAACACGTTTTGGTGTGACATGAGAATGTGTCCACTGACATATCGGATGCTGATCTGTTATTCCCTGATAACATCTGAGCCATAAGCCATAATCAAATCAAATAATATGAGTAAGTGAGTGAGTGAGTGAGTGAGTATGGTTTTATGCTGCTTTTAGCAATATTCCAGCAATATCGCAGCGGGGGACACCAGAAATGGGCTTCACACATTGTACCCATGTCGGAAATCGAACCCGGGTCTTCGGCGTGACGAGCGAACGCTTTAACCACTAGGCTACCCGACCGCCCCTCGAATAATATGAGTAAGCTGACCAAGCAACCATCTGACTAACCGAGTAAGCTCACCTACCTGTAATAAGTCTGGAACAGTGTGGCGTTGTCTCTCATTTGATAGATGAGCTTATTCCAATCTTTGGGATACAGTGACTCCATGTTGTATGTGCTCTGCAGTATAATGTAACAGGATAAACTACAAAACTCATCATACACAGCTGGGCCTATCTATATTTGAGACCTGGCAAGTCTCAGCAATACGGTTGGTCCAAGCCTGACCACTGTGATATACTCAACAGCAACATCATGTTGCACATTGAACATTAATAACATCTACAGTTGAACCTCGTTGTGTCAAACTTGTGGGAAAAAAGTCTGACTACCTGGGGTTTGAGACATTCAACACTGTGAATTTTCAAAAACCTGACATCATGTTATGAGAGATTTAATCAGGTCCTGACACAACAATAGATTTCAAGGCGTACATAAAGTTCAGTACCAAGGCTGCTGGTAGTGACATGGTCGGCAACTCTGGCGTATCTATTGCACTATCCCCATCCGGCTTGGGTTCATTGTTTAAGTCACATCTTGAATAATAGATTCACTGACATAATCTTAATCCGTCATACTTGTCATACAACATTCACATGCCATCAACAGTCCCGTGAGAATATTTTACTGTATACTTGCCGCCGATGTGTATACAGTAATCAGCTTGCACCATTATGTGAACTGAGTTGAAAGTTTAATGTTTCGCAAATGTGGGTATGTGGCATTATTTGTTATTTTGAACTGTTCGAGTCATCAGGGGGATTTCATGCTTAATATGGATACTTGGGACCCTCATATTATTTGAGATGACCAAGAATTTGTTCCATCAAGTTTGATAGATCCGAGTGTAAATGATTGTAAACTAAACAAGGAATTCGCAGGGACTGGAAGGTGAGTTTGATACAACAGGGAATTTGACACATCCAAGTACGACACGAGGTTTGACTGTAAAGTTCTTGTGCACTAATATTCTCGGAAGCCCTGAGCTAATTATCAAAGATGATTGAGTGACAAAAATCAGAAAATGACAATCTGAACTTTGTATTTCTGAAGAAAATGTCAGTTAAAAACAATGTTCATGCTACAAGTGAACTGGTTTCCGTGATTGAAACAGATGTAATGTTGCCTCCCATTGGACTTGATGCACATTATTTGCATCCATTCTCAATTTCTATGCGTGTAGCACAAAGGGGATACTATAGTTGTGTTCATGTCATACCATGTTTAAGACATGAGTGTCTAAATACCGGAATTTAGGCACAAGTATTGCAAACATAGTGTGCCATGAACACGAATATAATGTTGCATTTAGAAATTGGAGTACTAAGTAAGTATAGGATTTATGGATGAACAACTTCTTTATTACAATTAAGAGCGACGTTTCGTTGTAGGTTTCAACACTTGCTTCATAAGGGTGTTAGAACCTACACCAAAACGTCGCTCTTAATTGTAATAAAGAAGTTGTTCATCCATAAATCCTATACTTACTACAAATATAATGTTCTGTCTATTTAAGTCACAACAGCAGCAGAACCACAATTTGTCGAATGGCGTCAACAATCTTCAGCTATGACGTCATTTCGAGGGGCCTAACATTATTGCAAGTGCCATGGTTAAACTCCTACCTTGCTTCACAATTCCAAAGGCTGGGTTTGCACGTGCAAAAAAGTCTTACAATGACCGAAAGAGATAGCCTTCTACACTGGACTAATCAAATGAACACACATCTATCTTGAGGTGGCGGAATGCATTACGATACCTTGGCTGTGTATTCCAGCTGCCACTGGGGTGGACTGCTTGCTGTGTTAGCCTGGGTCAAGTTCAGGATATATGTCTCATGATCCAACACACTCTGGAATAAACACAACAGAAGCATTGATAACAAAATATCAAAGAGAAAGCATCAAGTTTCAGTGTCCAACAAAAGTGAGTGATTGAATGTTGTTTTACCCAGAATTCCTGATATGTCCTGGTAGACTGTAAATAATCAAGTTTGAACCACGTAAGTTAGTGACCGAGAGCATCAGCATGAATTATCATACCATTGATGACATCTTACGAAAATCATGAGGTACATGTACTTTTCTGGGCCCGAATCCCAACAGTGTCCAAACAAGGTATGAGTAGAAGAGAAGGTTTGTTTGTTTGTTTGTTTGTTTGTTTGTTGTTTAACGCCGCACTCAGCAATATTCCAACTATATGACAATGGTCTATAAATAATCGAGTCTGGACCAGACAATCCAGACAATCCAGACGATCCACGGAATTGGGAAACAATGACATGCATAAACCAAGTCAGTGAGCCTGACCATCCAATCCCTTTAGTCGCCTTAACGACAAGCATAGTCACCTTTTACAGCAAGCATGGGTTGCTGAAGACCTATTCTACCCTGTATCTTCACGGGTCAGAAAAGTAAGTAACACTAAATGTGCATGTGTCTGTTTACAGTTCGATGAACCAATAAGATATTATTAGTCACATGGGGAAGAAATTGGGCATTTCTCAGGTTGTATATGAAACTTGAATACATACATCTATCAGAATCTTAAATCAAGGTATGATAAAATATAATAACAATTACACGTTCCATATATTGCGAAATATGCATTAATAACTTATTAAAGAATACTTTTGAAAAATAAGAAAAAACAATTATGATTTGCAATTTGATAAAGTGACACAATTAAAAATAAGAAATTAACTGCATCAAATGTTTTGTACGACATGTATTATGAGAAATATGAGTGTTGTCATAGCTTAAGTTGAGAAAAGATAAGACTTTATTATCCAACTTTTAACCCACGTCATAGGTTTTTTTAAATATATGTACTTATATCACCGTATGAGTACACTTTAATAAAAAGGGATACTAACAGGCTAAGATTTGCGTACAGTGAACTGTTAAAAAGCATCAAACAGATAAACATTTAAAAGGCTTATTCTGGCTGGTTTGAATGATTTCCATGCCCTGTTTGTTTTCAGCATGTTTTCAGAATTTAACACAATTGATAACAGTCATGCTTGCTAGGAACTTCTGATTATTTACACTGTTTTATCAGCGTAAAGACCCATAGTATTCAAAGAGTGATATTCTTAGAAGGATGCAAGGAACATCACCAAGGACTAGAATCAAGGGAAGGTAACTCCTACCCAGGAACATCCGGAGTAGTTTGCATCCAGCTCATAGATCCTGTAGCCCAGGTTCAAGTCGGGGTATGGTGTGATGCTTGGCACGATGTATGCCATGCTGACTGGGCGAGTGAAGTTCACATTGTCATAAAACACTTCAAATTCATCTCGGTGAGTGTGCCCAAAAAACTGGGCAGCAATAGTACTTTCAAATCTGAAATAAGAAAAATGGCAATGAAATTAACACTAAACTAATTTCTTATTAACAAATAAAAATTTTATATAGCTATGATCAAAGTAAAAACAATGAACACCTCTTCTCTGTAAGTTGTGTCAAAGTGAAAATTAATCACGGTTATTTCCTAAAAACATGTCTCAAGTATTTTACATTGAGTGACATTTATCTGCTTATAAATAATACATGCTACATGTGCTTCTTAAAATGATGCTTCATGTGCTTAACCTGATGCTACAAGTTATTCTTGATATGATGCTACAAGTACTTCTTGATATGATGCTACAAGTACTTCTTAATATGATGCTACAAGTACTTCTTAATCTGATGCTACAAGTACTTCTTAATGTGATGCTACAAGTACTTCTTAATGTGATGCTACAAGTACTTCTTGATATGATGCTACAAGTACTTCTTGATATGATGCTACAAGTACTTCTTAATGTGATGCTACAAGTTATTCTTGATATGATGCTACAAGTACTTCTTGATATGATGCTACAATTACTTCTTAATCTGATGCTACAAGTACTTCTTGATATGATGCTACAAGTACTTCTTAATCTGATGCTACAAGTACTTCTTAATGTGATGCTACAAGTACTTCTTGATATGATGCTACAAGTACTTCTTAATATGATGCTACAAGTACTTCTTAATGTGATGCTACAAGTACTTCTTAATGTGATGCTACAAGTACTTCTTGATATGATGCTACAAGTACTTCTTGATATGATGCTACAAGTACTTCTTAATGTGATGCTACAAGTACTTCTTGATATGATGCTACAAGTACTTCTTGATATGATGCTACAAGTATTTCTTAATATGATGCTACAAGTACTTCTTAATCTGATGCTACAAGTCCTTCTTGATATGATGCTACAAGTACTTCTTAATGTGATGCTGCAAGTACTTCTTAATCTGATGCTACAAGTCCTTCTTGATATGATGCTACAAGTACTTCTTAATGTGATGCTGCAAGTACTTCTTAATCTGATGCTACAAGTACTTCTTGATATGATGCTACAAGTACTTCTTAATCTCCACTGAGAGGTCATAGCAGTAAATCTAACAACACTGTAAATAAACTTCATCATCACCTGTTTACAATGTTGTAGTAGTTCCAGCTCCAAGCCTTCAAACATTCCTTGATACCAGGAGGCATGTGACCCAGAATATGTACCTACAGTCACACAATCATACAATCAAACCATACTAATACATTTGCATTATTTATATATCATGTAGTTATTATGTAACACCACAAACCACATTCCTCTTCAATGTAAATATACCATTTCTGCCTGCCACGTTTCATCACGAGTCAAGCATGAAGTATTTACTGGTATATGCATGTTAACACATCTTTCTCACAATGACAAGGTATTACCACATCCAGACTTCTTTAATCAGGATACTATATTGTAAGGCCTTCCTTTTGAAATGACAAATTGTTTTGAAAGTGATCATTTAGTTACTGACAAGTATATTTTCTCTGCAGTAATTGTCATCTTTCCATTCAAGTGAGTTGATAGTTTGGTTTATACTGCTTTAAACAGTATTTCAGTTATATGACAGTGTGTCAGTTTGGTGTGGGGGGAAAGCCCGAAGTGATACAGGACTTTGACATGTACCACTTTGGTAATACAAGGAAGGGTGGTGCTGACAAACCAACAGGCATAATCTGGGTGACTCTGGGATTCAAACCCAGGATCATAGAGTTCTGGCACACCAAGGGACACAACTCTTCACAATGTAACAATATCAAGTCCAAGAGGTATACATGCATTAGGATTACGGCTAGTTGTCAGAACAATATTTTAAATTTTGCCAACTTTACAACTTGGATATTATAATTATTGGCATAACACAAGGACCATTTACTGAAATGTCTATTTTCTGAAGAGCGTGATGCCCAGCACTTACCTTCTCCTTCTTCTTCTCAGCATCCTGCAGCACATCTACCAGCCACTGTAGCTGGCCGGCTGGGTCAGTCGTGTTTAGTAGCAGCCACCTGAAGATTTAGGGATAAGCCTTTGTGTAAAGATTAGAGCATGAGGACCCAGTGTCTTACCACTAAAATCGTTAGATAAAGACAGAGGTGCAGAATGGTTTAACAAACCATCTCCAAGATTATACACCAGGATTCTGAGTATTCTAACCTCTACATAAATGGTCGTACCAGGGAAAGGATACTATTCAAATAGGACCAACTAGCGCATATGTATCAATTAAGTACACATAACTTGCTGATGTTGAAGGGCCTAATATGAGAAAAGAAAGCCCTGTGTTTCTTTTAATAATAAACTACCAAATAACATGCATATTCAATGACTAGAATAACATACTCATATTAACTGTCACTCATGTTGGTCTTGATGATAGTAAATATTGAATAATGTATTGCACTGAATTTCTGCCATGAGGCTATGCAGAAGACAACAGAGAGCTCCAGATAACTTTCTGAGCAATTGAGTTTTTATTTGGAGGTTTCTATTTTAATTGGGTTATTACATTTTTCATTGAGTAACCAATAGTTTTTCACTCATCTATTCATCATTCTATTGCTTTTTTCCAAAAAAGAGTAAACATTTTGAGATTTAAAAAAACCCATAATAATCTTTCAGATGTATATGAGGGTTCTATCTATAGGCTTGACTCGGAAAGTAAATTAGCTCCATTATTTAGGCATACTGTTTTTATACATTTGAGTTTTTCATTTAATGCATGCAATTCTGTACGCAAGTTAATTGAAAGTAATTATGTTTTGAATATTTTGGGGGGTATTTAACGCAGATATGCAGCTTATCTATAGCTCTGCAACAATCATTATTTTACTGTGCAGATGTTGTAGGTACGACTGTCTGGCCATGCTGGCAACCCACATTTTTCATCTCATTGTTCCAGAATCAAAGATAGGAAAACAGAAGACATAGGTTTAACTACTCATTCACCAGGAATTCTGAATCCCAAAATGTATACATTGTTCCCTTGTGTGCCATGTGATTCTTACCAGTTCTGGTTGTTGCAGTAGTTGGTATTGACGGACACGATGCGCAAGCCTGGATAGGGGGACACCTCATAGAAGCTGCCTCTGTTAAAACAAAAAAAATGTCCATCTTAGGCAGACCAGCCAGCTTATAGTAACTAGGTGAGTACGTTTTACATCACTTTTAGCAACATTCCAGCAATATCACGACATGGGACACCAGAAATGGGCTTCACACATATTACCCATGTCGGGAATCGAACCCGGGTCTTCGGCGTGACGAGCGAACGTTTTAACTGCAAGGCTACCCGACCACCCCAACTCATATAATTGAAATCAACCCGAGGCTTTTGGCATGAAGGGCGATTGCTTTAACAACTCACGGAACAAGGCTATTTCAAATTTGCAACATTTAAGATCAAATAGGGAAAATTAGAACTTTTTTTAAAGGATGTTTAAAGATAAGCAAATATGAGTGAGTAAGTAAGTATGTTTTTACGCCGCTTTTAGCAATATTCCAGCAATATCATGGCAGGGGACACCAGATATGGGCTTCACACATTGTACCCATGTCGGGAATCCAACCTGGGTCTTCGGCGTGATGAGCGAACGCTTTAACCACTAGGCTACCAGACCGCCCCAGCAACTATGAACATTTACATAATATACATCATATATACTACTCAAAACAAGTTTAGGAACAGACAATTGGAAGGCTGAGTTGCAATACCCAGAAGCCTGTAATGTGCCAAATACAGCATTACTGCAACAAGTTTCTGAGAAAATCTACAAAATGAGTCCTTAGCACCCATGAAATAATCAGCTATGTTCTCACAGTTTGATGGTTGCCTTGGTATCCTGAGGTAACCAGTTGAGCCAGCTGTCGGCGATGGCGTCGTACAACCAGGAGATGGAGTTGTTGTTGGTAATGAACGGAGGAGGAAAACTGTTGAATGTAAAAAGTGCAAGATGTCCTCATTGTGTTTGTTCACATGATTATGTATTTAATATCAGTTCATATGAAGGACTTTTTCAGACACAAAAGTATCATATTTGTCTAAAGTTGTTTAAAATAATCATAAGGCTCTGAAAGGAACATTTTGGTTTCCATATTTTTTAATCAGTCATAGTTGAGTAATGGGACATAGTAATGCCCATTGAAATTAAAGCCTAGTTTAGAAAATGAATTAGAGTACCGGTAATGTCCCTTTGATCAAATATGGCGTTCCACAAGACTCAGTCAGGACTAACAATGTCCACTCATGAAGCTCTGCGCCTCAAAGTCTGATTTGTCAAAGACACATGTTGCTTAAAAGAAGAAAATTTATTTTGAAATTCACTGTTAAATCGATCTTGTTATTTGTGCATACATGTTGCTTAGATTGCACATATTTTCTATCTACAACAGCAATGAAGGTATATTCCTCATACAGGCCTACCTGTTGACTGGAGAACTCTCATGGTTACCCAGTGATGAGTAGATGGTTTTCTTCGGGAAGTACTTCTTGAAGAGCTTGGTGAGTCTGTCAATGGCAGACAACTGATCATCTCTAGATTGGTTCCAGATGTCATGAGCTGGGAGGTCGCCTGTCCACATGACATAGTCGTACTAGAACACAGACAACCATGTCATTTACAATCACATTAGACAGATGTTAAATTGATATTTACTCAATAAACTCAAGGCCCATGAAGATCCGGGTTAGAACAGGTCTTCAGCAACTCCTGTTTGCTTGAAAAGGCAATTATGCTTGTTGTAAGAGGCAACTTTACAGCATGAGTAAAGACCCATGCCAAAGGATGATGCATAAACAGCTAGGTGACACATTGTAGCCATCCTTTCTTCACTAAACCTTTCGTTGCACAACCATGGAGAAATAACAAAAATAACTGTACCTCTGTAGACTTGTTCTGCAGATGCTCAAACAGGTTCTCTAGGGTCGACAAGGGTGTGTCACAGTTCCTGTAGTCTCCCCACTGCCCCGCCCCCATCTCTCCTGGATCTAGACACATACAACAGGGAGAGAGATATTACACTACAGTCTCCCCACGGCCCTGTCCCCATCTCTCCTGGATCTAGACACATATAACAGGGAGTCAGGCATTACTGTATTGTCTCCCCATTGCCCCGCCCCATCTCTCCTGGATCTAGACACATATAACAGGCAGGCAGATATTACACTACAGTCTCCCCACAGCCCTGCTCCCATCTCTCCTGGATCTAGACACATATAACAGGGAGTCAGATATTACACTACAGTCTCCCCACAGGCCTGCTCCCATCTCTCCTGGATCTAGACACATATAACAGGCAGTCAGGCATTACTGTATTGTCTCCCCACTGCCCCGCCCCCATCTCTCCTGGATCTAGACACATATAACAGGCAGGCAGATATTACACTACAGTCTCCCCACAGCCCTGCTTCCATCTCTCCTGGATCTAGACACATATAACAGGGAGTCAGATATTACACTACAGTCTCCCCACAGGCCTGCTCCCATCTCTCCTGGATCTAGACACATATAACAGGCAGTCAGGCATTACTGTATTGTCTCCCCACTGCCCCGCCCCCATCTCTCCTGGATCTAGACACATATAACAGGCAGTCGGATATTACACTACAGTCTCCCCACAGCCCTGCTCCCATCTCTCCTGGATCTAGACACATATATCAGGCATTACTGTATTGTCTCCCCACTGCCCCGCCCCCATCTCTCCTGGATCTAGACACATATATCAGGCATTACTGTATTGTCTCCCCACAGCCCTGCTCCCATCTCTCCTGGATCTAGACACATATATCAGGCATTACTGTATTGTCTCCCCACTGCCCCGCCCCCATCTCTCCTGGATCTAGACACATATAACAGGCAGTCAGGCATAACTGTATTGTCTCCCCACTGCCCTGCCCCCATCTCTCCTGGATCTAGACAAATATAACAGTAAAGTCTAATAGCTTAAGAAATATAGATCTGGGTATTGAACAAATATTGTCATAAATGGGTCTTGAATAAATGGGTCAACTGATCACAGTATCTCATTGTCAACCCGTTGAGGATACAGGGTAGAATAGGTATTCAGAAACCCATGTTTGTCGTAAGAGGTGACTAACGGGATCGAGTGGTCAGGCTCGCCGACTTACTTGATGCATATCATCGTATCCCAATTGTGTGGATCGATGCTCATGATGTCAATCACTGGTTTGTCTGGTCCAGGCTCAATCATTTACAGACTGCTGTCACATAGCTGGAATATTGCTGAGTGCGGCATTACACAACAGACAAACAAAACAAATATCTCACTGTCCTATGAACTGTTCTAGTGTATATAGATATAGATCAATATTTTCATGTAAGTAGACTACATTCACATTGAATGTGACAGTTAAAGCTTGTAAATAATAACAAACGGCGAAAACATAATGGATATATATTTTTACACTATGAACGGTAAACAACTTGTATCATTGCAATGTGCGAGACAAGGCGAAGATCGTGAGATTGGCCGAGTGCGCTCCCCTGCCTCGGCCTCGGTTAAACGGCTCATCGTCTATAACGCCCACCAATTATTTGGACCCCATAGGTAGCGTTGTAGCGAGGGATCAATGTAGTGTAAAACCAGGAAAATATTATTTGAAATGACTTTCTTCCTTGTTCATGTTGTTACAGAAAACCATATAGCCCCAACTTTGGAATATAGTGATTTATCATACCTCCATGTCAGAATGATGAGATCTGATTGGTCCACGTGATCTTGACAAAATACTGTGTAACCCGCCTTGGAGTGTAATAAATTTATCAGCGGGGAATAAATCTCTTAAACCCCACCACGAGCAATAAAGGCTGCATTTGCATTTCTGAGAGACAGAACAAATCTCTTATACCCCGCTTCAAAGCAAAGAGTTGCACGCTTTTTCTGAGTCAGTGGAAGTCACGTGACATAGCACAAGTTAACCTCAGCTCAATCAATTTTTAATTTGTGTTAATTCATCTACAATGTCACATTGATGGTAAAATAAATTTATTGTAGCAGGATCACTTGGGGTACATAGGTACATTTTATGCATCCCTCAGTTGGTTTAATTCGCAAAAAAAAAACCTTGTGATCCTGGTACAACTTATAATGTGTTTGATAGAAATACAAAAATGTTATGGATATTTTAAAACTAATTCAATCGTTTTACTATATGTCACTAACCCAGTTTTCCATCGTCGGCACGGCAACAGAGTGGCTCCTTACACTCTGCCCTGGCTCCAGGCTGGTAGAGGGAGTCAAAGTGGATGTCGGAGATATGCAGTACTCGCAGTTTGGGGGATCCCGGCTGTCAACATTTTATATTTACACAATATTTTTAATAATGTAAGTACTTTTCAATGATAAAACTACATAAGTCAACATGATTTGTTTGTTGGTTTGTTGTTAACGCAGCACACAGCAATATTCCAGCTACATGACGGCAGTCTGTAAATAATTAAGAATGGACCAGACAATCCAGTGATTGAGGTCATGGGCATCAATCCACGCATTTGGGATACGATGACATGCATTAACCAAGTCAGCGAGCCTGACCATCATGAGCCATGAGCCAGACAACAATATAATCAGGCCTTGTTTGTCATGCTTAGGTCCATGTGACCAAGCTTATAATCAAATAGATTCAATTATAAACAAGTGCAAAAGTGAGCGTGGCTAAATAATACCACCAACCCGCCTGTGTGTCAGTAGTAACAAATTAGGGTTTGAAATTTATTTTTTTTAAATTACCGGTAATCATGGTAATAAAAACATTTTTTTTCGTTTGACTGCTCCCCTCCACATGACACAGATTATATGTACTAAGTTTGAGATGAATCCCCTGAATAGTTTAAGAGAAATCGCGCGGACAAAGTTTTTGGACGGATGTTAGGGATTGAAAAATTAATTAAAAAATAGAAAATTCATAAAAAAATAATTTTTCTTTTGACTGCACCCTTCATATGACACAGATTATATGTACTAAGTTTGAGATGAATCCACTGAATAGTTTAAGAGAAATCGTGCAGACAAAGTTTTTGGACGGATGGACGGACAGACGGACAGACGGAATCTTGGTATAACTATATACCCCCGACATTTTGTCGGGGGTATAATAAAAATATACCTAGCTATTTAAACTGTCACTTGCTTACAACTTCATGAAATACAAAGTCCTTTAAAAATAGCACATTTTCTCCTTAATCTTCAAATATTTTCCTTATCCATAAAATGAATTGCCAACAAGGTAAATCCAATAAAATCTCCTTCCTGCAAGAGTTTCACTATGCACGCACGTTCATTGTCATATTAGCACACATGTTGTATTTGTCTACCCAGAAGTGAAATCTTTGATACATCCTGTCAGTGTTTCCTGCTTGCACTATGTCACTTCCTTTATTCCCTCTTTGTGATGGGTATACATGGTATAGTGCTGGTTTTCGTACAGACTGACACTGACCAACATATATTGCTTACTTTCTTTCATCTATAATTTGTTGCAAACCTGATAAAACAAACGGACCCATATATCGGACTTCCCCTGCACAGTTTTGACAACTTCACGTCATATTGTTAGGTGTTACTATGGTCACAAGGCGGGAGCAATAGACACATTTTAAACAGGAGTGTGTGAGTGAGTGAGTATGGTTTTACGCCGCTTTTAGCAGTATTCCATCAATATCATGGCGGGGGACACCACAAATGGGCTTAACACATTGTAACCATGTGGGGAATCGAACCCAGGTCATCTGCATGATGAGCGGACGCTATAACAACTAGGCTACCCCACCGCCCCTTCAATCACAGGAAAGTTGCTACTTTCTAAATACTTTCTAAATATCCTAATTTCATTTTGACTTGTCACTGGTATAAACTTTGCCAACAAGATGACAATATGCATAATTTTGAAAATCACAAGATACCATCATGTTCCTTAATTTTCCAAACATATTGTGATACATATTGATCAGCATTTCAAATCTAGTATACTGGTACACTGGTAATCCTGCGAACCTCTAATCATTTTGTACGATTCATGCAGAACATTTTGAAAAGGCAGAGAAAAGAGAAAAAAAGACTGTCAAACTGGTAGCCATGACAATTTCTGTGAGCAAATTTTAGAGACATCAGAGTTTAGATAATTTTAGCATCACAAGTACGTTCTCCTTATTTCAATATAGGAGTACTGGCAAAACTAACGTTTGTTTGTTGATTTGTTGTTTCACACTGCACTCAGCAATATTCCAGCTATATGACGGCGGTTTTAAAATAATCGAGTCTGGACCAGACAATCCAGTGATTGACATCATGAGCATCGATCCACGCAATTGGGAACGATGACATGCATCAACCAAGTTAGCGAGCCTGACCACCAGATCCTGTTAGTCGCCTTTTACGACAAGCATAGTCGCCTTTCACGGCAAGCATGGGTTGCTGAAGACCTATTCTAACCCGGATCTTCATGGCAAAACTAAAGAGCACCCTTAGAGTACTGCATGGATTTTAGTGGACTAATTTTGGATATGTACCAGGTCATATAACAGGTCAATAAACAATAAATAAAGTTTACTCAGTTGAACTTTGTAGCTTAGAACCACCTGTGTGACTAACAAGTGCCACTAGTAAGCAGTACGTTCAATTTTTGTGCAACAATTTCATGACTTGACTGTTTAGGAGTCGCCAGCACACAGTCTTGTTTGGGAAAGAAACTTGTGATTGATTTCTGAATCGCCATGTTTATATGCAAAATACACATTTTTGACCAATTAGATTTAGCTGCAGTATGCTGTTTCCTTAGCAATTGGGTTTTCGCACACAGTGAAAATGAAAAGGGGAAAGCCATTTTATTGCGAACACAAAGTAGTTTTCAAAGAAGATGCTGCTTGAAATCAGAATGTTATTTTGCAAAATAAATGAATCTTAAACCATATATATATGTTCTGATGCGTATATGATCTCGCATATTTGTATCTGTACATATGCCAATACGGCCTTTATGTGGAGCCCTGAGATATCATTGCTGGCATTATATACACAAAGTTTCAGCTTCATAAATAGACAGGTTTTCAAGCGGTGAATGTGAAGATTTGAATGCTGTTCATTAGTCATGCATCACTGTAAAAGGACTTGGAATGTATGCTGCAATCTGAATTAATCTGGTTGCAAAACTTGTTGAATGGTATTTTAAACTTGGAAATCTTTGAGACTTTTCACTGCGTAGGAATACTTTTCTTGATAAGTATCTACTTTTTTTTCAATCAACTGGCAAAATGTATAAGTTCAATTAATATTCATCAGAACAACTTTGAATTAGTTCGTTTTTTTCACATTTGGCTAACCAAGTGAGTTCAGTTACCATGGAATCCAATGTATCAAGATGTCAACGCTCTCCAGGGTGAAGACATAGCATTTCAGAGTAACGTCATTGGCACAGGTTGCATCGAAATTCACTGTGCAGAGTTTTGTCCCTTAGGCGTGCCAGAAACCTATGATCCTGGTTTTCGAATGCTGATTACATTTCTAGGTTTGTTAGCACCATGGATTTCACCGAAATGGTAAAAGTCTGAGACTTGCATCACTTTGGGATTTCCGCCCACATTAAACTGACACCCTGGAGTAATGTTCAAAGCAGAGTTAAAACCCAACTTACTCAATCTCTTACAGACCCATGAAGATTCCGGGTTAGAATAAGTCTTCAGCAACCCCTACTTGCCGTAAAAAGCGACTCTGCTTGTCGTAAAAAGCGACTAACGGGATCGTCAGGCTCGCTGACTTGGTTGATACATGTCATCAATCCCAATTGCGTAGATCAATGCTGATGATGTCAATCACTGGATTGTCTGGTCCAGACTCGAATATTTTACAGACCGCGTCATATAGCTGGAATATTGCTGAGTGTGTTAAACATCAAACAAACAAACAATCTCTTACAACTGTCAGAGTTCAAATAGAGTGCTTCATAAAATGATTGATAATTTTGCATTTACAATGTCGATAAAGATGAAGTGTTTTTCGATTGGTAAGGCATCATAGAATATTTGATTTCCAGGGATTAAATACCACATAAAACCCGCATATCTTAAAACATTTAATATATTTCTACTTAATATGCACCAAAACATGTAGTACAATTTTTAGGTTATTTCTCATGCCACATCCTTACTGCTTATCAGTTTTCCTTACAATACATGGAGGAGTAACTGGCAATTTTCAATATGTTGGCCATGTCTTAAATCAGGTAGATGAGCAACTCAGAGCCACCAAAATTGAAAGTGACTGCTTTGACGGCCTTGTGGTTTCAGAGCATATTGAGATGATGATAAAGATGTCTAAGTTTACCACAGACAGATGAATGGATGGACAGGGGACCACTGACTACATGTCACACCAAAAGCCGACTTGAACTGATATTTTAAGTGTAAATAATTAAAATCTGAAAAACACTATTTTTGCTTTGGTCAAATAACAGCAAAATACTTCATGAAAACTCTAAAATCAACACATTCGATACATTTCAGCCTTAACTAGGCATTAAGAAGTGGAAACATGCAATTGTTGAAAGGAACAAAGTTAATTTTCATTCCTCCGAAAACATACGCTAAAAAATATATTTATGCATATTCAACATGTTCATAAAGGGTCCTTATGATACCTTGTCATTTAAACATTCACCAAAGAAATGCTCTGTGTACTATAAGCTCAGTTATCTCGTCGGTCTTGACGTTTAGTAGGGGTGTCACAATAAATCGAAATATCGATATATTGCTTCTGGTAAGCACATAAAGTCAATAAATCGATTGTTAAATCAGTTTCCGATCAATAGTATCGATTGTTGTTAGGAATATCGATAGTTTCGATTGTATTTACCATATCAATAAAATACATGCAATGCTGTTCACATTTGTTTTTCTTTTGATCAAGTAATTTACACATGGTAATGTAAAGTTTCTTTTTCTTAAATTATTAGGGTAAAGAAAAAACAAATCAGTCATATCTCAAACTTTACTTTTTGTTGTTGTTGTTGTTATGGTTATCACATTCAAAGGAAACTTCAGTTCCAAGGTTCAATCCAACTCTAAAATCCATCTAAAATGATACACTGAAAACTATCGATATTTATCACAATAGTTGCTTGCAATACCAAAAGTTATCGCAATAGTTTGTTTCAATATCAATAGTTATCGCAATAGTGATTTCCAGACCAATAGTCACCCCAAACGTTTAGCCAAACGGCAAGACGGACGAGATAACTGAGCTTAACTATACACATGGCAATATTTCCAAATAACATTTTCCCCATCTTATGACCATGCCTACCAACCAGGACATTTACCGTAACAAAAACAATTCCACAAACTATGAAACAAAAAATCCTCACTACAATGCAATTAGCATCCGATGAATGTTGATGAATTTGCAGTTATCTCAGTAAGGTGATAACACTAGATTTAACATGTTCCAGACCCGTGAAGACCCGGGGTAGAATAGTTCTTTCGCAAACAATGCTTCCAGTAAAAGGCGACTATGCTTGTCGTAAGAGGCGAGTAACGGGATCTGGTGGTCAGGCTTGCTGACTTGGTTGATGCATGTCATCGATCCAGATGGCGAGGATCGATGCTCATGATGTCAATCACTGGACTGCCTGGTCCAGACTCGATTATTTACAGACCGCCGTCATACAGCTGGAATATTGCTGAGTAAGGCGTCAAACAACAAGCAAACAAACAAACATGTTCCACATGTCTACATGGTCTAATGGAAGTCAAAATGGTCAATGGGTTAACATGGTTAAAAGTCAAAATATTGAAAAAAGCTTAACACATGTTCCGAACCATGTCACATAGACACAATACCAAAATGAGCACAGACACATAACTGCATATACTGACGTTTATGCAAATGTCCAACTAGTGTTAGCTCGAAGGGTGTCGCCAGCACACTATTGCTAGTTGTAAGAGGCGACTATACTGGGAACGTGTGGTGATGCCATTTTAGAAATGGTCCCTAGAGGCCTATGCTCATCATAAGAAGCGATTTAATTGACAGGGTGGTTAGGCTCAATGACTTGATGACATGGGTCATTGTTCATAAAATCAATCACAGGATTGTCCACACTCTGTTATTCACAGTCTGAAGTCTCATAGCTGGAATACTGCTGAGTACAGTATTAAACTGAGTTGAGTGAGTGAGTGAGTATGGTTTTACGCCGCTTTTAGCAATATTCCAGCAATATCACGGCGGGGGACACCAGAAATGGGCTTCACACATTGTACTCATGTCGGGAATCGAACCCGGGTCTTCGGCGCGACGAGTGAACGCTTTAACCACTAGGCTACCCGACCGCCCCTAAACTGAGTTGGGTATTCATGTTAAACTGCGCTATGGTATCTCAGTTGGCTAGCACTATAAATCAGCATCAGTCAGGACGAGTGCAAGCAGCCACAAACACGCACGCACGCACACACACACGCACGCACGCACGCACGCACGCACTGTTATTTTTTAATTTGGTGGCCAGTTAGAGTCAGTTCAGGATTCTGGGGGGTTGGTTGGGTAGCCTAGTGGTTAAAGCGTTCGCTCGTAACGCCGAAGACCTGGGATTCGATTCCCGACATGGGTACAATGTGTGAAGCCCATTTCTGGTGTCCCCCAGCCAAAACCATACTCACTCACTCAGGATACTGGGTAATTTGTAAAAATTTGAGCATGCCGAGCATATGCTGAGATATTTGTATGGTTGGATCTTCAAATGATTTACAAATGCTTAAAGGGATCATCAAACAAAAGTTCAAACAAGTCAAAAGGACAGACATATTGACAGATATTATAAGTCAAAATATGAAGTAAACATGAAGGATATCAAAAATCAGATTTTTTTTAAAAAGAATCACCTTGTAGCATCATCCATACAAAGCTTTAATTTAATTGTGTGTTTTCTTTTGGAGTATAATACATGAAAAAATGGTGAGGTAAAATGGGGTTTAACAGCACGTTTAAGACAATTGCACTTACATAGTGACAAAATACATGAAAAGAAACCAGAGAAACACAAAATACTTGCATACTTACAGACGGTGGTTTGGGAGGTACTACTGGTGGTTTTGGGGTACTCGGTAGTGTCACATTCCAGTTCTCCAGGGGATTGTAAGGGGTTCCACATGTTGAACCAAAGAGTGTTCCACAAATTTCGTCAGGTTTTAACACCAACTTATCTATGACTGTCAAGACTTCATTCTGAAATCAAGTCATTTGAGAGTATGTTAATGCTATTCTATGCACCAACAGTGATGGAAATTGGCACTAGTCCTATAGTCCTTGCAAAACTGACCAATAGTTAAAGTATCATATGGACTAGAGGATATATGCCATTCTTAAGGGTTTTGTTGTATGTTATCATTATCAGGACCAGTGGAATAAAAATGTTAGTTCAGAGCTCCAGATAACTTTTTTGAACAATTGAGTTTTTACGCTAGGGTTTTCTATTTCAATTGGGTTATTACATTAGTCATTGGGTAACCAATATTTTTTCACTGATCTATTCATCACTCCATTGGGTTTTTCCCCAAATTAGTGAACATTTTAAGATTAAAAAACAATGAAAAAATATTTTAGATGTATAGGATTGACTCGAAAAGTAAAATAGCTTGTTATTGTGTTTCGGAAATTCGCTCCATTAAACGCATGCTGAAAAAGCTTCATTGGATATTTAATCAAGCTTTTTTCATACATTTGAGTTTTTCATTCAATGCATGTGTTTCTGTACGCAAGTTAATTGAAAGTAGTTTCTAACGCTTATCAACAATAGTACTCAGGCAAACAATTACAAAATAGTTACCATCATCATCATCATCATCATCATCATCCCCTCCCCCACCCCTCGAGGTACTCTCATCAAAAGGGTCAAGGATATTTATCAAGATAGAATGAAGATATAATACACTGAATAATCAAGGATGAGACTATCTGACTCACCTGAAACTCCTGTACAATTGCAATACACACTCTGTCATCCTGCAGACCAAGGTCGATGCAAACTTTTGTCAATAAATCTGCAACTTGTGCCTTAGTGTGTCCCTGCTTAAAGTAGACTTGCGCCCAGCCGACTGACAACTTGCATATTTCACATTCAGTCGAATGTAGCAGTGAGCTATGCTCAGTACCTATCATGCCTATAGGCAACTTTTGGGTGAAAGTTTCGCTAAACTTCGGAAGAAATTCTCTAAAGAGTCTTTTTGATGGTATATGTGGATCATGTCTTTGGTACCATAGTGGACTGGCTTGACAGCTAGACAGCAGAAACACAGTACCACATAGCAATAGAATGTATTTTCCTAAAACTATCATTTTAGAAGATCAAAATCTGTTCCTCGTTGTGTAGATGTGGAGCTGATCTGAAAATAAAAAGAATACAATGTTACAGGCTTCATATCTACTAATTACTGCAGCAAGCAGTGTTCGAAATAACTGACTGTGGCTGGTAACTTTTCTGACAGGATGCAAGAAATTTGTCTCCACCTGCCCCACTGTCTGGCAGATAATTTTAAGACTACTTACAATTAAGATTAATTATAACTCCTTGCTAGTGATTGTTTGCATTATTTCAACTGAATCAAGACGCGATTTGTCTCTTGTGTCTTTTGCGATTTTCAATATTGATAATGTCTGAAATCGGGAAGGGAACTTTGAAGATGGGCAGGCAACACTTACATGTCACCTGCCCGACTATCTTGCTGGGTTTTAAGATTATTTCAAATATGGCAGGAATTCTGGGATACGAATCAGACAACATCCCACAAAGTGATCATCAATCTCAGCATCATCAACATCAAAATTTATCACAATTTTGGTGACACCCATCTTTTACTGTGTCGTTTTTTTCATGACCCCCTCAATCTCACCCCACCCCACCTACCTATGATAAATGGCCAGTCCCCAATGTGTCACTAGTTGTACACAAAGACACACTTGTAAAAATATTACATTGCACATGCACCTTGCTCTTTGAAGAATTATGTAAGCACTAACTTGATCAAATTTATCAGTGAATAAATGCTAATTATTACATGCCCTTGTCGATGGGCCTATTACCATACATTATGCAGTGATCAAGAAAACAGTAATAGTAACCGAACAGCTACCAAATCACACGTATGCTTATTGTACAGTGAATCAGTGAATCAGTGATTTAGTGAGTTGGGTTTAACACCACTTTTAACAGTATTCCAGTTATATCGCTGCATGTCAGCTTAATGTGGGAGGAAAGCCCAAAGTGATGCAGGTCTCAGATGTTTACCATTTCGGTGAAACCCATGAGCATGGGTATGGTGCTGACAAACCTAGAAATCGGGGTGAAACAGGATTCGAACCTACAATCATAAGTTTCTGGTGTGCCCAAGGGACGCAACTCTGTACAGTGAATTGCGGCGCCTTAGATGACTGGGCTACCCGTACCCCCTTTTAATCCTTTTAATGTATAAAATAACATACTGAATAAATTATAAATATCCCCATTTATAAACATTTGTGTCTTGAATTTACAGTTGCTATACAATACATGATACAACAACCCATGTAGTGATTCATGTTTTAATTCTGTATCAATGTTCAAAAAGTGATATTTACAAAATTTACAATAACCCAGCCTGATATCTACTGGGGCTAGCATGACCTTATTGCCCTAGTGGCTATCATGAGTGAGGTGAAATGGGGTATAACTTTGGGTCCAAGATTATTGCACTTATATAGCGATGTGCATGCACATGTGTTTGTGTGTGCGTTGCTGCTTGTACTAGTCCTGACTGATGCCGATTTATAGAGCTAGCCCACTGAGATACCATACCGTAGTTTAACATGAATACCCCACTCAGACACAGAATACACACTCCGAGCTGACCAGTCCTTGTTTTAGCCCATTAATGCCGAGCGCCAGGCAGGATAACAAAAGTATCATCTTTTAACGTCTTTTGGTATGACGCGGCGGGGTCTGAATCCTGGTCCATCCTCCCTCCGGGCAGACACTCTACCACGGCTATCATGACACCAAATGCTAAATCTGATTGCATTATAGTAATTGCATGAGTATGAATGAGTATTGTTTTACGTCGCTATTAGCAATATTTCAGCAATTCCGTGACACCAGAATTAGGCTTCACACATTGTACCCATGTGGGAAATCGAGCCTAGGTCTTCGGTGTGACTAGCTTATCCACTAAGCTAGCCTTTCGCCCAATAGCATTAGAACAAACCTGAATAAACCTGTCATGCACATCTGCACATTGAACAGAAACTGTTTGATGGACCATGAGTAAGTGAGTTGGGTTTAACGCCGCTTTTAACAGTATTCCAGTTATATCACGGCGTGTCAGCTTAATATGGGAGGAAAGCCCGAAGTGATGCAGGTCTCAGACGTTTACCACTTCGGTGAAACCCACGAGCACGGGTATGGTGCTGACAAACCTAGAAACATAATCGGGGCGAACCGGGATTCGAACCCACAATCATAGGTTTCTGGCGTGCCCAAGGGACGCAACTCTGCACAGCGAATCGCGGCGCCTTAGACGACTGGGCCACCCGTTGATGGACCATGATTGACAGCCAGACCACATGGAGCAAGTGGTGGTACACGGTCCTGTGTACAGCTGAGTATCACCTGGTATCTTGCGCTATGTTTCGTACCACGATACAGACTGACGATACTACTGGTATCGCGATACACCACATCAAATAGTAAGAAATGATGAAATCACTGAAATACGGCTCTAAAACCTCTTTCTTCATATATTTATTTATTGTTATCTGAAAAACTTTTACAAAGAAAACCAAAAGAACAAAACAGTTTTAAATGAAGTGATGGTTATTAAATGTAACAGTTTGTCAGTGTGTCCTCAGTTACCACATCCTCATGTTCTGCCATTCTTACAGGTGGCGCTATGCCATTGAGGGAGGTAACTCTATTAGTTCCTGTTCTATTTATAACGTATCATGATCTCACAAACTGATGATTCAAGTATCGTTTGTACCTAAGTATCGATGATATCGTAGGTATCAGTGAATCGTTTCAGCCCTAGTACAATGCACAGGTCACAACTCGCGGCAAAGATAGCAATGTTGGCTGCAGATGGTGGATGGGTGACCGTGTTCGGCAGCTTTGTGCCTGAGTGTTTTTTGGTCTTCGGTCCTGACCCTCATGCAAGAAACTTTGTTAGAACTATGCCTCTGTTCAATGATTGGGTACCCCACAGGGGAGAGATGGTACTGTGACTCTTAAACTTCAACCTTAAAAGCTGCTTGGGTTGTGTACTCCCCAGTGAGCTGAGAATGAAAATCAAGCACACACCTATCCATTGACCCGGATAATAATGTTTTCAACACCATAAGCATTCATTTGGTAAATGGAATCTGGCACAAAGTAAATCGACTTATCAATGATATTAATAATTTTATCATTATCAATAATAAACGAGGGGAATTTCGTGCAAAAACATTCAACACTAAGCACTGTGACACATTCCTCAATTACAATGGTATATATATCAATACAAGAGGGAAGTGTGTCATGACACCTGGCAATAAACATGATAATGAGTGCATAAGAAAGAGAATTTATGTACATAACTTGTGTCTCATCATGTTACATGTTAGTAACCTTGGCAACTGGTGAAGTTATATGCACACTAGTTGTGGAAACATTACCTTCATTGTGTACCATATATAACCTATTGGATATTAGGATATTAGCAATGTAATGTCTTTGTTTGTTGTTTAAAGCCACAGTCAGCAATGTCCAGTATTTTTGGTACATGTAAGGGACCGGTCATTTATCACAGGGGTGGGTCAGACTGTCATATATTTAGGTGACCCTCCTCTGTTCTTTTATATATGACCCTTATAATAAATGGCTGGTCCTTTAACATTATTGGACCTTTGAAGATCAGGGTAAGAATTCTTCAACAACCCATTCTTGTCGTAAGGGATCGGGTGGCCAGCTTCTTGACTTTGATGATGCATGAAATCGTATCCAAATTGTGTAGATTAAATCAAAGATGGTGATGTCAATAACTGGATTGTCTGGTATAGACTTGATTGTTTACAGACCACCTTCATATAGCTGTTATATTGCTGAGTGCGACATTAAACAACAAACAAATAGTTCTACCGTACAAGCCCAAAGGATCCATAACAAAGAAAAAGTTGACTGCCTTGTGCCAGGAGGGGAGTGACTAACATGTCCATCTGGGTATCATAAATTTAATGTAGAGTTTCTTGATGGAAACTGCAAATAATATTGATAGAAACAAATAACTCCATTGAAATTGAAATGGAGCCCCAGTGAGATGGGAGATTCTTGACTTGCTTCATTTCGGCCTTTTGCATTAAAGCAGTGTTCGAAATACCTGCCTGCCCGACCGTCCGAGACGGGTTGATTTCAACTCGGGCTGCCAGATTTTCAAATCCCCCTGCCCGACAGTCCGGTTATATTTCATATGTAAAAATATTCTAAATATTTCCCGATGATAAGCATTATTTACATGATGTATTCTAGGATATTAAATACAAATCTGACCTAAAAAGTGTTTGTTTAAATTATCCTGAGAAACATATGATTATAGTGGGCAGGCAGGTTTTGGTCAGGGCTGGCAAGTATTTCAGCTAGCCAGTCCTGTGGTCTGGCTGAAAATTTTGGGAGTATCATACCCTGATTAAAGAAGGGCTGGGCGAAAGGGAAAATAGTATGGTTCTGGGACTCTGAGACAGAAGGATAATACACATTATGCTTTGACTGGGTAGTGAGGCATACCCTTCCCTTGGAGCTGGATATAGGAACTTGACTAGAGTCTTAAAGGCACTTAGAGTGAGTGAGTTTGGTTTTACGCTGCTTTTAGCAATATTCCAGCAATATCACGGCGGGGGACACCAGAAATGGGCTTCACACATTGAAGTTTGAACCCATGTTGGAATTCGAACCTGGGTATTCGGCGTGACGAGCGAACGCTTTGACCAGTAGGCTACCTGACCGCCCCCTTAAACTTAAAGGCACTTAGAAATGGGATATAGTATGACAAGGCATGTATGAATAACAGTTTCCTTGTTACACATACACATCCCCTGGATCACAAATTTAATGTTTAGTTTCTTGATGGAAATTGAATGGCAATTGAATCTAACCAATCAATGACAGCAGAATTGAACATGTGCATATACTAGGGCTGGGACAAGTTCAAATTAACTACCCAGGTACCTGACCCTACCCCGGCACCTGCTGTAAGTCTCAAGAGTTGGATACCAAATGTCTGATTGGGAATTGTTTTACCAGAGCCCTGGCCAAAACTATTCAGCTACATGTATAAACGCATGATAAAACGAAATGATAATGCACAGATAAAGTTGACCGAAGCCTTATCTTTACTCAAACATGTAAAAGTCAGAAGGAATGGGTGAACAGAAAGAAATGTTAATACTAGTAACTTATATTGTAACCATGAAGTTTCATTGTAATAATGTTATTATGATGAAAAAGATAGGCTATGTGGCTAACCAGTCGTGTGGGTACCCAGGTCTGGCCAGCCCAGGAGCTATCTATCCTGAGTACCAAAGTTACCCAGCCCAGCCCATGCAAGTATGTAAAATAAAGAAATTGTTATCAATAATACTCATTGTTCTTATCGATAATGATATAGAAAAATGTAAAATGAAAAGTTATTAAATTCATGAAAACATATGCAGTCATGTTTGTTTGTTGTTTACACCACACTCAGCAATAAATCCAGCTGTATGACGGCGGTCTGTACTTAATTGAGTCTGGACCAGTCAATCCAGAGATTGATATCATGAACATCGATATACGCAATTGGGATACGATGTCATCCAACAAACAGGTCAGAGAGCCTCACCTCTTACGACAAGAATAGTTGCCGTGTACGCAAAGCATGGGTTGCTAACTTGAAGACCTTTTCTAATCAAGAACTTGACAGGTCCAATGCAGTCATGACGTATTTAGACGACCATATAAACTGTGATTCAGTGAGTCATACTGTGGTGTCATTTGTGGGCATTTTAAAGAGACAACTCTGAAATCACATTTACAAATTATATAACGAAAACGGAAACATCCGATGAATTACTGCGACTTACGGTATATGGGCGCGGGCCTGATGATAAAAAACAGGTATCAACCTGCTGTTACTACACTCGTCGGTTCAAATATCAATTTTTTCTTATATTACTCATAAATAGGCGACTTAACAGTGACAGTCACAGGATATAGTGCGTCTATTTTTATACCTTACCTTACACAACACAAACCTGACCCTACTAGGCGAGTAGCTGTTCGTTGCAAAACAAGCATAGTGACTTTCGCTACATGATTATTGTCATATAAAAACAACCTAATAAACTTAATCCAAAAGACGTTGCAGTTTCTTTCCACTCACAGACAGCTTTTCCTCAAAGTAAACGCTCCCTGCTAACACTTCGTGCCTGCCGCCATATTGTTTTTGTCACATGACTGTCACGAGGATATCAAATGTCAGTTGATTTGAACACTGAGCGTGCTCAGCGCAGTTGCACGAGTTCAAATCTCAGCTGTCTTGGGGACAATCATTTAATGATCTATTTTGTCTTTGTCAGTTATTTCCTCTTACTTCGTAATAATAAACCATTCCAGTGTCTTGTTGTCTTTTGAATATGCGAGGATTTATTTATCTTCGCTGATGATAAATGAAGCCCCTCCGCCTATCTGGTCTAATTTAATTTTGGGGGGTTATAGCATGCCTTAACCCACAACATTGAAGGGGCACTAATCTAAAGCAATTCCCCGGGACTGGTTGTTGCCTTTGTTATTGTTTCCCAGTTAAAATAAGCTCACTAATTAATTTTCGCCATGCTGGTCACACCTAATTAATGGATGGACAGGTGTGAGGTGAAATGTGTGTTATGTAATATGCACGGTGCAGCCAATCAAGAGATGAATGATCAGTTGATTTACTTTTTTGTGAATCAACGGAACGTTCCTTGTCATCAACGGATTAACAGAAAATACGTTGATTGATTAATCACAGTTATCTTGCACAATTGATATGTCAAAAGTGAGTGTTTACATGTCAAGGTTTACTAAAGCAGACGGAATACACTCATATCATGGCGTGAAGTGCCGATGTAAAAACAACATGCTTTGTTCAAAGGGTTAACCGATAATACGTTGATTAATTGCTCAAAAAAAAATAAAAAAAAATACTAAATGATGTCGGACTGTCAGAAATATTCATAAACCCGTCTATTTGCTCTACTTCATGGCTGGTTTCAAAGGTCGAGAGAACTCTTAAAGACCAATTTATTCAACAGTGGCGAGAATCTATTTTATCAAGTTCAAAAGGTTTATACTACCAACATTTAAAAGAATTACCAAAATTCGAAAAATGTCTATTACTTCCCAAAACTATCTACTTGCCAATTTTACAATTTCGCACATCTAATAATCATTTGCCCATTGAAACCGGCCGATGGAGAGGGTTACTGAGAGAAGACCGTGTCTGTACACTATGCAATTCATCTGCTGTTGGAGACGAATTTCACTATCTTTTTAGGTGTGAAGTACTTCTCCAACAACGACTTCTCTACATCCCACAGAATTGTTATATCTGGCCAAATATGTGTAAATTGCGTAAAACGATATCACCTAAAAATATATCCACTTTGAAACATCTGTCCAGATTCATCATAAATTTGAACTCATTATTGCGTTAAGGTGTCTAATTTTATTTCTTTTGATGATGATGATGATGATTATTTTTATTACTTTATTTGCTTAATTTTTATTTATTTTAGGCTTGTTACCATCTTGATCTGCATTGTATATTATATGTTTTATATATATATATATATATATATATATATATATATATATATATATATATATATATATATATATATATACTCTTGTACTACCGTTGGTGTTTTTTCAGAGAAATAAACTGAAACTGAAACTGAAACTGTTATCTAACGCAATGGGTTTTTTTAGGAACCGTGGACGTTATGAAAATAGTTGTCACGTGGGCTTTCTCAGCCGACCTTTGAGACTTGACACCAATGTGAAACACCTGAAACAATCTAAGTGATCAGTTGAGAAACGAACACGGGTTATAATATCCCGAAACGATATATATATTTTAAAATACTTGATTGTTACAGAGCCACGTGACATGGAATAAGTTTCTTTGTACAGCTGCAGACGTGTGGGATATTGTTCCTTTGTGTGGATATTCACGGATACATTCCTCGAAGAAGGAAACTGCCTAAAATTATGCACATAAATTTGTTAGGTTATTATTATGATATTTGCTTTTTGTTTTCCTTCATTTGCTGTAGCATTGAACAGATTCATTCTTGTTCCTCTTGGTTGGGAAATTCTTCGATGCGCGATAGACGTTGTTTTCACAAGTCTTTTTTTTTTGTAAGCGTGTATAATATTACAGTCAATTTGTAAAATGTTATTCTCTCAGGCAATTTGAAAAATGTGTAAATCTGTCCATTTCTTTAACAGATTGACTAAAATTGATTAGGACGATCAAAAGGGCCTAAAAACAACTCAATAGATTATTATGTAGATTGGATTAGAAGCCAAACAATATAGAAATGTACTTTTCATCGTAACATTTACAGTCTCTTGGTGATGATATTAAACATAAAAATCTTTGGAATTCGTTTTATATAAATAATACAGATGGACATATTTTTCAGTCACTTTGTAAAATAACTGAATATTTAGGCGTTTAATAAATTTCCTTAGTGACAATTTTTCACATTTTGACTGTAAAAATATATACACGATAAAATAAGCAATACTCAAGAGAAATATTTACTTGGTGTTGCAAGTCAAAATAGTGTAAACGAAAATCGCACAATTACCAAGCAAGTGACTTATCAAAACTTCGTCATCATTATCGATGCTACCCACAAAGATACCTACATTTCCTTATCATTTCCAAAACTGTATTTCATTTTATTGATCAATGTGACCATACGCCGTTATACTATCAATAAAAGTGGCAAATGCGCTTACGAATTGCGCAGCACAGGTCGCGAACTAGTCTAGATTTCTACTGTATCGTCCGGGTACTCACGGGAAAAAACAATAACAAAGGCAACAACCAGTCCCGGGGAATTGCTTTAGATCAGTGCCCCTTTAGTACCAGCGATCATTAAAGAAATATTATAATTTCGCATTTCAATCCATCTTTTGATGCCTTGCTCAAATTTTATAACAGTGGCGAACTTCTAATTAGCCTGATAGTTAGTCAACACCGTGTGGATTCCGGGAAGGCATATCTAAAGGTCCCCAGCAACCCATGCTTGACGAAAAAGGCGACTAAATAGATCGGGTTGTCAGACTCGGTGACTTGATATATCATATCCCAAATGCGTGGATCGATGCTCATATGATGCCAATCACTAGATCCAAAGACGTATATACAATCAAAATACGTCTTGTTCGATCTAACAAATGCTATATTTGGGATAACCCTTCCTTAGTAAAGTACAAGTTCTAGTACTTCTTAAATTGTGGATGAGTCCCGTCCGGGATTCGGACCCACACACTCAGAGTGAGGCACCTAATCGCCAGCACACAGTCAGCAATCTAACCCACTCAGCCGCCGAGGCTTCCACAAAAATGAACGTTCGACACCTGTAGTTTACATGTAGATGACGTACCTCGTGTACCCCTCTGAGAAGTGTAAATTGGCACGTGTTCACACGACTTCCATGGCCGAAAGCTATGAATACAAATTGCCATTTAGAAAGTGGTCAAATTGAACAAATGTTATATTTGGGATAACACTTCCTTTCTAAGTGGCATTATGTATTCAATCAACGGATTGTCTGGTCCAGACTCGATTATTCATAGACCACCTCCATATATATGCGAATATTGCTATGCGCATTAAACAACAAACAAATAAAAGAAAACTAATAATCAGCCAAGATGACGCCTTGCATTGGAGAAACAAGGAATATATAAAGAATGACATATACTTACATTTCCACCGTGTCCTACCGCACTGCACGTCAGGGAAGATGTGACCGCACACGCTTCTCGTTCTGTCAACTAGTTATGTTATCTAGCCAATCGGTAATCAAGGAACCGCTATTTCTAAATCAATAAAACATAATTACGTTTCAGAGTCACAATCGATCCGTTACGACTCATGTCCTGCTTGCACTTGACTTCTGATACCAAACATGTCGTACTCGGTTGCAATATAGGGCTCCATTTCGTTCAAATCTCCCGCACCCATACATGCCGTAAAAGACGACTAAGCTTTAAAATTCGTAGTAAAAGGGGCGACTAACGGGATCTGGTGGTCAGGCTCGCTGACTTGGTTGATGCATGTCATATCGTATCCCTATCATGTAGATCGATGCTCAAGATGTCAATCACTAGATTGTCTGGCTCAGACTCGATTATTTACAGACCGCCGTCATAAAGGTGGAATATTGCTGAGTGCGGCGTTAAACAAAATCAAATCTCTCAGTTTGTATGTCTAATCTGACAAATAAATCGACCAACGTGTGAAAACATTTCACATTAATCTCTTTTTGAGTGAGCGACTGCAGGCCTACCAAAGAAAACCACCAGAGCTGGAATATGTACAGTTGTTTTAAACTTAACTTGCTGTGCGTGGTAACATTGGAAGTGTGGCTATTTCAATTTTAAGTGTGTACATATTCCATAGTTTGGTAGTTCTCTATTGGTGTTCTTTGGTAGGCCTGGATTGTTTCCGGTTCCATGCCGCTTTGAACATCGGGGCGATAGCTAAAGTTGGAAGGTTCAATTAAGGGATCAACGTCAGGGTCTTGGGGTCGAACCATCAACCTTTGGTCGTTGAACCCAACTCCACGATACGGAAACATATACAGATATCATCACAGAACATGCCAGGAACGTATGCTCGCAGGTTCGAATCCCAGATTCGTCCTGACAATGTATTCAACACCATACCCTCTTTGGTTTCACCATTAATTCTCAGATCCGTTACTCATTGCTGGTTGGTTTGGTTGGTTTGTTGTTTTACGCCGCACTCAGCAATATTCCAGCTATATGACGGCGGTCTGTAAATAATCGAGTCTGGACCAGACAATCCAGTGATTGATATCATGAGCATCGATTGACTCAATTGGGATGGATGACATGTATCAACCAAGTCAGCGAGCCTGACCACCCGATCCCGTTACGACAAGCATAGTCGCCATGGGTTACTGAAGACCTATTCTATCCCGGATCTTCACGGGTCCCAGTCGTCTAAGGCGCCGCAAGTCGCGTCCCTTGGACACGACAGAAACCTATGATTGTGGGTTCGAATCCCGGTCCGCCCCGATTATGTTTCTAGGTTTGTCAGCACAATCCCCGTGCTCGTGGGTTTCACCGAAGGGGTAAACGGCTAAGACCTGCATCACTTCGGGTTTTCCTCCCACATTAAGCTGACACGCCACGATATAACTTGAATAATGTAAAAAGCGGCGTTAAACCGAACTCACTCACTCACTCATTGTTTGCGAGACTCGACATTTCGAAATCAGGATTTTATTGAATGCAAGAAGCTACGTATCCCGTGAGTCCGACAATGGCTTCAAACAGAAGAAAGGACACTAGTAACAGCAGACTGTACAGGTATATTGAGACATGATGTAGACTCCGGAACTGGAATACTGCAACCGGTTGCCGTAACTTGTTTGCGTTTTCAAAAACCGTTAGGTTAAAGCCAGATCTTTGAGACGGGGAGTTATAATCCAGATCCGGAATATGTGACTCTTCCCATGGGAACAGGTAGAACTGGTACCGGTGTATTCCTCTAGGTGGCGCTGGGGGATGATAATCTGAAAGCGGATCAGTGTATAGATTACAGTATATTCACTAACAACGTCTCGCCTTCAGCGTGACTCCTATATTCGCCGAGAGTCTTTCCGTATCGTACAAGGTCTATATGAGGAAAATGTGGTATCATGTAAATTTTAATTGGCAAGTATAATAATATTTTCTATTCGTGATATGCAACAATTACGATGCGGAAACACGGGTAGTAATCTCTTTATGACTTAAATAATCGACGTTGAAGCTAACCCGTGAAGATCCGGGGTAGAATAGGTCTTCAGCAACCCATGCTTGCCGTAAAAGGCGACTATGCTTGTCGTAAGAGGCGATTAAGGGGATCGGATGGTTGGGCTCGCCCACTTGGTTGATGAATGTCATCGTATCCCATTTGCGTAGATCGATGCTTATGATATCAATCACTGCATGGATTGTCTGGACCAGACTCGATTATTTATAGACCGCCGTCATACAGCTGGAATATTGCTGAGTACGGCGTTAAACAACAAACAAACAAACAAACAAACCATAATGTCACTCAGACTTTGTAAATCCAATACAGCAAACAGCCCGATGTAGTGTACATGATTCGAAGCCATGGTTGTGTACAGAAACTCACACACATTTAGAACCACCTTCCTTACATAATGGGAAGGGCGGTCGGGTAGCCTAGTGGTTAAAGCGTTCGCTCGTCACGCCGAAGACCCGGGTTCGATTCCCGACATGGGTACAATGTGTGAAGCCCATTTCTGGTGTCCCCCGCCGTGATATTGCTGGGATATTGCTAAAAGCGGCGTAAAACCATACTCACTCACTCACTCACTCACATAATGGGAAACGTCAGACAAACGTTTCTTAATCTAAGGAGAGGGGCGGTGGGTCAGCCTTGTGGTTAAAGCGTTCATGCCGAAGATCCGGGTTCGATTTCCCACATGGGAACAATGTGTGAAGCCCATTTATGGTGTACCCCCACTGATATTGTTGGAATATTGCTAAAAGCAGCGTAAAACTATACCCACTCACTTCTGCAAGGAGACATTTCATCGATGTATTGAGTTTATTAAAAGTGGTTCCTGCAAGCTAACCTCATCTACATATTCATTTGTACGTTTATCTGATTGGTTTATGGCACTAATAACACTATAACTTAATAACAAGTGTCATCTGAAGATGACAAATCCTCCTGGTTCATCTTAAGCCCCTGGTTTATACAAGTAACAAGTTTGGGTGTAAAATCGTTCACGGTTTTACGGGGGGGGGGGGGGGGGAGGGGGGTAAAAATGTCCATGAACAAATTACATTGTTAGCATTTTATATATTGTCGTATTATAAATTATAATCACAGGCGTATGTGTCATTTATCTATATATAATTACAGGGAAACCTCAACTCATAGACAAGGGGTTTTGTACATATGTCGAGTAACCTAAAGTTTCAGAAAGGCATATTGCCTATACGTGACCATAGTGTCGATATGATATCTGCCGGGACGATACAGTTGCATAGTCTTAAACGATATATCGAGACAATGGCGTTCGAGTGAGCGAGTGAGTATGGTTTTACGCCGCTTCACACAATGTTCCTATGTCGGGAATCGAACCCGGGTCTTCGGCGTGACGAGCGAACGCTTTAACCACTAGTCTACCCGACCGCCCCCAATGGCGTTCGAGTTAACAAGTTTTCACTGTAAGTAAGGAAGCAAAACTGGACTTACATAAACACATGTTAGTAAATTAAAATAGTGTGTACAAGTCAAACGTTTAGTTGGGTTTTGTGTGGCGGAAGAGTCATTTATGTTTGGAACGAGGTTTCACTTGAATGAAATCACCACCAGAAGAAAACATTAACCGTTATTTCACGAGCCAGGCAACCGACTTACTGAGCATATTTCTTTCCGGAACCAATACACCTTTGATCTGCAAAATATGCAAACAACATTTTAAATTATTGATGTTTTACGTGATGAACTATCAAGATATCTACACGAATCGACGGATATTACAGTCGTCATATGTACACCCCATGCTTGCCATAAAAGGCATCTAAGCTTGTCGTAAGAGATCGGGTGGTCAGGCTCGCTGACTTGGTAGATGCATGTCATCGTATACCAATTGCGTGGATCGATGCTCATGATGTCAGTCACTGAATTGTCTGGTCCAGATTCGATTATTTACAAACTGCACTCATATAGCTGGAATATTACTGAGTGCGGCGTTAAACAACACACAAACAAAAAAATGTAAAAAGCGCGAGTTGATTTTCGAGTAAAGGAAGCGGACCTAAATGCCCTTAACATGGCTTTTCAGAGATCTGATTTTAATGATGAATGCCGCCATAAAATATCTTATTTTCACGCGGAGCGGGAGAGATAAATATCCACTTCATGTCCGACATCAGGTTTTTGTGTGTGTAAATTCAAATATTCGGTTGTTTTCTGAAGACGTAAGACATATAAGATATAGTGTATAAACTAGGTTGTAATTAGTTAAAAAAAACTGTCCACCTGAACGTAAGTTTAGGTTAATGGAATAAACAGTCGCTATAAAATGAGATCTTTATTTTGCCCCGATACCTCTCTCGGCCAAATCTCCTTAAATATCAGATTTAAATGTTATTGATCAAATACTTTAAAAAAACATAAAAATAAATAAATTAAAAAAAATAATGATAGTTTAAAAGGAAGATTATGTGAGTGTGTAAAGAGCCACCCAAACTGTATATACATGTAGTTGAGTAGAAACCACGTGAATTGCATGATTTGCGACCCCCAGTGGAATAAAAGTTTGCACAGGGCAATCAAGCTCCATTCCAGAATAAACCACAGGCCCTTGTTTCGTTGCTGATATATTTCCAGATAAATTAATATCAGAAAAAGATAATTACTAGAGGATCGTGATTTTCTGACACAATGACCTGTGAATAAATTGGTCAGCTTAATCCTAAGCAATGCGGTCTGGCGACAGTTTACAATTTGCACATCATTGGCACAAGTCTTAGGAAACTTACGCCAGTCACAATGACAACGTAATGTAGAATATGCTCCATTGTTACGTCGGGCGGTGCGCAGGGGAAAGGTGCATCAGGGTCAATCATGATCAACAGGTAAGGCTGGCTCTACAAGGGAAAACCAACAAAGAAAAATGAATGATCGTCTTCTATATGTACAGCTGATTCTAACATTGTTTTAGGCACCGTTTCAACATTTTTACCAGCAACTTACAAACCTTGTTTTCTGTTTCAGACAGCAATAGGCCATAAACTTAATTTTTGTTTGGTTGTTTTTTCTTTAAAAAAAGTAAAGTTTTTAAAAGCATTTTTTTCTGAAAGCAGGGACAAATTATATCTGAGATTTGGATACCTGCATGTAATTAAGTATGATGCCAACAAGCTAGCAAGAAATCCGTGACGATCCGGGTAAGAATAGGCAGGGTATGAAACTCCCAAAAATTTCAGCCAGACTACAGGACTGGCTAGCTGAAATACTTGCCAGCCCTGACCAAAACCTGCCTGCCCACTATAATCATATGTTTCTCAGGATAAGCTAACGGGATTTCTTTTTGGTTACCTTTTTATCATTCATCTTTACATGTGAGTTAATGATTATCATCGGGAAATATTTAGAATATTGTCACATATGAAATATAACCCGACCGTCGGGCAGGGGGATTTGAAAATCTGGCAGCCCGAGTTGAAATCAACCCGTCTCGGACGGTCGGGCAGGCAGGTATTTCGAACACTGGAATAGGCCTTCATGCTTGTCGTAAAAGGTGACTATGCTTGAGGCTCGCTTACTTGACTGATGCATGTCATCGTATCCCAGTTGTGTTAATCGATGCTCGTGATGTCAATCACTGGAATTTTGGATATAATATTCCTAACTTGTGATTTGATAATATTTTCAATAAAAATAAAAAATAAAATGGACTGAGGAGTATAGTTTCTGCTGCTCCTCAGTATATATCTGTTTCATTAAAATGACAATTCTTAGCTTCAATAAATTGAATTCTTGGTGAATATCGACGTGCATTAGGATTGAGTCCAAGTTTTAAATACAGACTAAAATGAAAAATGGGCAAAGTGTAAAGCCTAGTATATCTACCACGAACACGATAATAATACCTCTTTTGCATCCACGTAGCACACTTCGGGGACGTCCATGGCGTCATCACGAGAAACAACTTCATTACATTGTAGTCTTCGACCCCCGAACGATACGACCAGTTTTGTAGGGGCGGGAAGATCACATAGCTCGTTATCTTGGAAGCACTGATCCCGGGGGTGAGGCGACACGCTGACATTCTGCAGGCACCCTCGGGGTAGGAATAGCGTCAGTATTAGAACACGGAGGAAGCGACACCGAATAGACAGTATCAAGTCCCCAACAGCCAGTCGCGCTAACATTTGGTAGTGACATGCTAATTGTAAGTGACAAATAAAAGCAAACGCTTTAGTCAAAATTAGTGTCGTTCACGATCAGCCGATTCCTTCCCTGTTCAGTTACCTCCCTTTGATTATTCACCATTGACTGGTTAAGGGCAGGGGCCAATTGATCTGTGTTATAGGTCTTCCTTTCTGTGCGAGTATGTGGTGACTTTACAGGAAGTATGTTCAATGGTCAGGCCCACTATAAAAAAAACCCTGTGTTTACGGAAGCTGACCCCCCGGCGCAAAAACCCTGCGGTGACCCCACGTGGTGAAACTGACCAAGGGGCTTTGATGAATAGACCAAATAGTCATGTTTGTTACAACTATGACTGTTAAAGACATGTTTGTGGTTTTCAAGGTGGTCCTTTGGTATCAGCATTAAGCAGAGCATGAATAATTATTTTTGTCGATGCGTGTTATAGTACGGTAGCAAAAATTAATACGTCGGGGTACACCGAATATTGGCTTCACACAGTACCAATGTGGGGGGTCGAACCCCCGACCTTTGCATGACCAGCGAGCGTTTTACCAATGGGTTTAGTGTGGTAGACGTTAATTAGATTTATATGTTCTATAGCGACGTCTAGACATATATTTTACACGCGAAGGAATACATACAGTAAACTAAGTTTATAACGAACACGCTTATAACGAACTGACGGATATAACGAACTTACTTTTTTGTCCCGACTATTTGCTGTAGTTATGCTGTATATAAGCTTATAACTACGGTTATAACGAACTAAAATTAGTGGTCCCTTTGAGTTCGTTATAACCGTAGTTTACTGTACACAGAAAACACAACTGAATCAATTTGTACATAACTAGGTTCACTATGAATGAGCAAATTAATGTATGTAATTTTGTTTGTTTGATTGTTGAACCCCGCAATCGGCAATATTCAATTGCACGAAATATGACGGCAACTGTAAATAATGGTGTCTGGACAAAACAAACCACTAAGTGATATTAGGATCCATGTCGAAGCCCGTTTCACAAAGCGACCGTCACGATTCGACTGTCGTGAGTCTATGTTAAAGTTAGGTGTTAGCCGTAGCGCTACGATCGCTTTGTAAACGGGGGTCATCTCTTTCGACTGGCATGTGTGGCTGGGAATCTGCTTTTGATAGGGATATGTTTTTTTCCATGCTACACAAAACTGATTCTCATATGTCAAGTGTATATTAAAATATATAGAGATTATTATACAAGCATATGTGTTACACTGATTTTACGAAACGAGTGTCAGAATTTGTGTATTTCCCGAGCGAGAGCGCGGTTAATGCAAGCATTCTTTCACAAAACCAGTGTAACACACATGCGAGTATAATAATTTCTTTATTTGCCATTAATTCTTCATTATTTTTTAGCCCCCTTTAGAAAAATGCACCGATCACGACTGCCATCTTAGAAAAACCACACTTGTCGAAAAACATCAACAATCTTCAGCTATGACGTCATTCCGACCTTACGTCACAATAAGATTCGAAGGACGCCAACAATGCCGTCCACAAGACGTAAACAATACACTGGTGCGCGTGAAGTGTTATTTGCAGGAGTGCACATGCGATTTTTATGATCTCGGTTATTTCTAACCTTATAAATGACATATCTGATTATCCCTATCAAAATGTGAGTAGTATAGGTAAACGCAATGGTAGATGGATTGGTAATGGTTCCGAAGATTTTGTTGGATGTGTTTACTATAAACTGAAAGACATAATTATATTTCAACACAGGCCCATGCTCAAAGCGCTACACCATTATTACGTCGGTCAATGTATCAACGTCCACTCAATAAACATTCTCAGCTCCCTGGGCAGTATACAACCCATGCTGCCTCTGAGGCGCTTAAAGGTTATCAACCACATTGTCATCTCATCCTACCGGGTACCCATTCACTAATGGGTAAACAGAGGCACATTTCGAACAAAGTCACCTGCCCAAACTGGTGAGTGAGTTTTGTTTTACAGAGCTTTTAGCAATATACCGGCAATATCACGGTGGGGTCACACCAGAAATGTGCTTTACACATTGTACTTATGTGAGAATCGAACGTGACGAGCGAACGTCTTAACCACTAGGCTATCCCACCTCCCCCCTGCCCAAAGAGACACCGGATATGTTGCATGTGCTTCAGTGTGCGACAGGACCCTAGAAACTCTCAGGAGCTGCTGAAGAGGCACCCATTCAACTACTCTCCGCGATCATAACTTGACCTGATTTGTGACGTGTGAGCTTTGCACCAAAGGACATACAGATACAGTAAACTACGAACTCAAAGGGACCACTAATTTTAGTTCGTTGTAGCCGTGGTTCGTTATATGCATACATACAGCATAACTACAGCAAATAGTCGGGACAAAAAAGTAAGTTCGTTATATCCGTCAGTTCGTTATAAGAGTGTTCGTTATAACCGTAGTTTACTTTAAATGTAAACATATACCAATGTGAGTGAACATGAGAAGATCAATATTCTAGTTGAAGGGTACCTTACATTCATTAGCTACCTAGCTATAGCTAAGGCCTTTCATAATTAACGAAAAGAGTAATTGAATAATCGGTTAGATATACAGCAAACTATGGTTATAACGAACTCAAAGGGACCACTAAATTTAGTTCGTCATAACCGTAGTTCGCTATAAGCACATTTACAGCATATATATAGCAAATAGACGGGACCAAAAAACAGTTAGTTATATCCGTCAGTTCCTTATAAGCGTTTTCGTTGTAAACGTAGTTTACTGTATAAACATATGTATGTACAGTATATTATGTTTTGCGTATTCACATGTAGCCAAATAGATGAGGATATATATATATATCGTCTAATAAAGACATATATTTATAAAGTAATAAGTGATGAAATACTAAATATATTAATGAAATATAAAATCCATATTTTACTCAAGTGAAAAAAACATTATTCTGGAACTACTTTCAGTCTGTGTCAATATCACAATGGTTGTAATAGTGACATACTGAAGATCTGTAAGAAAATAAATAGTAATACATACTTACGTCATTAGGCAAGGTGAACGTTGATACGAGAAGCAAATCGATAGAACAAATCCACGTTAATAACAACCAACTGATGTTGTCAAATCCTATTATCTGGCCATTTATGCTTCAAAGTATACGCACAAGCTCACAGAAGAATGCCATACATGCATATGGTAGAATGCTGGGGTATTAGCCTTCAGCTTCGCAACCAACTTGAGACTAAATGAAAGTCCAGATAATCCGCACAGGATTATTGGCAGGGTATTAGTGATTAACTCACTACGCAGGGTATTGCTCAGAAAAAGTCACAGGAACTCGATTAGATGGTAACCTGTCGTGAAATGGAAAATTGTACAGCCAGCAGAGTTAATGAAAACCGTTATGTGAAGGAATAGATAACTGGAACCTAGACAATTGTACTAGGAGTAGATCTTGACATGGATTGTCTGCGGGTGACTATTTTCCTTTCAACGGGTAAGTCTTCATAGATAGCCAGAACAAGTTCTTAAATCATAATGTAAGACTATTTCTATGTAAAAAACAGGCCTATGTCACCTGGAGCCCGCCAAAAGTTGAAGATTTCTGCCAGGTGACAAGACGACGAACATATAAGTGTTTTATATATTCCTATTCCGAAAACCATTATGTCTTTGAGGAAGACTGAATGTAGTTCCAACGTAATGTGCTATTTCACTCGAGTGAAAAAATAATTTAATATTGTATTTCATCAATGAATACATATTATATGTTCTTTTGTAATGTCGTATGATATATCGAATGAAAATGAAGTCATTCTGTTCATACATGTTCATACATGTTATACATTTAGTGTTCACTTTGGTTTATATCAGGGAGCACGGGAAGCCAAGTCGTGTAAGGCGCCGCAATTGGCTGTGCAGAGTTGCGTCCCTTGGAGACGCCAGAAACCTATGGTAATGGGTTCGAATCCCGGTTCGCCCCGATTATGTTCCTAGGTTTGTCAGCACCATACCTGTGCTCATGGGTTTCACCAAAGTGGTGGACGTCTGAGACCTGCATCACTTTGGGCTTTCCACTCCCATTAAGCTGACATACGCCGTGATGTAACTGGAATACTGTTCAAAGCGGCGTTATACCCAACTCACTTACTCACTCGTTTGTATCACTCTAACTTAGCTACTAGTATCTTAAACAAATCACACATAAGCTTAAACACTAATTTTTCATGTCACACGTTGTTTATATGAGTATGCTAGATAATATTTATGTAATGTTATGATAAACGCATTTCTTACAAAAATGTCATTTTGTAGTTTGGTACTTTTCTTAATGTTTCTGCGTCAAACGAATCATAATGTATCCTTATATATACAGCATGACATGTTATTGATATTGATTGCATATATCATATACCCTCATCTTCACAGCATGACATGTTATTGATGTCAATTATATATATCATATATCTTCATATATACAGCATGACATGTTATTGATATAATTTTTTAATTTATCGTTTACACGATATGCGGCTTTTCCATTGGACGAGAGATCGGTCACATGACCGCGAAACTGACGTTCATAGGTGTATGAACGACACAATTTGACGTTCATACTTTTTTCACGAGGTCGCAAGCTCCGACGTTCATACAGTTTGGCCCTCACTCTATGAAGGTTCATACTCCAATGAACTCACACAAAGTGAAGGTCAATTCTTAAATGAATTGCATGTATCATATATCTTCATATGTACAGCATGACGTGTTATTGATGTCAACTGCACATATCATATACCTTCATATGTACAGCATGACGTGTTATTGATGTCAACTGCACATATCATATACCTTCATATGTACAGCATGACGTTACATTAATGTCAACTGCACATATCATATACCTTCATATGTACAGCATGACGTTACATTGATGTCAACTGCACATATCTTATACCTTCATATGTACAGCATGACGTTACATTGATGTCAACTGCACATATCATATACCTTCATATGTACAGCATGACGTGTTATTAATGTCAATTGCACATCAGTATTCCAGGTATGCAAGGGGGGCAGTACGTCTCTGACAGTGAGCAGAACGCCTCAGTACTTCACCTCACCTGCGTACCCCAGCAACTATGGAAGGTAAAAACATTCAACAGTGATTTTTACAAAACTCTAAGCATAGTTCCAATACTACTCGGTGTGCCTACGTGACGCAGTTGTCTCAGGGCACCACATAGTTGCGTCCCTTATGTGTGTCAGGATCCTAAGACCGTTGTTTCGAATCCTAGATTCCTGTTGATTATGATCCTTGGTAACTATATCTGTGTTCTCTGAAAGGGAAACGTCTACCATCTGCACACGATCGGCCTGCACCTCACATTTCTTTCACTTTCCCAAGACTGTTATGCAAGATGACACAATAGATGATACATGTACGGGTTTTTTACAAATAAGTTTGAAAGGGGGCAATAGCTATTAGATTAGGCCATATGAAAAAAGACACGCATTATACTACTTATGATATATTATTAAATGTTATATTTCTGTAAGCACTAAAGATATATGTTTCTTATAATTGCAATAGATGTTTCGACTTTGCATAAAGATGATATTTACCCCTTGAAGCTTTCAATAGCAATCTCATTATAATGAAATCTAAGTTCTCGAACTTAGATCTGATTTTAATGAGATTGCTTTCAATAAATGGCTGTGCGCTTTTAATACTTGATATATGAATATGTTTCTTGGCTAACTGTAATACATGATAATGTATTTTCATATTTTCTTTCAAAAACAAACAGAATTGATAATGCTGTAACATGAAACATATCTTGAAGGTAGTGGTCCAATTGTTGTTCTTGTTCTCTTCAGAAACCATTATTAACATCACGTTCAATATAAACGTGGAATATACTTTCATTTGAGCTTTCCCATCACGTTATTCAGACACATCGTGATTTGAGTGAAATACTCATTAAAGCGGTGTTAAACTGTAAATATTTCCATGAAGGTAAACACTTCCCGAATCCGTTTTACGGCGTTCCAGTGAGTGAGTGAGTGAGTTACGTTAAACGTCGCTTTGAACAGTATTTCTGTTATGATGACGGTGTGACAGCTTGATGTGGGAGGAAAGCCCAATGTGATGCAGGTATTAGGCATTTGCCACTTTGGTGAAACCCACGAGGACGGGAGTGCTGACAAACATAGAAAACTCAAAAAGGCAATTCAATTGGTCAAGTGAGTGGCAGCAGCAACGAGAAACAGGCCTTAATTTTAGTGCACTCTAGAATATTCAGAATATTGTCATGGTTGAATGTTCTGAAAGACCCCTCTCAATTCTTGAATCCAGAAATCGGAAGTCCAGTGTTGGAAGCGGGCAGGGTGTGGTTGTTTATAGGCTGGTATCAAAATTGCACTTGGCAAGTAATTTAGAAGCAAATCATGTCGAAAAGCCTACGAATCGCCCCTCTGTCGCTTTTATACAGCCAGCCTGCTATTAACTGTCCCATCCAGAAACTTCTAGAAAGTCTGCCGTCTTCATGTTTACAACAAGGGCAGATAACTCTGGAACATTCCACCAGCTGATGTTGACTGCTGTGACCCATTGATGACCACAGTCATGCAATGTGCCGTGTATTGTTTTCTTCAGTTAAACACTTGACTTGCCTCTGCTTGTGTTTGTGACAGGCAACACTGCTGGGGCAGGATACGCTTACCTTATCGCGAATACCTGGTATCATCACTATTAGATAGTTGTTTATAAACACATGCTGATAATATAGTCGTTCAAAGGATTTTGTCGCGTTTATTTAGATATGAAGACGAAAGCTGGTATTTGACGGCGAACGATTCAAGTGACGTCATCACACTTGAGGTCGAGGACGCCGACTTAGAGTACTCCAGTACATGTGCGTACGACTACGTCATCCTATTCGACGGTAGGTGACGTCATCTCTGGAATGACCCATGTGCGGTCATTGGGCTGACTGGGGCCCCAGTGTACCACGCCTGCCGTAAGTGAGTGAATGTTGTTTGACGACGCAATATATGATGGTGGTCTGCCATAAGAGTCGGTTACAATGTGGATCGGATGGTTTTATGTTTGACCTGCTGGTTGTGTATCGACGTACGTACGCACACAAAGTCGTGTACAGTAGCTCGTTGTCAACTATTGATTTGTCTCGCATAAACACATTCAAACAGTTTTGTGGTTGAGAAATTTCCAAATCTGACGCATCAGCGAAAAAATTGATACAATATCCTATTTTGACTTGCCTTCAGGTGCTAATGTTATAGTCAAGATCATACAATGGACTTTACTTTAAGCAGAGATTTCTTCTGGTTATGGAAAAGGTTATTTACGGGTCCAGTGATATAACTGTAACATATCTGTCGTAAGGTCACATTCAACATTCACTTCTCAATTGTGTTACCCGTGAAGATCCGAGGTAGAACAGATCTTCAGCAACCCTTGCTTGTAGTAAAGGGCGACTAACGGAATCGGGTGGTCAGGCTCGCTGACTTGCTTGATGCATGTCATCGATCCCAATTGCGTGGACCGATGCTCATGATGTCAATCACTGGATTGTCTGGTCCAGACTCGATTATTTACAGACCGCCGTCATATTGCTGAGTGCGGCGTTAAACAACAAACAAACCAAACCAAACCTCATTTGTGTTTAATGCACAATACAGCCATCAGCGAGTGGAGGTAAGTAGATGTCGCCTTAATAAGACGCACTGTGTGATATTCTAGGGGATGGGCCTGGAAGACGCATTTTGGGGGGAATCTAACAAAACACATTTCACAACATATTTTTTGTAGGACCAAGCATGTTCTGCGAAAATATAATTTCTACTGATTTTACTAGTTACTTCTGGTACACATTACTTTGTAAATAAATCTGGACTGTTAACTCCGACAGTGTCTGTCTTCGCACAACGAAGATGTTACGACGCATGGCTTTTGCGATTATCTGAAATGCATCGGGTCTGTTAATTGTTAATTTGGTTGTCAAATTTACATGTGTATATGAATAATCTTGATTTGTTATAACCAAGCTCCTTTTCATTGCTAGACATGTACATGAATACTATTACTTTTAGTCGCACTCAAGCGTTGTAAGAAGAAAGGATTGGATATCAATGTCTTTCATTCTTTCAAAGAGGCATCTTTTCAGAAACGTGTACATTTATCAAGCGACATCCTAGTGTAGGTGCTGGAACGTCGCACTGAAAGAAGAAAAGTCATTCATGGCTGTATATTATAATGATGGGAATTATCATTCTACTGGTGTTTCTTTTCTGCAGGTCCCAGCTCTCTAAGTCCAGTACTCAAGAGGTTTTGCGGCACCAGCGAGCCCACGGTTACCAGTAGTTCCCAGCACGTGCACGTCAAATTCAACACTGACGGCACCGTGAATAGACGTGGATTCAACATCAGATACTGGAGTGCGTGGTCAAGGTCATTTAGAATCGAATAAGTGATAGCAAGATTAGCTAGGGGCCTTTTGACAGAATATTTTCAAAAGATACCATTTATTTCTCATAAACGAGGAGCAGATACTTTTCTAGAACCATTTACTTACTTTATGAAATTCCCAACTCGTGTTTGAAGAACATCAACAACTTCCAACATTACGTTCGCCATGGATCCTGGGTCTTTCTCACAGACTAAGATGGTAAACCGAAAAGTGTAAAAATCCAACTCGCTCACCTCACTTGTCCGAAATAACGTTTTGAATGAATTTTAATACATATCCACGTGACTGTCTTTATAAAACAAACGGTAACGTAAGCAATTCTAATCATTTACTTAGTTTATTTCTGTCAATGTAAACTATCGATATGCAGCTTATTAACAGGCAATTGTCATCCAGATATAATGGTCGTGTTTTTGTGTTTAACGCTGCACTGTGCAATATACCAGCTACAAGACAGCGGCTTTATTAACAGTTGAAACACATGGGTTGTTCGATTACACGTTACACCCATGCAAGCAAGCTTTCTTAAGATTCAGCGGAAACCCATGCTTAACAAATTTGCATCTATGTTGTCATTAAGCGACTGCAGATGAGCTTTCGAATAATTTGAATGTTTCTTGTTTTTTCGCAAGCGTATTTAGAGTAAGCTTTGTTAAAACCATGCTAAGACTACACGATCATGATAATTATGAATAGATACAAAAGATAACTGTTTGTTCTCTTTATCAGGCAGTGTCAAACTGACTTCTCCGAGTCCATTCAGTTCTCTTCCGATTCTTATAACCGCCGGAGTCGTAGTTGGGGCTGTAGTCGTCTTCGGCTTCGTACTCATTTGGTACCACTGTTGCTCCAAGAAACACGGGACGAACAGACAAGTGCGGCCTGCGACTCATGTTTCCTGGGACAATACCACGAGGGGGAGGCATCACCCTATGCACTTCCCTTACAACGCACCACGAGGTCAAACGTCCGCTGGCGATTCCATATTTTATAGTAACCCGAATGAAGCTCTTCCGGGTTATGGCTCACTCTATCCAACGTCTCCACCGCCCCCATACTCAGAGATTGAATTACGGGCGAGTCCAATAAATTGAAAAGTTGAACAAAGTTTACTCATTCCAGAAATTGATGACATTTGGTCAACCATTTGCATTGTGCAATAGTACCAGATGTATGTACTTGTTTTAAATAAATAAAGTGCTCTAAAATTGTTTCGTGCATAATTAGTTGATGACACTTGAGATCATCGTATTCATTCTTCCCCGTGAGGATTCCTGGTTAGAACTGGTGCCCGCAGACCTTAGCTGGTCGTGAGAAGCAACGTTAAGCGTCGTGTGGACAGGGTGGTGACTTTGTCTGTTGCCTGCAGTCGTGGAGCGTTGCTCAAGTAAGAGGCGACTAACGGGATCGGGTGGTCAGACTCGCTGACTTGGTTGATGCATGTCATCGTATTCCAATTCGCCGCACTCAGTTATATTCCAGCTATATGACGGCGGTCTGTAAATATTCGAGTCTGTACCAGACAATCCAGTGGTTGACATCATGAGCATCGATCCACGCAATGGGGATACGATGACATGCATCAACCCTATCCCGTTGGTTACCTCTTACGACAAGCATGGGTTTCTGAAGACCTATTCTACCCCGGATCTTCACGGGTTTCATTCCCATGACATTTCGATCGTTTCACAAAGCGATCGTCGTCTTACACATTGCTCCAATGTGTCTGTCAGTGCTCCTATTTCTAAATAGACTTATGATATCCGCTTTTTGAAAAAGACCTAAATCCTTGGTTCAACAGACAGACATATGCTGTCATGATATAGCTGGGACATGGAAATATGCCGACCGTGGTGTAAAACAACATTCACATATATTATAGCAAATGTTTAGTATATAAATATTGACATTGCTAGACTGGTTATAGGCTGTCCTGATATAGCTGTAATATTACTGACTTTCGGAAAACAGCATTGACTTCACCTTCACAAGAGCCCATGTTTTAAAATAAAGTTATGTATAATCCTAGAGCACCGCCAAGTGTAAATTTATGTTTCTTGCATTTCGCAACACACTATTTAAAACAATTGGACATACCACGCCATGCACCTTATAATGTACTTTTACAGATATTTGATCTCAAAATACTACCTGTTCTTCTCTACTGCTCAGAGATATGGGGCTTTCACCCGTCTCAAGATGGCATCAATGTACATGATAGATTCTGTAAGAATATTTTACAATATGGGAGATTCGTCCCCAGTGTAGTTGCTCATGGTGAGCTTGGACGTTATTCACTTAAAGTCAATCAACATGTTCATATTGTCAAATATTGGCTCCGACTTGTTTCTCAAAAAACTAATATAATCCTTAGCCATGCTTATTCATATCAATACAATCTGGCAGAAAAAGGAATAAATTGCTTGGCACTAAGAGACTTTGTCCATTTTGTCCAAGACCTGAAGTGGAATCTGAATATCATTTTTGTTTACAATGTCCATACTATGACAGTTTGAGACGTAAGGTTCTACCTTATTATTTTTACACAAATGTAACTTTTGATAAATTTGTAACACTCTGTACATCTAAAACCCCATGCATAATTAATACTTTAGCTAAATTTATATTTCTTGCTTTTAAAAAGCGTAATAACTTTCTCATTGGCGCTGAAATTGTCTAACTCTGATATCATGTATTGTATAATGGGCCGGTGGCCCCTTTACTGAAATAAAGCTCTCTCTCTCTCTCTCTCTCTCTCTCTCTCTCTCTCTCTCTCTCTCTCTCTCTCTCTCTCTCTCTCTCTCTCTCACACTCCTTCACCGGAATACATGGATACATGATTGAATGAAGAACGGTTACCTAATTGCCATTCTTTCCCACGTTCGCATCTGTCAGAAAATACGAGAGTTGGGCAAAATAGTTCTGAGCCTAACTGCGGTCGATTTGTCAACATAATTTCCACACACTTCAGCCAACGATGCTGGTGTGACTGGCTTCCTCTTGGTGGTGTAAAAAGTCTCCAACAGCAGACATGACTTCATCATCATTTGCATAATGCTTGCCAGACACCTCTTTCTTCAAGTTTGGGACATCTTCCCGATGCAAGGGAGTTAACTGACTATAGAAGTCGAGTTTCCACCCATGCTGAACTAGGTTGGAATTATGGAGTTATATATTGGCTGGACTAACGTGTTTATGCATAGTCCAATCAAAAACATAGCATGAAAAGATACTTTAAATATCTTTTCATGTTTTAAATCAAGGTGCTCACGTAATTTGAAGCACTTCATGAAGTAAGACCCGGTTTTTTTTCAATATAAATATTGATTAACGATCAGATCGTCTTCACTGGCGCCACCATTTTGTTTGAAGCAAATGCAAGTGATATCAGAGGTGGAATCTGATTGGTCAATAGGAGGGACATAGGAGGGACATAACTCGTAATAGCCACCAGAACCCAGAAACTCAGAACTAGTTCGGCAAGGGTGGAAACTGGACTTTTACAGACAGGTAACACCCTTGCCTCGGGAAGATGAGTTTGGGAAGAAGTGGAAATTTGACGGTGACAAGTTTGGTGAATACGAAGGATGATCAATGAGTTTAAAGGCACATTCGTGCATTGCAACCATGGCAAAAACAGACTTGTGAACATGTGCATTGTCCTGTTGGAATAATTTCCTTATAAAGTAGATAGTATTGCACAGATCACAACAAATGATACTTTCTAAAAAAGAACATCTGTGCCAAAGGACCACGAATTTAATAATATAGTTTAATATATTGTAATGATTTCTGTTAGCCCCTGACCGCATGATTGTCTGGAAGTAATTTATCAAGACTGTATGGGTATAAACCAGACTGTATATATTATAAATAATATAAGAAATATTAGCCTCAATATATAACAGTATTGCTATGAGCCGCTTTTAGAACAATTGTACCCATATGGGGAATAACACCTGATGCTTTGACCACTGGGCTACTCTACCGGCCCATATATACTTATTAGTTGAGGTGCAAAATGATCTGAAACGTTGCATAGTGGCAGCCACCTCTATAACGTACCCAAGCCTCACTACCCCCGACCCCAACCCCCTCCGGCACGGAGTATGGACACATTTCATATTTGAAACTAAAACATATTACTTTCTTAATTACTATGATTGCAGTCTGATATTGGAGATTCGGATCAATTGGGTCATATGTGTTAAACATGAGCCAGCCGCTTCTCTTTCATGCGGGCAACATGTTGAATCGACTTTCCATAAAAAAACATATACGGCAGTTATCTACCTTTTCATAGAAATTTGCACAAAGTCAATATTACCGACTTGCACTTATTCAGGCTGTGGATTGGGCGACGTGGTGTCATTTGAAGAAATAACTAAGGCACCGTGTTTAGTCCTAAAACCGAGGTTCATCTGTTCAACTATGTCATCGAACATGCACCACAGTACGGCATGGTGCATGTGCGTCCTCCTGATGCTAGTGACGTCAGTGATTCACGTGTCACTGCCATGCAGAGTAGACGGAGATATCTGCCAGAGGTAGGCCATGTTCAGCTGCAATACATATATGAATTCATAATACGTTGATCAGTGTGTGTGTTATGAAAGCAGTGTATGTGCGTTCGAACATAGGAGAGATGGTGCGCTTGAGATGGCATGCGCTTACTATCGTCCCCTCATCTTCTGTAAGAGATAACACCCGACACGAGTTCATGGTTCTACCATCAGAGCATGGGTTATGATTATACGGGATGCTGCTTGGGGTGTTTAAAAGGTCGATCTGCGGGTGTTTCAAGGGTCGATCTGCGGGTGTTTCAAGGGTCGATCTGTGGGTGTTTCAAGGGTCGATCTGTGGGTGTTTCAAGGGTCGATCTGCGGGTGTTTCAAGGGTCGATCTGCGGGTGTTTCAAGGGTCGATCTGTAGGTGATAACGATACAATTACCACGTGGTGCGTAAATAAATTAAAGTGCCAATCCCCTGTTCCCCAGAATCCCGAATACCAGCTAATATTTCACTCTTTCATTGCTCACCACAGAAGCCCCAATACTAACATTGAGAAAAGGGTGGGATTTGAAGTTAAATTACTGAAACAGATATCGAATACTTACACCGTATTATTTAAATGTTGAATCTGCGTACCAAATACCATTATATTTGCGTCCCGCGTACAACACTGGCGAGTCCCAAATACCATCTAAATAGACCCCCGAATCCCGCCTACCAAAAGGAGGTTGGCAGCCTCAGAAATGTCTTTGACATTTATGCATAATTGTCCTGCGAAAGCAGCACACTGTACTCAGTGAATTTTAATGTTTCTACTGCCTGAAAAAAAGTACATGTCAAGCTAATGAATTGAAAACTGAATTTTTGTTGACTTGATCTGTTATAGAGATGGAATTTGAAATTGGGAGCGATAATTAATATAACAATGTTTAAAGGCATCCTTTAGTTTTGAGTGGAGTCCCCACATCTGACTCCTTGCATATATCTTCTAATCAGTGCACATACAATCTGCATGATGAATGCTGCAACAGTTATTTAAGCAGCTTGTCGAACATTATAGTAATCAAGCTAACCTTACTAAATGTCAGTCAGTATCAGCGGAGTGGGTGAATAGAGTTTAACGCCGCTTTGAGCAATATTCCCATGTTCCAGCAACAATACGGCAGGAATGGGCCCCAACACATTTACCCATGTGGGGATCGAACTTGGGGCGTCAGCGTAACCAACACACGTTCTTATTAACCAGGATACTCAACTGCCCCAAGTTCAATGGAAATGAAAAAAAAAATCAATTGTGTTAAAGTATGTGTTCAGCACAGAATAATATCAATTAACAACATCTAGAATTTATTATCCATTGCACGAGTTTCGCCGCCTTTTCTGTCGCAACATAATGTCAGGAGAACTTCCGCGTGTCGATTCCCTCTGATGGTGACAGTGGTCTTCCATACCCTAAGTCGTTATAATGTCAGGAGAACTTCCGCGTGTCGAGACCCTCTGATGGTGACAGTGGTCTTCCATACCCTAAGTCGTTATATACTGTATAAGACGGCTTACAGACCAGTCAACCATAAACAATATGGTATGTGGGAAAGTATTATATCATACTTCCAGTATAAAGCGTTTTCTTTATTAACACGAGTCTGATAGATATATCTACGACCCAGAAAAGAGTTACAAGGGTCGAAGGACAAGGTACTTAAAATGATGTCAGGCAAATATCATGTATATGCATTTGTCCCATGCATCAAACTACAGCTAAACAGGCCTCTACTGGCTGATGCATCAACCACCCTACCGCGAGGCCTTCATACTTGCATTATTATGCAAACCGGGTACCATTAAAAATAGGCTTCCAAGTTCCGGAACAGGTTGCTCTAGTTGCCAGGTCTATGATGAAGATTATTCGTCTCATCCTACTGACGATGTGTGAAGCCCATTTGTGGTGTCCCCCGCCATGATATTGCTGGAATAGTGCTAAAAGCGGCGTAAAACCATACTCACTCACTCACTCATCCTACTGACCATACGTTTTAACAACTTTAAGTTTCACGGATCGTATTTTTATTATCATTTCGACAACCGAACGAAGGCTTTGAAAATAAGTAGTCACTGTCAGTAGACCATCTTATCAAAAGAGAGGCATAAAGAGGTTGGTTTGTTGTTTAACGCCGCACTCAGCAATATCCCAGCTTTGTAGATAATCGAGTCTGGACCAGACAATCCAGTGATTAATATCATGAGCATCGGTCCACGCAATTGGGATCGATGACATGCATCAACCAAGTCAGCGAGCCTGACCACCCGATCCCGTTAGTCGCCTCTTGCGACAAGCATAGTCGCCTTTTACGGCAAGCATGGGTTGCTGAAGACCTGTTCTACCCCGGATCTTCACGGGTCGCATAAAGAGGAGTATAATACTGTAATATTTTATATATAAAGCTTTTTCTTACAGAAACTCCCTATTGAAGATCTCATTTCCTTCGAGTTCAACCGTGCGATGTAACGAATTACTGGTTCGTCACCAGACAGAGGCCATGCCAACTGTTGAGTTTGCAGAGGCAGAAAGGGTAAGTTGACGGGTAGAATAACCGAGGGTGTTGTCACATTTGGTAATTATGTCCTGAACCGCTGATGTAAGTGGATTTGTTTGCGGCATATGAAGTTGTAATTTTTCAAATAATATATGTACACTGAATTTGATTGACACTTAATGATACATGTTGACAACATATAATGTAACACTTCAACCACGGTATGGGGTCACGGGTGGCCCAGTCGTCTTAGGTGCCGCGATTCGTTGTGCAGAGTTGCGTCCCTTGGGCACGCCAGAAACCTATGATTTATGGGTTTGAATCCCGGTTCGCCCCGGTTATGTTTCGAGGTTTGTCAGCACCATATCCGTGCTGGTAGGTTTCGCCGAAGTGGTAAACGTCTGAGACCTGCTTTCCTTCCACATTAAGCTGACACGCCGCGATATAACTGGAATACTGTTAAAAGCGGCGTTAAACCCAACTCACTCACTCACTCAACCACGGTACAGGTTAATGCTTGATCAAGATCTTAAAATCCACATTTAGATTGGATCAATATCAATGAAAACATGATGAAATGTTGCATTTCGAATTTGTTGCAATTACTTGCGTGTAAAATTTTAAGAAAGCTCATGGAAAGCATATTAAACAGCAGTGCACACTAAATCGCAAGAGCTTCTTCGCCTAGCTTTAAAAGAGAGAGCCGAAATCCCCCGCCCCCGAATATCAACTGGTCTGTCCCTAAGTATATATTCATCTTACAGGGACAGAACTACCTATTTGTAATGCTGGATCCGGATGTGCCTTCTGGCTGCTCATATCTCCACGCCATTGCGATTGTCGACTTCCAGGTACATTTAGGGGGCACTATATATATATACAGAGAGAGAGAGAGAGAGAGAGAGAGAGAGAGAGAGAGAGAGAGAGAGAGAGAGAGAGAGAGAGAGAGAGCTTGTCGACCCTCGCCCTAAAAAGGACTCAGTCACACCTTCAGGATTTTTACAGTCGTCCTTGATACACCGTTCACGGGTAAAATTAATCAAAAGGGATTCGTGGCGGGTAATTCACAAACAATCAGATATTGTTCAGGAATCGTCCCGATTGAGCTGTTTCCAGGCGAATTCGTCCCGATTCACCCGTTCTCAATCCGAATCTGATCCGATTTCTATCTTCCGCATGGTAAAAAAACGACCGAATCTGTCCCGACAGCTTCCCGATTCTCCCGAATGCAACGGCAAGATCTGGACGTAATCTGGACTCAATCGACAAGAAACGGTAATGAACCAATTCATGCCCGTTCATCACGACAGCGTCCCGACACCGTCCAGACAACACAGGACATTGTTACGATTTTGATCCGATACAGCAGAATCTGCCACGACATAGTCACGGTTGTAATCCGACTAGACAAAATCGGCTGAGTTTCCCGAATGTTACGGGACGCACCATACTGTCGGGAGTGCTTAGCCGAACTCTCTGGACCTCTCCCGATCCGCAGGACTCTGTAACGAACGTATACGACTACGTTCAGACAATGATAGGACATTCCAGACCATTCCGCAGATAGTAATCCCACTTTTTCAAATTTCGTGTCGTAGCGTTGTCTGATCTCAAACGGGAGCCATAATCTGCACTGTGTGAACCTGGCCTTAACGCCGCACTCAGAATATTCCAGCTATATGACGGCGGTTAGAAAATATCCACATCTGTACATATGGGTAATATAGATCTGCGCATCTGCGATACGATGACACATGCATCAACCAAGTCAGCGAGCCTGCAGCTGACCACCCGATGCCGTTAGTCGCCTTTTACGTCAAGCATAGTCGCCTCTCACCACGTGCATGGTTTGCTGATCATGAAGATTAATTCTAACCCAGATATTCGCGGGATTTAGGTGTCAATAATTATGTCTGGAACGTATACACATTATAAACACGCAGCCACTAAACTTCAAGTTAAGTTATATAAATGATGAGCTTTTCAGGATTTATATCCGCGTTTAAAAGTGGCATCATGGAAAACGTTCTCTTCGAAATAAACACCATTTAAGATTTGAAATACTACAGTTTATTAGTATGAAAAATAGTGCGTAAACAATTTTCCCATGGCAATATATGTCTTGTTAAATGTTCAATTAATAGTCCTGCATGGTAACATGGAATGCATTATATCCGGGTAATATTATGGAATTCTTGCAGAATGGTCAACTGGCGTTCCAGAAACGCCTGGTGGATTATATACAGCCATCGCCACCAAGCGGCACACACCGATACCAGATGTACTTGTACACGTGGCCGAGTGTTGACGACAGCGTCGTGTACGAGCGCCTACCCTTCGACGTTGCTAAATTAGAGGAAGACAACAACCTCAACGAACCGGTAGCCCTGTTCCAGTTTCGTGTTTCCAGTAACTGAAACAATTCGAGACAATTCCCTTTTCAATTTTTCATCATTTGAATAAATTATTCAGATCCTGTTGAATTATCATAATGTTTTTTTGTTTGTTGTTTAACGCCACACTCAGCAATATTCCAGCTATATGACGGCAATCTGTAAATAATCAAGTCTGGACCAGGCAATCCAGTGTTTGATATCATGAGCATCGATCCACGCAATTGGGATATATATGATGATATGCATCGAGCCTCACCACCCGATCCCGTTATAGTCGCATCTTACGGATTGCTGAAGATCTACTCTAACCCGGATCTTCACGGGAGGAAAATTCTATCATAATAAAATGAGTGAGTGTTTGAATAAGCCAGTTGTGCTTTACGCGGTTTTTAACAGTATCACGGTTATATCGAGGTGTGTTGGAGGAAATCCAAACATCACGCAAGTTGTTGACCTTTGTTTTTGTTGTTTGGTATGTTAAAGTCACCGTCAGCAAAGTTCCAAGCATAATTATCCAGGCGGGGTGTTAAAATAAATTATTCAGATCGTGTTGACTTATCATAATGACATTGTTTGTTTATTTGTTGTTTAACCCCGCACTCAGCAATATTCCATCTATATGGCGGCAGTCTGTAGATAATCGAGTACGGACCAGACAATCCAGTGATTGACATCTTGAGCATCGATCCAGGCAGTTGAGATACGATGACATGCATCAACCAAGTCAGCGAGCCTGACCACCCGGACAGTGCATGTTAATATCGTGTAAACGCCAGAGTTCATAGTCCAGTAAACCAACGCAATATGAAATTCATTTCTTATAAATTGGTATTTTGAAGTTTAAAAGGATCCAAATTTTACATACAATTTGCGTTCAGGCGCTTTATGTTGCCGTTTACATTGTAATGCAGTGACCCAATGGATGGCACACTCAGGCGCAATGGTGACTTTGCAAAACACCACTGCTACTTTGCGGACTTTTCTGTTTTGAAAACAAACGCGCTTATTCATACATCAGAACAGATTGGCCTAATGCAAGCCTTTTGGGGCGCTTTACATATTCTTTTGCATGATTATATAGATATGCTACTACAGCTCCGACAGTGAGGTGCAATGAGATTTTATACATCAAAGTGACCGTATCGCTAGCTCTCCGTGGAAGTCAAGGACGTCTGTTGAAAATAAAAAATAACAATGTCTTGCTTTCATCAAAAAACTTCCACGGGATCCAAACACTGTACCCATCCTACCACACATAGGTCTTCGATGACAGCACGTGGAGCTGTACAACCAATGTAAACAAAGGTTAACTACGCAAATGGAAATATGTTTCACGTTTTAGGATATTTACTCAATATGTGTCGAAAACAAAACACACGAATAACATGAAGTATCTCGAATGGACTGTGTAAGATGTGACGAAGGGGCTGGGACTATGATGGCCGCGTGGAACTCTGAGTAGCAGAGTGAATGAGTAGAATCAGTAGACGAGTATGTCCCATTTTCAATCAAACAGGCAGATTGAGATTCTTGGTCATTGCCAAGTCATCTATCTAATCATCTCTTTCTACCTTGAAAAATGAGACCGCCGGAGAGCGGAAGGTCCGAGGTTCGATCCCCAAAAGATGGTACTTGTTGTACCCTGTCTGGCGCTCGGTGTAAAGGGGCTAAAACAAGGACTGGTCGGCTCGGAGTCAGTATACCGTGTCTGAGAGGGGTATTCATGTTAAACTGCGGCATGGTATCTCAGTGAGCTAGGACTATAAATCGGCATCAGTCCGGACAAGTACAAGCAGCCACACACACACGTGCATGCAGGTCGCTATAATCTTGGACGCGACGATAAACCCAATTTCAATTTCACCTCACCTCACCTCACCTTGAAAAATGATACTGTTCTGAATGAAAACATTCGTGATGATCATCCCATACCTGATGAGCTCCCCAACTAGATATTAAGATACGGGACAGTACATTTGAGAAAAAAATCTCATTGCAGTTTATTCAAAAGAGAACTTTGAATGTCATGGATCCCGTGTCCCATTTATGGGGAAATCTTGACATAGTCAGATGCAGGGATGCCATATTGAGCTTTTGCAGGATAGCACATTACTACAGCAACTGGGCAAAGATTACTCTAGACCATTGAAATCTTCACGCCGTTCAGGGCTTTCAAATAGGATTCCTACCCAGAGTCAACCATCTCCACCGTTGACTCTTTCTCGGGTGAACCAGGCTGTACTGGACAAGGATATTGGGAACATGATGATAAAAGGTACGATGGAAGAGGTTCTTCCAGGTGTGAATCTGGAGGATTCTCAATCTCAGTTTTTGATGCTGGTCGGAGACCACTACTCAATGCGAAAAAAATATGATTGTATTCATTTCATACAATAATTTCAAGATAGAAAGCCTTTCACTACTGAAGGATGTAGTTTTGTTTGTGACGCAGTCTAGTGACCTCTGTCGTTGGACAGCTTATGTTCAGGGCCTTATTTGGATAGATAGTATGGATATAGTAGTTAGATGGTATTCGTGTTTTCCCCATGGTTAGAAACACATCAGATCTCGCTATTTGGGTGGTCACGTTCGAAACTCATAGACAAGCAAAGTCGCCTTTTACGGCAAGTATAGGTTGCTGAAGACCTATTCTACCCAGGATCTTCACGGGTCTCTTATTAAGAAAAGCCCAACTTTATTTCGCTAAATATTCCGTCGCATTTAAGAGTCCCCGAAATAAGGGAGATCACTCTGGTTTCACTGTATCTACAGTGCGCCATATTACCTGACGGGTAGGTTTGTACATGTATCATTGTTCGTATTGCAATAATTGTCCGTCCGCCGCCGGTTCGTGTTTAATACATTCATTGTATGGGATATAAAGTTACACGTACAGAAACATGTACAGTGAAATGTTATGACCAGTCGTCAAGTATCTACGTTTTCGAGGAGCCATATTGATCGTGATTTGTCGCGTTATAGAGAGGGGTGGGATATGTCGTGCACACATCCGAGGCTCGGAGCTGTCAACAATGGGTTCGTGTGAAGTATCAAAACATCCGTCGTCATTCAGAATTGTTCAGGTTTGGTGCCCGTGTCATGGTGAAAAGGAATAATGAAATAATGTGAACCACAAGAGCATGTAACTATTTATAATAATAAACAAACTCGCAAAAACCTCGTAGATATGGCCTCGTACGTGCAAGGATGCCAACTCCCACCCCACCCCTCTTTCGTTGAAGCATAGTGCTTGTGTGAAATACTGGTGATTGTTTACCCCCTGGATGCCAGAGGGACATATATATGTACCTCCTCTTCAACCCTCACTTTGAAGTCTAATAACATTCAAAATACATCACGTACACAGATACACTTCACATTTTTTAAAGATGTTGGAAATTTCCTTTTTTGTGATATCGTCGACTGGCATTTTAGGCTAAGCAATATCTGAAAATGACCTCTGAACATTAGGTACATCGTAAATGTCGCCATTTTTTACACATTACTGAATCACCAATCACGGCGTTATTTACAGCATGTTTTGAAATCTAAATTTCGGATATTTACTCGGAGAAATGATTTTCAAAAATAGCATATTAGTGATCACGGGTATCTGTCTTTTATGAAATCACCAATGATCATTCCAAAACGTAGCCGATAACCCTAGAATCGTTTAGAATGTTTTGGAAAATACGCAAACAGGAACGCCGAAGTGAACTTTCCGCTATATTGGATAGTGTTTACAAAATCACGTTTCCGCACACCGGTTATGAAACGCCTGTAACATCACGTAGATATCTATCTATATATCAAACTCAGCTGCGATACATACATCCGTGAATTCCTCATACGTTTTAGAATCAAATGACAAATGGTCTTTGTCACCAATACAAAGTGTTTAGATGAAATCAAGCAAAATTTATGAGGTTTGAAAACGAACGCTGTTCTCGGAAACTGCACTTGTTTGAAATGTAAACGATGCAAAATTCAGATTTTACACAGTGTAGCATTTTTTCCTATTTTGAGCTAGATCTATCCATTTGTCTATTTGTTGCATACATTGGCTCAACATTTTCAGAATATGCATAGGCAGAGAATCGTAGGAAGAACTAAGGCATTAAAAAATAGAAACATTGCAATGACTTGACAAATTGAACAGAAATAGACAAAGTTTTCGTACTGCGTGACGCCATGACTGACGCAAAATCACGCACAACGACAACGGTATTTATCGGAATTTCTGACTATTTCTCTTGGTTTCCGTGAACAATATAACAACAAATAACAGTACACACATTGTCGGAATGTTTTTGATTACTTACATGTCACATTTATGTAAATAAGATCCCTCAATCAACGAAAGTCCCCTCGCAAATTCCCGCGAACTGTTGTCAGTGAACACGCCATTTTGTAAAAGTCGGTAGTGATGTCATGCGTCAACATTGTTGTACATATTTGTACCTTTGAGGTAAAGGTCCTTGAATGAAAGTACACACGATCATTGTATCCTGCTGTGGACAGTTTCAATCATGATGTTGATTTTGCATAAAATTTTTATCCACTTTTTCACACCATTAACTTCACTATGGATATTTATCAGTGCTCAATGTGATATCATACGTAGATTTTGACCACAAAATGTATGAACCTCTGAGATAATCACCTGTTTGTTTGAACATTGTTAACATAAGAAATTGATAAGTTGATAGTGTCGTATACGATATTGTTTCCTTTAGACGAGTGTTAGAAGTTGAAATGTAAATGTAACTGCAGCATGTACCTATTCTTTTGGAGTGTAATAGTCAATACGGTATTGTAATTTCATAAAAAGAACAAAACAGGTTCATGAACGGCCGTTTCATTTTATTTTATAACTACAACTGAATATATTACTTTAACAAAATGGATAATATATTTTGTTAAAATATGTCCACAATGTTAGAAGAATTGTCTTGGTCTTGGAATTGTTTTTTATTGCGTTATTCATATAGAGAAAGGTGATACCTATAACGACACGTACGCCAGGTGCGCGTTATAGTCACAAACAAATTTCGAATAATTCCTCTCGTTTGGTATTATATAATCAGTGGGTGAACCTTTTATTCAAATATTGTGATCCCAGGATTTTGAACTGTTTACTTCATTTTTCCAAGAATTTTGAAAATTTAAAAAAATATAAACCGTGTCATTACCCCGTTGGTCGAGCCACATACGATGCTCCTGATAAAACTATACCAAAGGAACAGTCTTCGCATCTTTTATTGTGTGATTCTCAGACGAGATGAAGAGAATAAATTACATAATCATGAACAAATACATTTCCAACATTGAATATAATTTTGGTTGTTTTTAAATATTCTGTTTGGTATTTGATTGCGTAAAATTGATACAAAACAGGTGCGTGTCTTGTCCAATTAAGGTACACGGTAAACTGTCTAATTGTTTATATATTCAAGAATTATTTTACATTGTATAGCAGTCATTTTATGGTGTCCAAAAAGCGTCAAATTCCGTTTTATACATTGAGATTTTCCATACCATGAACGAAAAGTAGGGGAGATTATTAATCAAAATACCATTGTCATCCTTCTCCGACGTGGTCAATGCCATAATGTCAAATAGAATGGTGCAACATTAGTCAAATTACACTTGCACAATCAGGAGAATGTTGGAATTAGGGTTAGAGTTGAGGTTTAGATAGGGCCATCCGTTTTGCTTTTACTTCCTCTTTTATGAAGAACGATTTCATCATTTCTGATGGGTTTGTTTATACCTAAACGTATGTAGTTTCAATATAGATATTTGTATTGGAATAGTTTGCTTCCTCGTGAACAAATCACCACGAAAGTATATTGTCCTTATCCACGGCTAATTCTTACCAAGTGACCTGAGTTACAATAAACTAGTGCTAAGTATAGCGGAGTTATGCCCCCTTGTCTTTGTACGTGTGTAACCTCTCTGACATTGAATGTATTACGTTATACATAAGCATATGAATCCTTTGGATATATATTTATGGCATTCAGATATAAGGCAGTATTTTTTCGCTCAGTTTCTGTAAAACAGCTAATTTAAAAAAAAATCGTCGCACAGTATTTCAGTGTACAATAAAAAGCGGCGAACTGAATAAATTCTCGGACAACACTTAGCAATGTCTTTTTTTCGAACCGATTTAAAATTTGAAGTTAAATTTCCACCATCAGATAGGAAATTTAATATTTTACATCTCTGCGTAATGTTATAACCGGCGGTAGATCCAGTGCCGCGTGAGTGCAATTCTCGCACAACCCTAACTTTTCAGTTAAAAACTCGGCATCCAGAGAGTTAAGGAATGTACGTATCGTCGGATCATGGGTTTTCGGACGTCATTATTACTCGCGCTATAACGGGGGATGTAGCATCACACAGATTTTGTAAATACTCAGACGATGGCTTGTTTTTTTAAGAGAAAATTGTCTTTTATAAGTGGTTGAGATGTTTAACAGTTGTTAACGTGATTAAAGAGCAAACTACGAATGTTTCTTAAGCGTCCGAAAGCCCATAACACGGGGATACTCTATATCAGTAAATAAAAGTTATCTTGAAGCTAATAGACAATCATATATTATACAAATTGGTGAAAGCGACAGCTGACTAGAAAAATTACAGTAACTATATATAAATCATATTTATGAATAGTACGTTCACGTACAGTGGCATTTACCACTGCGTCTTTGTCTGGTACTGATGACATTTTCGTCAACAGATCATGTCCACGTGAGGTCATTGGCCCGGACTTCTGAGATGTACGCAACAGGACTTCTTGTCGTCTGCTTCCTGCAGCTAGTTGGCGGGTCGGACGCCCATCGTAAAGTTGACAATACCCTCTGCACCAAACGATCCCCTCCCAAGTTGGGCATTTACTACTCCGGGCACAAGCTTGCTTGTAACGCTCGTCTACATATCGGAGACGTTTCCAAGGTGCCACGTATAAAGTTCAAGCAGGGAAGGAAAGTGAGTATTTATCTAATGAACTACCATACAAAAATATGCCATGGACACGTGTGGGTGAATGAATTTTGTTTTTTAACGCTGTAGTGGTTGTATTTCAATATTGCTCCCGTTTCGTTTTGATCGATTTCACTTGGCAACCATTATTTCTGTGAGAATGTTTCTTATGGTATATATATATATATATATATATATATATATATATGTATGTAAAGCCTCATTCAAGATTTGATCCTAACCAAACCACATGAAGCGTCCTAAAATCTCCTTCTAGACCCAGTCTAGACTTGACACTGAGATATTCCCATTATCATTTAGTCTGTGTTTGTTTGTTGGTTGGTCAACCCCGCAAATTTCTTTTAAAATAATTAAAAATCAATGCTTCAGACATTTACAAAAAGGAAATTGCCTACCACAAAAATCGCATAAAAAATATCTGCTTTTGTAGCTGTAGAGAATATCAAATGGCCATTGTCGGTTCCAAACGACGATGTAAAACCCTACTCACTCCGTTTTCCTCTACATGGCATAGTTATTTTCCTTTTGGGTAAGATCATGTCCCTGTGCTAAACATACCTAGGGGTCATAATTTGAATGAATTTAAGGAGTGAACACTGAACTCGGATGATCATGTTACGGGTAGGGGAACATAGACTCGCGCACAGCCATGACGTCACACCTAATACCCCTCGAGGCACGTCGACAACTAAAAATCCTGAAAACGTAAATCCATTAGCAACATGTTGGTCAAATAGTTTGGTTACAATACGTGAACGTCACACACTCATGGCAGCGGTAGTGTAAGTAATGGTGTTGGTTAACTGTGTTCATATTGTCTTGTATTCTAACTAAACGCACCATATGAGAGAATTGACACTTTCATGAATATGTTTGTTGTCAGGGGAGACGTTACGTCCTTGTGTTCGTTGACCCAGATGCTCCCCACCCGGGCGCCAAATCCCACGATAGCAACTACCTCCACTACGCCGCTGTGGTTAAAAAGGTAAGTAGAAGTTTGTTTTTAGACATCTCGTTAAAATTTGGCACAGTGAAATAAAAAAAAAATGAATTCAAGGACCTGTATACCGTTTTTTCGTTATTGAAATAGGTAACCGTGTTGAAAAAAATCAATTTGTGAAGAAACTCCACTGCAACAAGTGACTTTGACTCATAGCTGCCTTGGGCTTCATGGTGTATGTTAAGTACAATTTCCAATAAAGGGTGTGCTTTTACTTCTGATTAGGAATTTTTTAAACGTTCGTCCTTAACCAAGGCGTGACGATTCTCTCCTCTCCTCCATGGCAATCTAGATCTGTTGCTGCAGCATCCGAGTGTCATACTACGTCTGTGTAATGTTATGTATGACCATGAATGCAGACTAACAGACGATAGTAACTAGTAGTTGAGATTTTATCCACGCTTCACTTAATTGTTTTCAGAGGAATGGCGAATTGAAGCCTTCGAAAGTACTAGTTCGTAAGTATTAATGAGATATATACTAGTATACATATTGCTTTAATATCGCCCATGAATGGATCTGCTCAGCGTGCGCTCGAATTTAATTCTCAACCTCATGGGGAAAATACAACCAATGGGGGCACGGGTGGCCCTGTCTTCAAAGGCACCGCAATTCGCTGTGCAGAGTTGCGTCGCTTGGGCACGCCAGAAACCTGAAATTGTTTGTTCCCGTTTCGACCCGATTATGTTTCTAGGTTTGTCGGCACCGTACCTGTGCTCGCGGGTTTCGGTAGCGTGGTAAATGTCTGAGACCTGCATCACTTAGGGCTTTCTTCCTACATTAAGCAGTAGCCCTGTGGACCCGTGAAGATTCCGGGGTAGAATAGGTCTTCAGCAACCCATGCTTGCCGTAAAATGCGACTTTGCTTGTTGTAAAAGGCGACTAACGGGATCGGGTGGTCAGGCTCGCTGACTTGGTTGATGCATGTCATCGATCCCAAATGCGTGGATCGATGCTCGTAATGTCAATCACTGGATTGTCTGGTCCAGACTCGATTATTTACAGACCGCCGTCATATAGCTGGAATATTGCTGAGTGCGGCGTTAAACAACAAACAAACCAAACCAAACAAACAGTAGCCCTGTGACATGACGGGGCCGGATTACTGTTAAAAGCGGCGTTAAATCCAACTCACTCGCTCAACACCAAATCTGCCTTATGAGGCGCTAGATGGTTAACAGTCACCATTTCAGCATGAACAGAGGCATATTTCGTGCAAAGATGCGCATTTAACTATCAACAGTGATAATTGCATTTTATCCTACTTAAAAGAAGTGAAGGACCACCCGATATTTTCATGACGGATTAATCACAGTAATATGAAATAATCGGGTGGCCTTAACTTCTTTTGACTGGTATATATAATAATGAACATAAGCGTGTGTATCGCGCACTTGTTGTCAAATGTTATAAAGACGTGTTGTTATTATCTTCCCGAGGCAAGGGCGTTAACTGTCTATAAAAGACCAGTTTCCACCCTTTCCGAACTAGGCTGGAATTTCCTGGCTCGATCGTAGCACTACAAGTGGCTCTTACGAGTGATGTCCCTTCCATGTCGATCATATTGACCAATCAGATTTCAAATTGCTTCAAACAAAAAGGCAGCGCCCTGTCAAGACCATCAGATCTAGAGTCAAGATCTATCTAGAAATAAAACGGGTCTTACCTCGCGGAGTGCATCAGATAACTTGAGCACCTTGATTTGCCAAATATCTGTCGACACCCAGTTGGCGGTTCACATGCTTTGCAAATCCTTCAACCGACAGAAATCTATGTTGTTTACGAACCGGATGTCTAGTTCTTTTACGCGGTTTTGATTGGACTATACATAGTCAAGTTAAAGTGTAACTCCGGAACTCCAGCCTAGTTCGGCAAGGGTGGACTTGTATAGTCAGTTAAAGCCCTTGCCTCGGGAAGATGGTTGATATGCTTGTAACTGAAATACAATATTTGTGTCGCACATCTAGATTACCGTGGCCCACATCCACCAAAAGGCACACACCGGTACCAGTTTTATGTATTTCGCTGGAAATCCTGCAAGAAACCAGTGCTCCACAATTCGGACAAGTCGAGAGGCCACTTCAATTTGAAGCGGTTCAAGAAGGAAAACCATTTGAAAAAACCGGTTGCGGTGTTTCAGCTGAAGGTCCCGCACACTTAACACCATGTTGGGCTATTTCCATGTTGTATTGATTATGGAAAGCACAAATAAAAAGCTCCCTTACGAACATACATAATATTATTGTTTTTGTAGATACTGTTTGGGGACATTTCTGTTTGCTGGATTAGGCAAATGTACATAGCTCTCAGGGTGATCCCCTCTCTGTTATTTAACGCCCCACACAACAATATTTCAGCTATATGAAGGCGATCTGTAAATAATCGAGTCTGGTCCAGACAGTCCAGTGATTAACATCATGAGCATCGATCTACTCAATTTCGGTACGATGACATGCGTCAACCAAGTCAGCCTGACCATCTACCCGTTAGCTGCCAAGCATGGGTTGATGAAGACCATTTATAACCCGGAGCTTCAGGATAATAAAATGGCTAACGGTGGATAAGAAATAGCTACTATACCCATTGACTGGGAAGAATATAGTAGCAGTATTGCAGCAGTCAAGCAGTAAAACAATTCTCAGTCAGCTAATGGCTACTATACCAACTGATTTGGACGAATTAAGATGTATTGTACTAAAATAAGTAGCACAAGCAGTTGGATATTGTAGTGGGTGAGTTAAGTTTAACGCAGCTTTTAACAGTATTCCAGTCATTTCACGGCGTGTCAGCTTAATGTGGGAGGAAAGCCCAAAGTGTTGCAGGTCTCAGACGTTTACCACTTCGGTGAAACCCACGAGCACGGGTATGGTGCCGACAAACCTAGAAACATAATCAGGGCGATCATAGGTTTCTGGCATGCACAAGGGGCGCAACTCTGCACAGTTGGCTATTGTAAACTTCAAAGTTATGTAATCGTAATTCTTAATAAAGTTTGGGATCTGTGCACAATTAATCCTGTCTTATGTATCCTGTCACACAAATCTTAAATATCGGTCTATGTGTTTTAGCAATACATGAATAAACAGATGAAACATTTAGTTTTTGTATTCGAATAACCACAGATCAAGATCCGTGAAGATCAGGTTAGAATAGGTCTCCAGCCACCCATGCTTGCCGTAAGAGTCGACTAACGGGATCGGGTGGTCAGGCTCGCTGATTTGGTTGATTCATGTCATCATATCGATGCACATGATTTACAGACCGCCGTCATACAGTTGGACTATTGTTGAGTGCGGCGTTAAACAACAAAGAAACAAACCACATATCAACAACTATATAGAACTGGCCGAAGTCCTACGTTTGTTGTTTTACGCCGCACTCAGCAATATTCCAGCTTTATGACGGCGGTCTGTAAATAATCGAGCCTGGACCAGTCAATCCAGTGGTTGATATCATGAGCATCGATCCACGCAATTGTGATCGATGATATGCATCAACCAAGTCAGCGGGCCTGACCACCCGATCCCGTTAGTCGCCTTTTACGACAAGCACAGTCGCACTTTACCGCAAGAATGGGTTGCTGAAGACCTATTCTACCCCCGATCTTCACGGGTCGGTTTAGTTGGGAGAGCGGAAGGTCGGTGGTTCGATTCCCTGTCCGCGTCATACAAAAAGACGTTACCCTGCCTGGCTCTCGGCATTGAGGAGATAAAAGAAGTACAGGTTTGTAAAATGGACAATACCCTCTGCACCAACCGATCCCCTCCCAAGTTGGGCATTCACTACTCCGGTCACAAGATCAACGCTACACTCGTCTCCGTATCGGAGATGTGCCACGTATAAAGTTCAAGCAAGGGAGGAAAGGAAGTATTTTTAACCCCATGAACCCCATGTTTTGTTTGTTTGTTTGTTTGTTTGTTGTTTAACGCCGCACCCAGCAATATTCCAATGTAGACGGCGGTCTGTAAATGATCGAGTCTGGACCAGAAATTCCAGTGATTGGTATCATGAGCATCGATCCAGGCAAATGGGATACGATGACATGCATCAACCTTGTCAGCGAGCCTGACCAACCGGTCCCGTTAGCCGCTTCTAACGGAAAACATGGATTGGTGATGACCTATTCTAAGGAGGAGTTTAGTTACCAAGTTAAACTTAATGATGTATTACGGAAAATGCCTCAGGTGAAAGAAACCGCAATCTTTTTAACACGTCGTGCACAATCATCACGTGCAGCACGTGGACCTATTACGTCATAACTTCGCCAACACCCGGTGAAGACCCTGGCAGTTTGATCTTGAGAACGAAAAATTGAGGCAAGTTGTCACATTTGATAATTGTGAAAAAAATCAGAAAATGTTCTGACATAAAATAGGAATATCGTATATTTGTTATTCATATGTGTGTCCTCATTACTTCAGGCACTGCGCTGATCCAGAAGGGGGTGTACGCACCCCACACGTTGAAGCATAGTTTGTTTGTTTGTTGTTTAACGCGGCACTCGGCTATTCGACGGATGTCTGGCCCAGACAATCCAGTGATTGATATCATGAGCATCGATCCCCACTACTGGGATACGATAGCATGCAAGTGCTAAGTCAGCGAGACGGAGCACCCAATCTCATTACTCGTCTCTTACGACAAGCGTAGTCGCCATTTACGGCAAGCATGGCTTGCTGAAAGAGTATTGTAACCCGGATCTTCACGGATTCCTTGAAGCATAGTCATTGTATGAAAAATCGGTGATTGTTTAACGAATGTACGTACAATACATAAGTGAATAAGAAAATTATCCGATTTTGAAGCTAATACAAATTGGTGAAAACGACAGCTGACGTGAATAATTACTTAATATAAGTTATATTTATGAATACGTCCGAAGTCGCTCCTTTTCCTGATACTGATAAGAAATCTACCTCAACAGATAAAGTCCACGTGGGAACATTGTCCTGGGCTTCCAATATGTACGCGACAGGACTTCTTGTCGTCTGCTTCCTGCAGCTGCTTGACGGGTCGGAAGGCCTCATCGCGGACTGTAACGTTGACAATATCCTCTGCACAAACCCATCACCCCCCAAGTTGGATGTTTACTACTCCGGGCAGCAGATCGCATGTAACACTCTTCTGCATATCGGAGACGTTACCAGTGTGCCACGTATAGAGTTCAAACAAGGGAGGGAAGTGAGTATTGACCTTTTGATCTACCATGTGAATCACTGTTGGATTTGTATGCTGTTGTCGGTTATATTTTAATATGGCTCCCAGATTAAAGGGTATCTGACACATGAGGCAATAACGATTACAACGGTGCACGTGTAGTGATTTGACTTGGCAATTAATATTTCTTTGTGAAAATTTTGTGGTATTTAACACATACAGTAAAGTACGGTTATAACGAACTCAAAGGGACTACTTATTTTAGTTCGTTATAACCGTAGTTCGTTATAAGCATATATACAGTATAATAACAGCTAATAGTCGGGACCCAAAAAGTAAGTTCGTTATATCCGTCAGTTCGTTATAAGCGTGTTCGTTATAACCGTAGTTTACTGTACTTGATGTGATCCTAACCATACCGCATTCCACACAATTGGGATACAAAGAAATGCTGTCAAACAAGTCACCGAGCCTGACCACCTGATCCATTCAGTCGGCTCTTACGATAAGCATGGGTTGCTACAGTTCTATTCTAACCGGGATCTTCAAGGCCAGACAAGCATAGGTTGCTGGGGACCTATATTGTCACCCGGGATCCTCACGGGGTTGGTCAGCACCTTATCGGAACCAAACCACATTTATTCGGCCCCCACCCCACCTTTATGTATTTACGTGCTTTATGTATCCGTTTGTTGTCAGGGTGAAAGTTACGTCCTTGTGTTCGCGGACCCAGATGCTCCCTACCCGTGCGCCAGCTCCGACGGCAGCAACTACCTCCACTACGCCGCTGTCGTTAAACAGGTAAGTGAAAGTTTCTTCTTTGATAGGCATTTAGAAGTTGGACTACTAAGTAAGGATAAGATTTATGGATGAACAACTTCTTTATTACAATTAAGAGCAACGTTTCGGTGTAGGTTACTAAGTGGAAGTTTGTTTTACACCTCACATGTCAGTTACGCAATAATATAAGGTTTATGAATTCGTAGTCCGTAATATCTTTACTGAAATCAAATAGATAAACCTCACTCCGACAGATGAATATGGCTCCTATTTGCTTTGGTTACAAACTTTACTACAAAATTGAAGAATTTAAGTTAGGCGATTTTATACACGTTCGTTCTTGACCATGCACAGTGTTTCTCGTATATTATCTCCTCCATGGACGTCTATGCCTGTAGTATCTGGATGTGAAAATGCGTCTGTGTAATATTTACAAAGACTTTGAATGCAGCCCAGCAGTATCTGATTTGTTTGTTTATTTGTTGTTTAACGCCGCATTAAGCAATATTCCAGCTATATGACGGCGGTCTGTAAATAATCGACAATCCTGTGATTGACCTCATGAGCATACGATGACATGCATCAACCAAGTCAGCTAGCCTGACCACCCGATCCCTTTAGTCGCTTCTTATGACAAGCATAGTCGCCTTTTATAGCAAGCAGTTGAGTTGCTGAAGATCTATTCTACCCCGGATCTTCACGGGTCAAGTATCTGGTAACCAGAAGTTGAAAAATTAATCCACATTTCACTTATTATGTTTCGCAGACGAATGGCGTTTTGAAGCCGTCGCAAGAACTCGTTCGTAAGTATTTTTGAAACCTATATACGTATCGCTCTACTAATAACAGTAATAATAATAATGATTGTTTTTAATGCCAGATCCGCCCTTTAAAACGTGCACAAAACTCTACATTATCGCACGGGTCTATGGATCACCGCGCGTTTTAATTTAATTCTCAGCCTCCTTGAGAATATACAACCAAACCTGCCGTATGAGGCGCCAGAATGTTAATAGTCACGTTACCATAAATATCATCATGAACAAAGGCAGAGGTTTGTTTGACACCGCACTCGACAATATTCCTATATAGACGGTAAATAATCGAGTCTGGACCAGAGATCCCAGCGATTGATACCATGAGCTTGGGATACGATGACATGCATCAACCAAGTCAGCGAGCCTGACCAACCGATCCTGTTAGTCGCCTCTTACGACAAGCATAGTCGCCTCTTACGGCATGCATGGGTTGCTGAAGAACTGTTCTACTCCGGATATTCAGGAGTCGAACAGAAATTTGAAGTAGGAAGGTTATATATATACACATGTGATTAATTGATGTTTATACAAGGTAATGTTCACACAAGACATAAAGTATAATAGCCTGATTGATGTACAGAAATATTTTTGTTGCACATCCAGATTACCGTGGCCCACATCCACCAAGAGGCACACACCGGTACCAGTTTTATGTCTTTCGCTGGACATCCAATCAGAGACCGGTGCTCCACAACTCGGACCGATCGAGAGGCCACTTCCAACTAAACCGGTTCAAGACGGACAACCATTTGAATGAACCGGTTGCGGTGTTTCAGGTGAAGGTCCCGCATACTTAATCTCTTTTTGAGATATAAGAATAATACCATGTTGTATTGATTTTGGAAATAACAAATTTGTTAAATAAAAGGAGCTCTTCAGAGCTACAGATAAGCTGCGTATTTGCGTAAAATACCCCCAGAACATATTCAAAACCCAATTGTTTTCAATTAACTTGCGTACAGAAACGCATGCGTTCAATGCAAAACTCAAATTATATAAACACGTCGAGTAAATTACCAATGAAGCTTTTTCAGCATACGTACAAAGGAGTTAATTTCCGAAACACAATAACAAGCTTATTTACTTTCCGGGTCAAGCCTATTTATTTATACATCTAAAATAATATTTCATTTTTTTTTAAATCTTAAAATGTTCACTAATTTTGGGGAAAAAACAATAGATTGATGAATAGATGAGTGAAAAAATATTGGTTACCCAATGAAAAATGTTATAACCCAATAAAAATAGAAACCCTAGAGTAAAAACTCAATTGCTCAAAATTTTATCTGGAGCTGTGGGCTCTTATGAACAAACATTATAGTATTGTTTATGTAGATACTACTTGATACAGCTTGGGGACATTCTTGTTTGCTGGATTAGACAAATATAACATAATTCTCAGGGTTATCCCCCTCTCTTTTTTTAACCGCAACACTCAGGAACATTCCATCTATATGTCGGCGATCTGTAAATACTCGAGTATGAGCCAGTGATTGCCATCATGAACATCATCCACGCATTTGGAATACGCTGACATGCATCAACCGCGTCAGTCTGAATACCCGATCCTGTAAGTCACCTCTTTCGACAAGCATGGGTTGCATGAAGACCAATTCTAACCTGGGGCTTCACGGGTCCAACGGACGGTCGATAAGAAATGGCTACTATACCAATTGTGGGCACGGTTGCCCAGTTGTCTAAGGCGCCGCGATTAGCTGTGCAGAGTTGCGTCCCTTGGGCACGCCAGAAACCTATGATTGTGGGTTCGAATCCCGGTTCGCACCGATTATTTTTCTAGGTTTGTCAGCACTATACCCGTACTCGTGGGTTTCACTGAAGTGGTAAACGACTACCACCTGCTCACGTCGGGCTTTACTCCCACATTAAGCTGATACGCCGCGATATAACTGGAATACTGTTAAAAGCGGCGTTAAACGAAACTCACTAACTCACTACTATACCAATTGATTAGGAAGAACTAAGATATTTTGTGTTTCAATTACATAGAACAAGCAGGGGGCTGTTAGATACATACATGTTATAAAATATTCGAATTCTTAACAAAACAAGTCCTCGGCGAGTTTTGGATGTGGGGATGATCAATTCTTTATGGCCGAATTAAATCCTCGCTTATGGATCCTGACACACAAATCTAAAATATCTGACAGTTGTAACATACGTTATTGACATGTTAAGCTACATGATACAACTGGGCGTAGAGATTATTAATAACGTTTCGGTATATTTGTTTAAACTGCATAAATAGTTAAAAACTTTGTTTTTTTCGTTTCCAGGTTGTAAGGTTAGAAGCTGTTTTTATTTTCCTTCTTGTGCAACTATGATAACATATACGAACATCCACAGATGAATAACTCCCATTGGAACCAATACTGTGATAGATGTAGACCATGCTTACCAACCATAATTCGACCTGGGTCTGGCTTGCAGCGAGACCGCCTCCTTGGTCTTGTGGGTTTAGAGTGGCCCGGAGAATGAAGGTCGGTGGTTTGCGTCAAACCAAAAGTCGTTGAAAATAATACTTGTTACCCTGCCGGCGCTAGGGAATTAAGAGGTTGGGACAAGGACTGTGTCGAAGTGGAGTGTCCATGGTCAACTGTGGCATGGTATCTCATAGCACGTCGCTATATCAGTGCAATAATCTAGAGCGCAACATTGAACCCCATTGCACCCAGTCTCATTATGATCAGATGTTAGTTCTCGCTCCCGCTAATCAAGGATCTGAGGACATCCCCTTACGGGTCTGGTCAGAACGACCTTTCATCCGACCAATCAGCGCCGATTACCAGGGGCCTGTTACACAAAGCGATCTTAGTGCTACGACTGTCGTAAGCCTGTGTTAAAGTACGGGAGTTACGATCATCCTAGCGCTAAGATCGCTTTGTGGAACGGGCCCCAGATCAGTCGGAATGTGTTTTTCTTATCATGCGACCTCGAAAAGTTTAACACGGGTTTTTCCGAATGACAGCTTCGGGCTGTACGACAAATCAAAATAATTTTCTATATCTCGCTTCAATGGGATAACCATTTGGAACGGTAGAGACTATCCATACCCCGTGGGAAATAATGCCATACAATCTAGGCCATCTTAAATAAATTCCAGTGTTGAATAGGTGTTTAGCAACTCGCGCTTGCCGTAAAAGGCGACTATGCTTGTCGTAAGAGGCGACTAAAGGGTTTGGGTGGTCAGGCTCGCTGACTTGGTTGATTCATGTCATCGTGTCCCAATGGCGTGGATCGATGCTCATGATCTCAATAACTGGATTGTCTAATCCAGACTCGATTATTTACAGACCGCCCTCATATAGCTGGAATATTGCTGAGTGCGGCATTAAACAACAAACAAACAAACAAATAACCTTAATAAGAGCAGCCCATGTTAAGGTCACCTACTCGTTTCTCAACACTTAAAGTACATGGGTAGGTAGGTCTGGTGTGTATTACACTACCACACTTGACAATTGTATTAATTGACAGTAATGAAGAAGGGAGGCCTTCGTTGGTATTAGTGGTCAGGGCGGGTTTCATCAAAAGTGCAACTTCGGAAAGGAAAATAACGACGAATTTGTAACCGGAACCGACTTCAGCACCCAGAACATATGTAAAACTTCAGGTTGGGGGCGTTGTTCAAGGTTGGTCGGTGATGAGAAACACGAATTATATTATGTGGACTTCGCCACAGATGGATGAACAATGTCTTGCCACACAGTCCCACATTTTCACCCAGTGTGAACACGTTTTCATCTTAACTTAGGAGTCGTTCGAAGTCAATAGTTTATTTCTATGAAAGTAAAGTTCCTACCCCCATTTTACTTAACGAAGCCAGGGTAATCATCAACCTCGTTGGACTGTGACTCGTTTTATATCGGTGAGCGGGAACATGCGCTTTATGTGGACCCCCTACCATCTATTCAAAATCGTCCATAGTTCTCATTATTATCAAACGCCGAAAGTTTTTCTTCCCGTCTACGCATTCATACGATATAAAAGAAGAGATACATAAAAGTCACCCGACAGTATGCCTTCTGTCCAGTAAGGCTATTGAAAAAAAGCGATAAAGTACACTGATTCGTCATAACGCGACAGGTTGCGTTGACATATCGTGGTAGGCGCGGTATACCGAGGAGGGAAGGTAGGCAAGGCAGCGACCTGGGAAAACACGTTTAGTTTTAGCCGAACATAAGGGCATGGCGGGATGCCAGAGGATGGCCTACAGGTGTATGGCGAGATACTCTCGCTTCTTCAAGAGCAGGTAAGTCATTCTATGAGTTTGATCTGTACAACTCGTCATGGAACGCCTTAGTAACGCGACACGGATCCTGTCGTTATTACATAAGACGTGTATTTGTGGACGATTCTTTTGTTGGGGTGTCTTCTCTACAATCGATAACTCAGTCTGATGCTAAGCAGCTTGCTTATCATCAATCAATATTTGATTATGCAAACACAAAACCTTTAAACCACATGGTGATTCTAATTCAAATATCGCTCATATTCAAACGCAAACGATATGACAGAATTATGGACATAGTAGCTAACGCGGATCTAAAGACGGATTGGATTTATTTCTTTGAGAAAAAGTATAGTCCTGTATCTTTTATGTAATGTGGTCCAACCACTTCACAATTCCCACCCCTCTCGCTCCATCTCATACACACTCTGTCACAGCTTCCGTGTATGCTTGCCACGCCCATAACGAGCTTGTTACGTTGCGTCCCAAATTTAGATATAATGCTGTGTACAAGAATCTATTTTTTAAGATTGAAATTCTCGCCTCGCTGTGAACAGGAGCCTCCTTAGGTAGCGCAGTGCTATGCTGAATGATAATACAAATTCTGTCCCTGCAGACAGAAGACACTCGAACCGAGCACCCTAACCATAAGACTATCTATACGCGAGAGCATTATCATTTTATAACATCTCACACGTGCCTCATGCATGATGTATTCTACGTCGTGATAATGTTTGGAGCGTGTATACAATTGCCAAGTTTGCATTACATATTTGACAATGCGTACGTCGTAAGTAAGGAAAAGATATATGGATGAACAACTTTGAGCAACAGTGGGAGCCACGTTTCGGTGTAGGTTTCAACACCATTATCAAGCGTGATGTGATGTACGGGATATTGTTGACAGGCATATATATGAGGCAATGGTATACAGTTGATTAGATTGGGATGTAGTTACACGGAAGTGGAAAAACCTGTTTTGTACAAAAAACAGGCTAAAAGAAGTTAATACGTACGTTGGTCGGTATTATACGTCGTGTTCACTCCATAAAAGAGCCGTCTCGGCATTCGTATGGAATTCCCGTCGCTTAAAGAGAAAAATTAGCGTAGGATGTGTACAGAGCTCCAGATAACATTTTGAGCAATTGAGTTTTTACCCCCTAGGGTTTCAATTTTTATTGGGTTATTACATTTTTCTTTGGGTAACCAATATTTTTTCACTCATCTATTCATCAATCTATTGTGTTTTTCCTAGAATTAGTGAACAGTTTAAGATTTAAAAAAAGAAATGAAATAATGTTGTAGATGTATAAATAGATAGGCTTGACCCGGAAAGTGAATTAGCTCGTAATTGTGTTTCGGAAATTAGCTCCTTTGTACGTATGCTGAAAAAGCTTCATTGGTAATTTACGCGAGGTGTCTTTTATACATTTGAGTTTAGCATTCAATGCATGCGTTTCTGTACGCAAGTTGATTGAAAGAAATTGGGTTTTGAATATGTTCTGGGGGTATTTTACGCAAATGCGCAACTTATCTGAAGCTCTGACCTCGTATGTTATTTGGAGCCTGAACTCTGAATATATAATATAAGGGTTGTTTCCTTATTCGCTGCTGCGATAATAGATATAATATCATCAATACTTATATTTACATATATTGTATGGTGATATACGCCAATATATACCAGTAGATTTGAAACACCCACAACTCAGCTATATTCATTTGGTTAAAATCACTGCAAGCTTTCAAAACAGAGTCAATCTTCCTAGCTTCATTTTAACCGGTAATTAAATTACAGACAGAATTTACACACTATTTACTAAAGGTGTTTCAAGATCAGGTAACGTCTGAGACCTGTATCACTTCGTTCTTTCCTCCACATTAAGCTGACTTGCTGTGATATAACTGGAATATATATCAAGATCACTAGAGATCACGTGTTCTAGATCGATATGCAAATGGGAATGATTTACTGTAATAACATTTAATAATCGATTTTTTGTAATCTCAAACTTGACGGAGGCAATCCGGACTTATAATAACGTAATTTCAAGATATTCCAGATAAACATAAATTTACATTCCCTATTACCGACCGTCACCGAGTAAATATAAATAATTATATATATTTACTGCATAAACTTCAACACGTAATTGTTAAAGGATTTTATTGGACCATAGAAAATATGTACGAGAATGCATTATATTCCAATACAATGACATATCTGTCTGTAAGATTAGAATAGTTTGCATACAAATTGAATTACAGTTGGGGTATTAAGTATACATGTACAAGAGTTACATCAAGAGTACATTTGGATATATATTTAAATGTCAAAAAAGGCTTTTCCGAGCTATATTTTTGCTTATCGTTATGAAATATAATTTACGAATTATGCAATCATAAACCTAAATGAAATCAGCGTCCTCGTATTTTGTAACAATAAGCGCACAAAAACACGTCCAGTCACATATCTCTCATTCATACATACACAGCAGCGATATATGTAGTAGTTGTTAATCAACACCCTCTGCGTAAACACCCTGGATAATAACAGGGGGCGGTACGTCGAACACATTTCCATCGCCCAATGTTTTCATTAAATGTCATTGCAGTGTCATAGCAGTAAGTCGAGTCTTCGTTTCAAACTACTGAGCGTGTCGTTTCAAATCTGTGAATTGCGCCTGCCCGTCGCTTGGTGTTCAGAAAAGGGTGTGGGGTATGTTTGCATTACTCTGGTCGGCCCCGAATGATTGTATTACTAGGATAGCCCTTGTATAGCGCAATGTGATACACGCCACAATAGGCACCTTTAAAAAGCGGCGGAGATGGAATATTTTTCAAAACTGCATATTGAGAAACAATAACCGAACATCGATATAAACAAATGATTGTATTATACTCGTTACATGACATAAAAAAATATAGGTCAATTTGCTGAATATGTGTCAACGTTGTTGAATATGTATACTTGTTCGGTGCTGACCTAGTTCGTCAATTTATTGTAAACCCATATAGCCCCGTGGTTATTCGAAGTATCCCTATATGTAATATGTAGAATTAAATATAAATAGCCAACGCCTGAGAATAACCAGTCTCGATTATCCACCGAAGCAGACTCCATTCGGCGCAAAAGGCAAAACAGCGGTGAAACTTATATGAATGGATACCTGAAAATCAATGAAGACACCGAGTGTTCGCGAAAAGAGCAAGTATGGCATGCCCTACCGGTAGCACCCCGACTCACAATTTGCATTAAAAAAGTGTTTGTCGCCTGACATGTAAGGAAAACTAAAAGACAAAACTGGCGTTAAATTGGGAATCTACATTATTTTTAGTACCATATCCTGATTAAAGTCTTAGCTCGTCAAGCCGAAGACCTTCGGATTTCGATATATATATATATATAAATAAAATAAATCAAATCCGGATCTTATGTTCTTATAAACGTAATCGCTTAACGTTGTTCAAGATCGAGGTAGCCCAGTGATTAAAACGTTGGCTCATCATGCCCCAAACCAGTTCGATGCTTCGATGCGGGGGCACGGGTGGCCAAGTCGTTCAAGGCGCCGCGATTCGCCGTGCAGAGTTGCGTCCCTTGGGCACGCCAGAAACCAATGATTGTGACATGTGTTCGAATCCCGGTTCGCCCCGATTATGTTTCTAGGTTTGTCAGCACCATACCCGTGCTCGTGGGTTTCACCGAAGTGGTAAACGTCTGAGACCTGCATCACTTCGTGCTTTCCTCCAAAATTAAGCTGACACGCCGCGATATAACTGAATTACTGTTAAAAGCGGCGTTAAAACAAACTCACTCACTCACTCACCAATGCTTCGATGCTCATGCTGCATAGACACATATAGATCGGCGTTGTGAAAAACAGCTGCCTCCCATTAGTTGTGTTTGGCTGGTCCATGCAGCAACAAAGCAATCCGTTTATTTATATCAATACTTGAAGCTACATCCAATTCCGTAACTGACATTATTGTAATTATTCCATTCATGTTTACATCGACAACAAAATCTGGTGTCACAACAAACTGGCTTGAACATTGTGAACATCCAATTCAAGCGCCTTTCCCTGTAGAACATGATCGTCAGAGTGCGGCACATTCACCGACATAAAGTAAATACAACTTTGCTACGAACGTGACGCGAACAAAGGATTTCGGCAACAGTTTCTGATAAACTTTCAAATGGTTTGACGTGTTAGCTTATACTATCTGACCTTAATATGCGGTTAATGGCACTATTTGATATGTATTCCGCTTGGAGTTATCTTATTACTAGTATGAAGTACGGTTGTTGAGCTGGAGTATGGTGTTTCTCTTGAAATCGGGGCGGTGGGGTAGCTTCGTGGTTGAGGCGTTCGCTCGTCACACCAAAGACCCGGGTTTGATTCTCCACATGGGTACATTGTGTGCAGCCTATTTCTGGCGTCCCCAGCTGTGATATGGCTGTAATATTGCTAAATGCCGCGTCAAACCATGCCAACTCACCCACTCACTGTTCTTGAAATCAGCTGTTTAATTGATTACATGAAATGGCAGAGGGAGTGAGTGTAATTTTACGCCGCTTTTAGTAATATGCCTGCAATATCACGTCGAGGGACACCAGACAGGGTCTTTACACAGTGTAGCCATGTGAAGAATGATTAAACCCGTGCCTTCATTAGACGGTCTAAAAATTATCTTCATAGAAAACAAAACAACTCCGCCATCCCACCGCCACCCTACGCCCACATGTGAATGTCGGTCCCTAGACATCAAAATTCCTATTCCGTGGGATTTCAATGGTTCCGTTTTATAAAACCAGATCGTGCACCCGTGTGTGAACTTGTATCTCGAGTTTATTGTCAGCGTCAGAATTCCGCCCCTCATGGCTGAGTAGATTTTAAAAGCATCACTCACCTCCTCGTTCAACCGTTGCGTGCATATTCTTCACCATAAAACGCAGCTATCTGGAGTTCACAATGAAATCGTCCACGTGGAACTAAGTGTCCTTTAAATAAGGTCGGGACCAGTACCGACCGGACAAGTCAGACTCATCAGCAGTCTGCTCAATCGTCCTACGCTGGTATGTACTGAGAATAAACAGCATAGCACTGACTTCACTGTAAGACGACATTCGTCACCACTCGCCCCTTTCCGTAACCTGCAAGAAGACTCGCCCCCTATCGATGAAGGTTATGTGCGAAAATACGACAAACCAATCAGAATGCGCGTTTGATTTCAAGTTGTTCATCAAAGAATCCCTCAGAAATATTTTTTTGATTTTACATATGTCTTGCATCTAAAATATACCCAAGACACAGTTAAATGTGTTCAATCATACTATATAATTCCGCATGTCCAGATGTGCTTTAAATTGCATCTGAAATATATATGATATATGGGGAAATATATATGTGAACCATTACGCAACGAGTTGACAACTGTTTTAGGTATGCCCGTTTGCGCTAAGACGGGACCCGGTTGCAAAAATGGATATGAGAGGGGCACGAGTCGCTATTCGGCTTGTCCCGGATTAACACGAGTTGGTCACGAATGTGTGAGACGAGTGAGAGATGACACCAGTGGCCAGGAATGCAATCCCGCTGGAGTCACCAACATTCACCGGTTGACTGGTTAGCAAGCGTCCCTTGCAGGGTTGGCTTCACTGGAGTCGGTCAATACTTTGTGGAGAGGCCCCTAGACTAACATCTTGTCTCTAAAATAAACATATCGTACAGTAAAAACAGTAGTTAAATTATCTTAATAAAAATATGATAAAAAGTAGCCCAGAGACTCTCTTCATGTTCAGATATTGCAGTAATCTAGACTTGCCAAACATTATAGACTTGCATGGGCTGTATTTGATATATTTGTATCAGGGTCTGTAAGAGTGAGTGAGTGAGTGAGTATGGTTTTACGCCGCTTTTAGCAATATTCCAGCAATATTACGGCGGGGGACACCAGAAATGGGCTTCACACATTGTACCCATGTCGGGAATCGAACCCGGGTCTTCGGCGTAACGAGCGAACGCTTTAACCACTAGAGTACCCGACCGCCCCTTGGGGTCTGTAAGACAGACTATGAGGTCCCCAGCACCCTATTGCTTTTTGGAGACTTGTTTTAAATTGGATCGGGAGGTACGGACCGCGTCACACGACTGATGGCGTGTCATCGTGTCTGGTTTGCCCGGCCCCGATTCTATGAGGAAGCCCGTGATACTAATTGGGGAAATAGGGGTCGACGAGTGAACATATCTCGGAGTGAACAATAGCTCCGTCACAGTGTTATGTTTACTGCAGTGAAATATCAAGTGTTATGTTCACATAAGGAAAATAATTTATGGATGTTACCGTCTTTGTTATCAGGAACACAACGTTTCAGAGTATATGGTAACTCCTTCATCTTAATTCATCTGATGGAGTTAGCATATACTTTTCCTTATGTGTATCACTTCTAAATGCCTTTCAAAGACTTGTTATGTTCACTGCAATGAAGGGGGCACGGGTGGCCCAGTCGTCTAAGGCACCGCAATTCGCTGTGCAGAGTTGCGTCCCTTGGGCACGCCCAAAACCTATGATTGTGGGTTCGAATCCCGGTTCGCCCGGATTATGTTTCTAGGTTTGTCAGCACCACACCCGTGCTCGTGGATTTCACCGAAGGGGTAAACGCCTGAGACCTGCATCACTTGGGGCTTTCCTCCCACATTTAACTGACACGCCGTGATATAACTGGAATACTGTTAAATGCGGCGTTAAACCCAACTCACTCACTGCAATGAAAATATCACTTTGCTCAACTTTCTCAGTCTTTCACACTGTTTCAGTGTCGTGAGTGAAAATACACCTTGACAGACGGCGGTGTGTCAATTATCGAATCTGAACAAGATAATACAATGACTGACATCATTAACATCGATCTACGCAAATGAGATGCATATAGATTGTATGATATCGCTATCAACCTGCACGGCACCGAGCGCGACCATCCGGGCTATTTTGTTCGCCTCTTACGACAAGCTTAGGTCTGCTGGGGACCTTTACTCTAGCCCGAAATACCCCCGGGTCGCCTCTTTAGTGCATCCTTTAGTTTTGGTATATCAGGAGAAGTTGCACAACCAGCTGTAGGTGATTAAGCTGCACTTGAACATCTGTGTCTATAAAGAGCCGCTATGGTCAGTCATGCGCAACATGACATAGGCTTTTAAATCACAAAAGCACAGCAGTGTGGTGTATTTTATGACAAGTCATTTGTGTGTGACCGCTGAAGCTGAAAGTGTCACATACAGACATGAGAGTCACACGAGCCTTTATCAACATTGCGTTACTTGACTTGCGTTTGGGGGGGAGGGGGCGCTCTGGCGTCTATAGGTGATAGCAGACCCAAACAACAGCCTGCCTATCCGAACACACAGTTGATGACATGTTGTTCCGACGCCTTATCGGGCCTGAATTAGTATTGCTTATAGAAGGTTGTCAACTTGACATTGATACGCTCTTGTGGAATTGAATATCCGGATCTGCCCCTCCTCCCTCTCTCTCTCTCTCTCTCTCTCTCTCTCTCTCTCTCTCTCTCTCCCCCCCCCCCCTCTCTCCCTCCCCCCCTCTCTCTCTCTCTCTCTCTCTCTCCTTCATTTCCACCACCCATCCATATCTACTCCCCAACACGGGGCGGTCGAGTAGTCTAGTGGTTAAAGCGTTCGCTCGTCACACCGAAGACCCTGGTTCGATTCCCGACATGGGTACAATGTGTGAAGCCAATTTATGGTGTCCCCCGCCGTGATATTGCTGGAATATGGCTAAAAGCGGCGTTAAACCAAACTCACTCACTCACTCTGGTGTCCCCCGTGTGATATTGCTGGAATATTGGTAAGAGCGGCGTATACCATACTCACTCACTCCTCCTCAACACCATAACACACCCATCAATAACAAAATAAAATAAAAATATGTCAAAAACTATTCTGTCATGAATTTGGAAATAGTCTACTTTGAATGAATCGCCGCGAATAGCTGCAAAATTGCTGATGCGGCGTTAAGCAATATTCACTCACTCACTCACTCACTTTGAATGAAACGGCCGCATCACCGTGAAGTTTATTATCATACAATAGGACTTTCTCAGTCGTTGAAGGGGGCACGGGTGGCCCAGTCGTCTAAGGCGCCGCGATTCGCTGTGCAGAGTTGCGTCTCTTGGGCACGCCAGAAACCTATGATTGTGGGTTCGAATCCTGTTTCGCCCCAATTATGTTTCTAGGTTTGTCAGCACCATACCCGTGCTCGTGGGTTTCACCGAAGTGTTAAACGTCTGAAACCTGCAATTTTAGAAATTTGAACATATTTGTTAGAAATATTTAGAAATATTCTTTATCATAATCATTATTTACAGACCATTTCGTAATGTTCCAAATGTTGAGCTATTAAAAATCAAATTCATTTTAAATATGCTCTTAATTATTTATTTAATGTAGTAATATTTATTAAGCAGTTGTCTTATTTCTTATTCAAATGAACAGACAAACAAATTGTGAAATCTATCTCCTGCTTTGTCACCTTTTTTTTCAGAGTGGTCATTTTTTTCAAAAAATGATATTTGTTATCCTTCTGTCTGTTTCAATCGGTGAATTTTGATTGGAGGTTCTAACTTAAGCACAATTCTGGGATCGGAACCAAACTCATTAAAGCTTTGAAACGCATTAGTATGACGTTATTATGTATACAGAGTCCAAAATCTATATATGGTAATAAATCATGTTGTGTCTTAACGTCAACTGTCAATATTCAATATTCAGCGAAATATTTGGACATTAACTAATAATATTAGTGCACAGGCCGCAATAAGGTATTAACGGTAGTATATGGTGATTTAAGTGCGAACGGGCAATACGCTATAGGTATTAGAAAAGTATTCGTACGTCACAACTGAACGACAGGTCATCTTCTTTGTCCTCTTTTTCAGGTTGTTCCTCTGCCTTGTAGGGCTCGCTATCATGTGCGTCACTGTATGGAGCTTCAGAGAGGATAACAGGACTTTTCATTCGGGTGAGAATTGCCATTGGTGCATCATGAAGTGTGTCATTTATGGCCAAGACAAAATTACTCGTGTTATATTTTCTATGTTTTTAAAGCTATGTATATCTAGGCTACCCCCTGAAGGACGATAATTTTATACCAGGGGGTCAGGGGCTGGTATTTTAAAAACGGAAAAAGTCTAACCCCGAACATGCTTGAAAAATATATTCAGGCTTTTCACAAAACAGTAACTCGTTCACTGGACATGCTCGCAGTTCCATAATATTGTTTTATGGGTCGGAACATATTGTTTAGCTCATCTTCCAGGGAAAAGGAGTGTATGTTTTGAAGCACTAACTGTTCAAAGACAAGACAGATCCCAGCTTTGCACATGGAATCATGACCAATTCTAATGGCGATCCAAATGTGGATCCCTCAAAGAGGTGGTTCCGAGGTAACCCATGATTGGCGCGAGAGCCGCCCTTGTGATAAACCGGGACAGAATTGGTCTTCAGCAAGCCATGCTCGTCGTAAGACAAAACGGGATCGGGTGGTCAGGCTCGCTGACTTGGTTGATGCGTGTCATCGTATCCCCATTGCGGGGATCGATGCTCATGATGTCAATCACTGGATTGTCTGTTCCAGACTCGATTAGTCACAGGCCGACGTCACATAGTTGGACTAGCGGGGTGTTACACAACAAACAGACAAAACGTACGGTGACCAGTCGCATAAGGCGCCATAATTCGCTGTGTAGAGTTGCGTTCTAAAGGCGTGCCGAACCATTTACATCATGTGTTCGAATCCCGGTTCGCCCTGATTATGTTTCTAGGTTTGTCAGCACCATACCTGTGCTTGTGGGTTTCATCGAAGTGGTACATTATGATCATGGGTTCGAATCCCGACTATATACATTCCGTCGTGCGGAAGGGGGGGGGGGGGGGGGCATGGGAACAACATTTATTCAACAAACAAACAAACAAACAAACAAAACGTTCGGTGCCCAGTCGCATGAGGCGCAATAAGTCGTTTCGCAGAGTCGCGTTTTTAAGGCGTGCCGAAACATTATGATCATGGGTTCGAATCCCGGTACCAAACCAAACAACATTAATTAACTTAAATATAATGGGTTTATGTTTCAGCTCTGTTATCTCTAAAACAGCATGGGGAAAGACAAAGCGGCCTGCTAAAATACAAGTTCCTGAGCTGGAAACAAGGTACGTGTAGATATGGTACTCTAAAAAAGTCCATGTGTAATAGTGTTATTCCTAGTGGGAGTAAGTGCAGCCAGTACGACGAGTGACTGTCCCTACGTATTGGCGCATCTTCTCATAAACGGGGTACCGGTTAGCCCAGTTGTCTAAGGCGCCGCAACGCTTTTTAAGAGTTACGTCCCTTGGGGACGCCGTGGGTTCGAATCCCGGCTCACCCTGATTATGTTTCAAGGTTTGTCAGCACCATACCCGTGCTCGTGAGTTTCACCAAAGTGGTACCCGTTTGAGACCTGCATCACTTCGGGCTCACCTCCCAAATTAAGCTGACACGCCGTGATATAACTCGATTACTGTTCGAAGCGGCGTTAAGACCAACTCACTCACTCTTCTCATAAACTGTCGTAGCAGTTCACAGGCTTACTTGGATGTCCGTTTAGGCGATGTCATGAACACTTTGAACCGATTGTTCGTTGATGCTTCGAAGAAGATGCACAACAATCTATCAATTCTATGCGACAACTGACAACAGATGACACTAATGGCAAAATGGCAAAGCATGAACTATCTTTACAGTCACCAGTCCCACTGTCTTTCTAGATTCATCTTGGAGATTACCTAGGAAGCATAAACGCCCTGACCAAGACCACATGGACGAGGCACTCCAACCTGTCCTGCCTCAGATGAATAACTTTGAACAACAGGGGCAGAATTTTAATCCTGGTCAACCTCAAGCCATTGCCGATCAAGGCCAGCGAAATTGGGCACCTGAACCTGCCTTGCCTCAAATGAGCCAATTGGAACTAAAGACAGGACCCAAACAAGATCAGATAAACGGGGCTCCTCAGCCTGCTCTGGCACAGGAGCAGAATGTTAATCCTGGTCAGGCTCAAGCAGGACACGACCTAGGCCAGCTGAAGGCGGCACCTCAACCTGCTCTGCCACAGAATGTTAATCCTGGTCAACTTAATGCAGCTGCTAATATAGGCCAGATGAACGCGGCACCTCAACCTTTCCGGCCACAGAATGTTAATCCTGGTCAACCTAATGCAGCTGCTAATATAGTTCAGATGAACGCGGCACCTCAACCTGCCCTGCCACAGAATGTTAATCCTGGTCAACCTAATGCAGCTGCTAATATAGTTCAGATGAACGCGGCACCTCAACCTGCCCTGCCACAGAATGTTAATCCTGGTCAACCAAATGCAGCTGCTAATATAGGCCAGCTGAACGCAGCACCTCAACCTGCCCTGCTACAGAATGTTAATCCTGGTCAACCTAATGCCGTGCCAGACATAGGCCAGCTGAACGCTGCGCCTCAACCAGCTCTGCCTCAAATGAACCAAGTTGAACAACATGGGCAGAATCTTAATCCTGTTCAGCCTAAAGCAGTTCCCGGTCTTGGCCAAGTAAACGAGGAAAAACAGCCCGTTTTGCCACAAGTGATCATGAACCAAATAATACCGCGGCTTGAGGAATCTAATCCTGGTCTGCGTCAAGGTGAATCTCAGCCTGCCCAACCTCTGGTGAAGCAAGGTGTGCCGTCTTTTGTCGATGAGGTGCCAGTGATACTTTCGTGGCATCCTCTAGGAGGAGTCCAAGATGTCAGTATTATATGCGGGCTTCGCAAATGTTTGATGGTAAAAGATCACGAAGAGTGGAAAAAACACGACTATATGGTAATTTCATTTGTAATTCATATAACAGGACTATTATTCTCTGATTTATAACAAAACCATAGTACTAGCCCACTCAGATACCATGCCACAGTTTAACACGATTACCCACTCAGAAACATTATACTGACTCGCAGCCGGCAGGTCCTTGTTTTATCCTCTAAATGACGAGTGCAGGCAGGGTAACAACAAATATCAACGTTTAACGTCTTTTGCTGTGACGCGCTCTATCGACTAGACCGCGGTCGGCATCTCAACAATTAAAGTAGTGCTATCTATATAAGTATTGTTATATTCTTTAAGGCATTCGAAAGTTGAAAATCAAGTTCCATATAAATAACACATCTTCGAAATGGAACTCGCCTGAATAGAAAGGAATAAAAAAAAATTAGACTGAAATGAAATTTCAAGACGATTGTTAGGGTCGTGATTAGGTGAAATAACACGAATGAGATTTTATATAAGGTCACATCATGAATCTCCTTTTCCCAGGGCATCCTTTTTTATGGAACTGACTTTGGCTCCGAAGGTCTACCCGTACCCCGAAAGCCGGGGCATCTATGGTCTGTTCTACACGAAGAATCCCCAAAGAATAATGATTGGTTGTTTTCCGCTAAATCCGCCATGTCTATTTTTAATCTGACGGCAACCTTCAAGCGACAGTCACATTACTCCTTCCCTACCATGTGGCTCCCCGTAAGTATACAAGAGAACCAAACTGTTTCTGGATAAAATATTGACACTAGAACAATTATTCATCTTTGTTGCCGAATAGCACAGCTGGCATCAACGTTCCCTTCAAACACAACGTGGGGATTCCGGTTTGGAATAGGCTCCCAGCAATGGTTATCTTAACAGGCGACTAAATGGATCGATGACTTGCATTTGGTTGACTACTTGAACCCTGCCGGTGTTGGACGTTACTCTTAATATCCGGGGCGGTCGGGTAGCCTAGTGGTTAAAGCGTTCGCTCGTCACGCCGATGACCCGGGTTCGATTCCCGACATGGGTACAATGTGTGAAGCTCATTTCTGGTGTCCTCCGCCGTGATATTGCTGGAATATTGCTCAAAGCGGCGTAAAACCATACTCACTCACTCACTAATCTTAATATCCGTAACTGGATTATCTGGTCCAGACTCCATCACATACAGATCGCCCCCATATAGCTGGAATATGGCTGATTGCAGCTTTAAGAACAAACCAACAAACAGCCCTTGAACCAAAGCACAGATTCATATAAAGGCTTGGCTATGCCAGTTTACCTATGAAGTCAATTTACTCTGCCGCCTGTGGATACGTTCAATTTCAAGTACCTAAGTGATTGGTCCGACTTTACACTCAAATTGTCCGATTCATCAACACTGGAAATGGGCGATAGCCCCGGTCTCCTATAGAAAAAGTCAAACCCGGGTAAAGCTGCGAAAATCGTGTTACTTCTAGATAATTTTTTACCACAGGCCTGTTGTTATTCTGACGAACCTAACTGATACTTTTGTCAACCGAGACCATTTAAGTTTGGTGAATAAGAGTGAGTGAGTGAGTGAGTGAGTGAGTATGGTTTTACGCCGCTTTTAGCAATATTCCAGCAATATCACGGCGGGGGCCACCAGAAATGGGCTTCACACATTTTACCCATGTCTGGAATCGAACCCGGGTCTTCGGCGTGAGGAGCTAACGCTTTAACCACTAGGCTACCCGACCGCCCCTGGTGAAAAAGAGGGCAATCAGAAAAACACACCATAATATGTAATTCGAAAATAACCATGATACACTTTATTAAAATTATACTCACTGAAGTCTTGTTCGTGATTACAAAAATCAGGGACAACGGCGCAGATCACTGTATTTGCTACAAAGCACTGGTTTGTCTGGCCTAACATATTGGGTATTTTCGGAATTATAGGAGTCTTAAATGAGGACAGGAAGCATCCTGGAAACGTTATGACCAACAATAAAGTTGCTATCAGTAAAGTGTTCAATCTCTTTTCATGTTCAATAATCATCGTAACTTGCAGGATGAGCGGGCTTTGACCGACACCCAGTACATGGTGTCCATCGCAGAGAAGAACCGCCTGAGAAGGGAAGGTCTGGCTCCTGTGGTGTTCGTCCACATGGACTGCCACACAGCCTCCGACCGCAGCCACTACATGAGACTGCTGAATCAGTTCATAAAAATAGACTCCTACAGTGACTGTGAGCATAACAAGGATTTCCCTTCAAAGTAGGTATTCAACGTCAACTAATTGTCACATCCAACGTCCTTTCAGATTTTGCACTCCATCCTGTCATAGTGTTCAACGTCCATTCAGTCATCGTGCTCAACGTCCTTGTGGTCATAGTGTATAACGTCCTTGTAGTCATAGTGTTTAATGTCCTCGTAGTCATAGTGTTTAACGTGAATTCAGTCATAGTGTTTAACGTCCTTTTGGTCATAGTGTTTAACGTCCTTGTGGTCATAGTGTTTACGTCCTTGTAGTCATAGTGTGCAACGCCAATTCAGTCATAGTGTTTACGTACTTGTAGTCATAGTGTTTAACGTCCATTCAGTCATAGTGTTCAACGTCCATTCAGTCATAGTGTTCAACGTCCATTCAGTCATAGTGTTCAACGTCTATTTAGTCATAGTGTTCAACGTCCATTCAGTCATGGTGTTCAACGTCCATTCAGTCACAGTGTGCAACGTCCATTCAGTCATAGTGTGCAACGTCCATTCAGTCATGGTGTTCAACGGCCATTCAGTCATAGTGTGCAACGTCCATGTAGTCATAGTGTTTAACGTCCTTTTGGTCATAGTGTTTAACGTCCTTGTGGTCATAGTTTACGTCCTTGTAGTCATAGTGTGCAACGCCAATTCAGTCATAGTGTTTACGTACTTGTAGTCATAGTGTTTAACGTCCATTCAGTCATAGTGTTCAACGTCCATTCAGTCATAGTGTTCAACGTCCATTCAGTCATAGTGTTCAACGTCTATTTAGTCATAGTGTTCAACGTCCATTCAGTCATGGTGTTCAACGTCCATTCAGTCACAGTGTGCAACGTCCATTCAGTCATAGTGTGCAACGTCCATTCAGTCATGGTGTTCAACGGCCATTCAGTCATAGTGTGCAACGTCCATGTAGTCATAGTGTTCAACGTCCATTCAGTCATAGTGTTCAACGTCCTTGTGGTCATAGTGTATAACGTCCTTGTAGTCATAGTGTTTAATGTCCTTGTAGTCATAGTATTTAACGTGAAATCAGTCATAGTGTTCAACGTCCATTCAGTCACAGTGTTCAACGTCCGTTCAGTCATAGTGTGCAACGTCCATTTGGTCATAGTGTGCAACGCCCATTCAGTCATAGTGTTCAACGTCCATTCAGTCATAGTGTTCAACGTCCATTCGGTCATAGTGTTCAACGTCCATTAAGTCATAGTGTTCAACGTCCATTCAGTCATGGTGTTCAACGTCCATTCAGTCATAGTTTTCAACGTCCATTCAGTCATAGAGTTTATGATATAACATAACGTTCTTTGTCGTTCATTGAACCATAGCTATCAACGACCCTTCAGCCAGGCACGTGTTCCTGGGGCAGCTGTGATTGTATTTCATGATTTTATGAAGCTGCAGTAAGACCACCAGCTGCAGATACAATAAAAGAAACCTGTATGGAATCTCCAGTCAAGATAACATGTCCTGCCTTGGAGATGCGTCGACATCCGTTATTTCACTGTCGTAACTGTATGTTTAAGTAATCTGACTTTTACTGTCGTAACTGTATGTTTAGGTAATCTGACTTTTACTGTCGTAACTGTATGTTTAAGTAATCTGACTTTTACTATTGTAACTGTATGTTTAAGTAATCTGACTTTTACTGTCGTAACTGTATGTTTTAGTAATCTGACGTTTCCTGTCGTAACTGTAAGTTGCAGTAAACGGACTTTCACTGTCGTAACTGTATGTTACAGTAATATGACTTTTACTGTCGTAACTGTATGCTGCAGTAATCTGACTTTCACTGCCGTAACTGTATGTTACAGTAATATGACTTTTACTATCGTAACTCTATGCTGCAGTAATCTGACTTTCACTGTCGTAACTGTATGTTTAAGTAATCTGACTTTTACTATTGTAACTGTATGTTTAAGTAATCTGACTTTTACTGTTGTAACTGTATGTTTTAGTAATCTGACGTTTCCTGTCGTAACTGTAAGTTGCAGTAAACGGACTTTCACTGTCGTAACTGTATGTTACAGTAATATGACTTTTACTGTCGTAACTGTATGCTGCAGTAATCTGACTTTCACTGTCGTAACTGTATGTTTAAGTAATCTGACTTTTACTATTGTAACTGTATGTTTAAGTAATATGACTTTCACTGTCGTAACTGTATGTTTAAGTAATCTGACTTTTACTATTGTAACTGTATGTTTAAGTAATCTGACGTTTCCTGTCGTAACTGTAAGTTGCAGTAAACGGACTTTTACTGTCGTAACTGTATGCTGCAGTAATATGACTTTTACTGTCGTAACTGTATGTTTAAGTAATCTGACTTTTACTATCGTAACTGTATGTTTAAGTAATCTGACTGTTACTGTTGTAACTGTATGTTTAAGTAAACTGACTGTTACTGTCGTAACTGTATGTTTAAGTAATCTGACTTTTACTGTTGTAACTGTATGTTTTAGTAATCTGACGTTTCCTGTCGTAACTGTAAGTTGCAGTAAACGGACTTTTACTGTCGTAACTGTATGCTGCAGTAAACGGACTTTCACTGTCGTAACTGTATGTTTAAGTAATCTGACTTTTACTATTGTAACTGTATGTTTAAGTAATCTGACTTTTACTGTCGTAACTGTATGTTTAAGTAATCTGACTTTTACTATCGTAACTGTATGTTTAAGTAATCTGACTGTTACTGTTGTAACTGTATGTTTAAGTAAACTGACTGTTACTGTCGTAACTGTATGTTTAAGTAATCTGACTTTTACTGTTGTAACTGTATGTTTTAGTAATCTGACGTTTCCTGTCGTAACTGTAAGTTGCAGTAAACGGACTTTTACTGTCGTAACTGTATGCTGCAGTAATCTGACTTTTACTGTCGTAACTGTATGCTGCAGTAATCTGACTTTTACTGTCGTAACTGTATGCTGCAGTAATCTGACTTTTACTGTCGTAACTGTACGTTTAATTAATCTGACTTTCACTGTCGTAATTGTATGTTGCAGTAACCTGACTTTCAAAACATTGAAGGGCATGGGACCTATGATGTCAGATGGTTTCTTCAAACTTATAGCGCAGTACAAGTTTGCCTTCGCCTTTGAAAACGCCGTCTGTGACGATTACATCACAGAAAAGTTCTGGAGACCACTACGACTCGGGGTTGTTCCCATTGCTTTTGGATCATCTAAAATTAAGGTGAAATAATATTTTCAGCTCACCATGGCCCAAAAGAGCTCATGGCATGGCGAAATGCCCGATGTCCGTCAGTTAACATTAATATTCGACCCCTTGTCCGAACCAGCTATAATGAAACTTTAGGAGGCTGTGTTCGTAACTAGATCCGTCTCACGGAGTTAATAAATTTCAGTATTTAAAAAAAAATGTTAACAAAATATTTGCGAAAAGACTGCATCTGTGAAACCAGTCATTAAACACTTTATGAAGATGCATATCATCATTATGTGACCTTTTCCATGACAAGAAACTGAAAACAATAGATATTCGAATGTTGATATTTTTGAATTGGTAGTGACATAAATATGGGGTTTAGGCTTTATCGTGTCATTTAAAAAGGAACGGGGCTTTTGTCGTGGAAAAAAACTTATGACAGATATGCGTGCAGATCATAAAAAAGAAATGGTTTCTGCTGGCACTATCATCTGGTTTTAACTATTGTTGAGTGTATTTCGTAAACAGAATAACCGTCATGTGCTTAACCAAATGCTATGTTACCATAATGATGGTTGTAAATTTATTGAAAATGATATAGACCTCACTGTGTTTATACTTTCCTCTCATTTTTTAAAAGATACACTTCCCGTACTAAAGAGTATTCTGGCGAAGAACAGTGCCTTTGTGTCTTTTGTGTGTTACTAACTTCATGCGTTCTCAGCCCAGTCGTCTAAAATTAAGGCGCCGCAGTCAGCTGAGTTACGTCCCTAGGCTTAGGCGTGCATGAAACCTTTAAACCGTGAGTTCGCATCAAGGTTATGTTTTAATGCGTGTCAGCACCATACCTGTGCGCATAGATTTCACCAAAGCGAGTCGAGGTGAGGTGAAATGTGGTTTAACATCACATTCAAGATTATTGATCGCGATATACGGATTTACTTTGATAATATTTTTAAAATGGCGGGCGTTTTTCAGTAGTGGTCATAATATTAACGAAATGGAGTTTCTGAATTTTATAAGATATGCTATTTTGTATCCAGGACATGGCACCTACGGACCACGCAATCATCGATATCCGGGACTATCAGTCAGTTCGAGAAGTAGCAGATCTGATTACTTCCCTTGACAGCAATGATGTGGAGTACATGAAGTTCTTGGACTTCAAACAGACAGGTGTCACAAATCCAGTATTGAAAGAGGAGCTGAGGAAACGAGACTGGGGGAATGGCAAACCTATCCGTTCTTATTTTCATGGCTTCCAATGTTTTTTATGCAACAAGCTTCACGATATGAAAATCCAGGTTCAAACTGGTCAACCGGTCACTCGGTGGTCCGGCCAGTTTGACCATTATGGATGTCCAGCGCCAAAGTTATTTGATGACCAAGGCCGTTATGTTTTAGAGAACAATGGCTGGTTGGAACCGTACACGTACGCCAATTTTTATGAACGGGCGCTGCGCTATCACATGGACAATAATATTAACGCAGATGTGAGACAGATACACAGGTATGCGGCCAAGTTGATGAGCCAAGCTGGCAGTGGTGGAATCAGAGCTGCCTCATAGGTCAAGCTTGTGGTGCTTCAGCTATCTCATAGTTTTTATTAATTCGGTTGCTTTCTTGATATTTTGAGGTTGTCGATGACGTCATCAGTGAGGTCATTGGTTACGTCATCAGTAAGGTCGTCTTGACGTCATCAGTGAGGCCTTCGTGACGTAATGGTTTTTCGTGTTGAGGGAACAGTGAAGGGACGTTATGATCACAAAATGTACGCGGATATCGGCAATCCACCCTCAACTATCAAATATATTGTATTTGCATTCTATTATATTAGATACCTTCGACCCTGGCATTACCATTGCTTGGGTTTGAATGACGCTAAAGGGCGCTAAATAGCTATACAGTCATATTGTCTCCATGAGCGAGAGAAATGCATAGCTTAGTTGCGAGATGGTGAAGAAGATAGTGATTTCACTTCAATTCTGAAACAACCCTTTCGGGGCGAATGGGTCCTGGGTATCTATAAGAACAGGCATACATTGGTTGTTGCTTAACGCCGCACTCCAATATTACAGATATATATAAATCACGTGGCTAAAATCGCGAACATCGATCTACGTTACTTGGATACGATGAATCCCCATCTCTCTTTATTTAACGCCACACTCCGGAATATTCCATCTATATGTCGGCGGTCTGTAAGTACACGAGTCGGAACCAGTGATTGACATCATGAGCATCATCCAAGCATTTGGAATACGATGACATGGATCAAATACGTCAGCCTGACCACCCGATCCCGTTAGTCGCCTCTTACGACAAGCATGGGTTGCTGAAGACCAGTCCTAACCCAGATCTGCTCGGTGGCCAAGCATGGGTTTCTGAAGGCAATTCTAAGCCGGATCTTCACGGGACGATAGTAATAGAATGGGGATATAATACAATAGGTAATTGAAGATTTTGTGTGCATATTGACCATCAAGTTTCGTATGTATAACGGCTATCGAGATGAGTGTCAATAATTTTCATAGGATACAAGTTCATATCCTATTTCAACTTTATAGATGCCTTTTGACCATTTTTCTTTGCTTTTCGTCCTTGTTCTGTACTTGCTTACTTCGACCATTGAGATACGCGTGTGTATGGAATATCGTTCTACACGTATATTGAGATGTAAATCTACATTTCAACCTTTGAGAAACATGTGTATATCGAGTTGTAAATCTACATTTCAACCTTTGAGAAACATGTGTATAGCGAGATGTAAATCTACATTTCAACCTTTGAGAAACATGTGTATATCGAGATGTAAATCTACATTTCAACCTTTGAGAAACGTGTATATGGCGATGTAAATCTACATTTCAACCTTTGAGAAACGTGTATATCGATATCTACATTTCAACCTTTGAGAAACATGTGTATATCGAGATGTAAATCTACATTTCAACCTTTGAGAAACGTGTATATGGCGATGTAAATCTACATTTCAACCTTTGAGAAACGTGTATATCGATATCTACATTTCAACCTTTGAGAAACATGTGTATATCGAGATGTAAATCTACATTTCAACCTTTGAGAAACGTGTATAAGGCGATGTAAATCTACATTTCAACCTTTGAGAAACATGTGCATATCGAGATGTAAATCTACATTTCAACCTTTGAGAAACATGTGTATATCGAGATGTAAATCTACAATTCAACCTTTGAGAAACATGTGTATATCGAGATGTAAATCTACATTTCAACCTTTGAGAAACATGTGTATTTCGACCATCGTTATGCGACCTTCGATAATGGAAATGTCATTGTGTTTCATTCATCAAATCACGTGTGCATTCCATTGGAATACACAATTATGTATCGAGTATTGGTGTACTCGTGTATTTTGACCTTCGAGGTACAGGTTTCGGGTATATTGATAGCTGATGTCAAGACTTGGCTTTTGACTCAAGATGGGTACATTGTTCACTCGATATATTGTAACCATAAGTGCCCGGTCTTAAACACACGGACGGGGTGCTGTGATCGCCAAGAAGGTAAACTTGGTTTCATGTTTGTCAAACATCGTCTTCCAGATCATTTACTGCATTGAATGAGAGATTGTAGAGATTGAGTAAATGGGTGAGTGACAATTTGGCTGAATCGATTCCGTGGCAACTGTACCCTTGGGAACTGTAGTCAGAGACTGTGGGAGGATAGCAACGCGTTTCCTGTTACACTAGAAATTGCACTAGAAATCCAGAGTGAACTTGAACCGATTCCTGTTAGTATTGGCATATCTGGTAGTTGGTTTAATACACCGTTTTGAACAGTATTTCATTTACAGTTGTCCGTATCAGATAAATCTGGGACTCGTACCCGAAGTGGCACAGGTGTCAAACCTTCTGAGATTATAATCGCGACGTTTTAGTGTATAGCTTGTTAGAGCTAGAGTTCTTGCCAAGTGGTCTGTCATCATTTCTCACTCAACCCTTATTGTTTAACATCATTGTTATGTTGGACACGAGGGATTGTTCGGCCATCAAAAGGTGCTTAGAAGATGTTGACTTCTACATGACTTTTATTTGTAAAAAAAGCAACTGCTCTTGCAGGTGTCATATATTTCCAAATGGTATTATCATTATTGATTGTTATTATGTTGTACATAGGAACATAAGTACGGTGCACGGTAATATATATTGTCTCATACTAATGTACTGAAGTTTTAAAGGTACGTGGAATGTCTCATTTAAAAGCTGATATCAATAAAATAATTTTTCTATGATCTCATTAACAGTTTGTTATTTATTGCTGTACAGTGTGTAGTTTGTAGTTTTGTCTTGGTGGTCAGCTCACCAAGACAGATAGCCCATGTGGTCAGCTTACTGGGGCAGATAGACCATGTGGTCAGCTTACTTGGGCAGATAGACCATGTGGTCAGGTTACTGGGGCAGATGGACCATGTGGTCAGCTTACTTGGGCAGATAGACCATGTGGTCAGCTTACTGGGGCAGATAGACCATGTGGTCAGCTTACTGGGGCAGATAGCCCATGTGGTCAGCTTACTGGGGCAGATAGACCATGTGGTCAGCTTACTGGGGCAGATAGACCATGTGGTCAGCTTACTGGGGCAGATGGACCATGTGGTCAGCTTACTGGGGCAGATAGACCATGTGGTCAGCTCACCAAGACAAATAACCCATGTGATCATCTTACTGGAACAGGCACACCATGTGTTCAGCTCGCCAGTACAGATAGCTCTGTGGTCAGCTCATGAAACCAGACAGCTCATGTTGTCAGCTCACTAAGACAGATGGCCCATGTGATCAGTTTACTAGGGCAGATGGCCTTTGTGATCAACTCACTAGGACAGATAGCCTTTGTGATCAGATCACTAGCCCATGTGTGAGTTTACTAGGGCATGTGGCCCATATGATCAGTTCATCCAGACAGAAGGCCCATGTGATCAGGTCACCAAGACAGATCGCAGTTATTCACAAGAACAAACAAAATGACACATGATTCATGAATAATACAACATTGCTTATTGGAATGAATGAGTTAGTGAATGAATGTAACGCTCTTTTTAATGGCGATCAGATAAAACCATATGTTATACCCGACTTGCTCACTCACTCACTCACTTGGATAACCTGTCTTGTATTATAGTAGGGTGGTCGAGTAGCCTAGTGGTTAAAGCGTTCGCTCGTCACGCCGAAGACCCTGGTTCGATTCCCGACATGGGTAAAATATGTGAAGCCCATTTCTGGTGTCCCCCACTGTGTTAATGCTGGAATATTGCTAAAAGCGGCGTAAAACCATACTCACTCACTCACTCACTATTATAGTGGCGAATCAAAAAAATATGTTGAATCTTCTTTCGGAATGAACAGATTCGAGTGATTTCTCTGTCTTGAGACAAGTTATATGGTTGATGAAAAATTTATCTCTAACTTTGCACAATGATCGTCATTTGTTGTATGTTCAGAGTGAGTGAGTGAGCATGGTTTTACGCCGCTTTTAGCAATATTCCAGCAATATCACGGCGGGGGACACCAGAAATGGGCTTCACACATTGTACCCATGTCGGGAATCGAACCCGGGTCTTCGGCGTGAGGAGCTAACGCTTTAACCACTAGGCTACCCGACCGCCCCTGTATGTTCAGAATTGCCAGTGGATTCCTGGGTCAGAATCAACGGGAAGAACGAAATCGTGACATCATCGTAATGGTTTGATAATAATAATAATAATAATAATAATAATTGTTATTGTTATAATAATAATAATAATAATAATAATAATAACAACAACAACAACAACAACAATAGAAATAATAATAATAATAAAAATAATAATAATTATGATAATAAATAGAAAAACCTAAAGAGAGCAGTTTTATGACGAGAGACTATATATTCCCATATGTAAGATTAGGTTTCTTTCCGACTAGGCTTTTCATGTGAAATTACATGTAGGAGTGGTGAATACCTTTTGTACCTACGCCTGTACTTTTCCTTACCGACCCGTCAACATCCGGGTTGGGCTTGGCCCTCAGCCATCTATGCTTGTCGTAAGAGGCCAAAACATGGGAATGTTGACTTCGTATATGCATGTCATCGCATCCCTGTTGCTCATGGTGTCAATAACTGGATTATATTATCTGGTTTACACTTGATTATTTACAGCACGCTGTCGTTTAGCTGGACTATTGCTGAGGTGTCTGCTAAACAACAAACAAACAATATTTTTTTTACCCCAATGACATCTTCTAAATACAGATATGTGTAATGTTCACACTCAAACTACATCTAAATACATTGTACAAACGGTGAGAAGAAATCTTTCCCTTTCTGCTCATGTTTTCATAAAATTTTTATTAAATGCGTTGATATTATACTTGTTGATTTAGTGTGTGTCACAACGACATTATGCTGTACAGGGGCGGTCGGGTAGCCTAGTGATTGAAGCGTTTGCTCGTCACGCCGAAGACTTCGGGTTCGATTCCCGACACGGGTAAAATGTGTGAAGCCCATTTCTGGTGTCCCCCGCCGTGATATTGCTGGAATATTGCTAAAAGCGGCGTAAAACCGTACTCACTCACTCACTGTACAGATAGGTTCATGCTGCCAAAGTACAGTGTTGCATTTCGTTTTTTAGTATGCCTCAAAGTGAGATTGACCAATCGGAGAGCAGAACTACTGACCCTGTATGAGCCCGTATACCGTCAGTAAAAATCAAAGATGGTTGTTACTGACCTAATATGAGACCGTATCCGGTCAGTCACAGCCATTTTGGATTTTCCAACACCCAACAACCCAACAACCCAACACCCGCATAATAAGATTATAAAGTTAAAATTATCAACAAGGTTTGGCCTCTGAGGTTTGAAGAGTAGTCTCCCTTTGACCCCGTACACGGCAAATAAAGACACCATAACTAATAATATTATTATGCGGGTGTTGGGTTTAACGGTTTCAGTACTTCAGCTTTATGAGGGCGCGTCAGCCCAATGTCTGCTCACGGTAACAGTGTGCCATTGAGAAAGTGGTCAAATGTAACAAATGTTATATTTGGGATAACACTTCCTTAGTAAAGTATAGATTCTAGAATTTTTGGGGTTGAGTCCCGTCACTGGATTGTCTAGTCTAGACTCGATTATTTTCAGACCGCCGTCATATAGCTGGAATATTGCTGAGTGCGGCGTTAAACGACAAACAAGCAATTTTATTGGCCTCATCAATGTTACAAAGGAGCACCGTATCTGTCATGGTGTAAATATCAGAAAATCGTTGCATTTTAGAGTCTTTTTTTATGGTTCTTCTTCCTTTTGAATTGGGAAGTCTAAGGCGCCGCGATTCGCTGTGCAGAGTTGCGTCCAAGTTGGGTTGGGTTTAACGCCGCTTTTAACAGTATTCCAGTTATATCGCGGCGTGTCAGTTTAATGTGGGAGGAAAGCCCGAAGTGATGCAGGTTTCAGACGTTTACCACTTCGGTGAAACCCACGAGAACGGGTATGGTACTGACAAACCTAGAAACATAATCGGGGCGAACCGGGATTTGAACCCACAATCATAGGTTTCTGGCGTGCTCAAGGGACGCAACTCTGCACAGCGAATCGCGGCGCCTTAGACGACTGGGCCACCCTCTTTAGGATGAACAATATAGTTGTGCACAGGAACAAAATTAATACACTTCGCCGTATTACAAAGAGGTACTTTTTTAAAGAATTTGTCAATAAATATTGCCCAAAATAATGTTTAATACCCCGTTCTCCACTCAAATAACACAAACATTCATGGCAACAGTTTTCAGTCAGCACAAGGAACAGACAAATATTTGGGCCACCGTGGTATGACTGCGGCGTACAATAACATTCACCCACTCACCACATGGTAAAGGTCATTGAGTCTACCCAAGTTGCTCAGCTGTGACCCATCTTTCATGAGGTGAAAAGTCCGTTTACACGTATGATTTCAATGCGGGCATCGAGGCGGAACTCCCCGTTCCAGGTATTAATTCATTGCTATTTTTAGAAACAACGCAGGCCTGTGACACGATTTAAACCGGCAGTGTTCATCACTAGCTCGCTAGCCTTGAGTCAGTCCTTGTTCATGAGATAAATCGCAGTACCACGGAAGACATTGTTGTGGAAAATGATGTGCTCTAAACATTTGTAATATAATTAGCAGTCCCATAAATGAGATGAGACGCAATAGGACGATGCGCGCGTCGCTCCCTAACGTGTGACCTATATGTAGACACAGGTATGCTTACCAAACGGATCTTGCGAAACATGAAAGCCCTGTGTATATTCACAGTTTGACAGTGGAGTAAGCAGACACGAATATGGCGCATCGGATTTCAATATTTCTGTCCATCTTCATGACAGGTAACGTTCACGATTTACTCAATCAGGCCCGTAGGAACAGTGGGAGGGGGGGCTTTTGTCGTTTGTGTTAGTATTTCATATGAACTATACCATGTATACTCTGCTTTTCAATGAACGTATAAATGAGATTCTTGTGGCGGTTTGGGACAGATTGGCCGTCGCCTTCATCTCCACCTCACCCGCCACACAGAGAGAGAGAGAGAGAGAGAGAGAGAGAGAGAGAGAGAGAGAGAGAGAGAGAGAGAGAGTACGGATAATGACACGTTGAAATGTTGATTTTGGCGATACATAATTGGCCATGGCCATCCATTACAACATTGTTACTGATCGTTCAGGTGTGACGGTGTGCAGTGAATATGCTACCCGTAAAATATACCATACATCACATTGTGCATATTGTTGAGGTTGGTTTTATTTGTGTTTAACGTAATGTTTTGGAAGCGGGAAAATCCACAAAGTAAATACATGTTACCGGACATAATATAATTTACAATAAAAATTTCATCAGTGTAGGAATACAGAGCACATAGCCTGATTGAAACTGTTCAATGATGCACTTTAGAAATTGGGTTGGGGATGTTAACACAGTTAAGACATGTTTAGATCTAAACATGATTAGGAGAATATGTTTCACTCCTCAACGGAAAACACATTTGGTGTGCTCTATCTAAACGCATTTAGGTCTAAACACATGACATGAGCTGTTGTCTCACAGCCTAAACACCGACTGAACACAACATCCCCATGCTCTAAAGATGTTTATAATTTCAACATGTTAAAACATATTTAGATTTTAAACATTTTTCAACATGCTTCGAATTTAAACACGTTTCAGTGAAGTGCATATCATTAGGCAATATGTCAAATATAGAAAAGATGTATATTCAAAATAAAAATTAGATATGCAAATCACATTCACAGGCACTTGCATAACCCATATACCACCAGGATTGGTACAATAATTACATAATAATGTAGACTCGGTTAATGGTGACAAGGAATTAAAACACTTGTGACAGCAGTCTACGTATTAGTTGTGGTATCTTCAGTTGCCGTATACGGTGTCATATTAGGTTAGCAGAAAAATATTTTATGCTAACCTAATATGACACCGTATACGGCAACTAAAGACACCATTACGAATTTATTATGCCGAAAAGTTTACACTCTCTGACATCCATATCGCATATTTTGCCTTTTATCAGAGATTTCCTCATCGGTGCTACCAGCAAAACGTTTGACAGCCATTGCTGATGTCAAGGGGAGACCACTCTTCAAACCTTAGAGGCCAAACCTTGTTGAAAATTTTACCTATAATCTTTATCAATAAAGTCACGAACGTGATCTAAAAAGAACAGATTAATATCCTTGCACAATTAATGGTAGTAAAACACCAAACAGTGTCAAAAAACGAAATTCGGTACCAGCATTTCCATGTGAAATATGTGAGGTGGGTGTTGGAAAATCCAAGATGGCTGTCACTAACGGTATATTAGGTCTGTATCAACCATCTTGGATTTTTACTGCCGGTATACGTCAAGCAGCAGCACTTGCACGAGTTTTAACGCATCCAGTAAATGCACTATCATTGGATTTTCTGGTCCATCTATCATTTGCATTGACCCCCTAGTTTGTCTGCAGGTCGCTGTTGCATGGTAGGAGTTCTGCTGTGCGGCGTCAGGCAATAAATACTTATATTTGTACTTTTTTATGCAAATTGTGTGAACGACGGGTGTAATCGATATGGTAGAACATGCTTTACCTGTTCCCCAACACCTTGTGTCATCACTGCTTTCAGTGGTCCATTTATACAATTTTCGCAGCTATTTTTCCCTTTTGGCCAAATTGAATCTGTTTCGGCTGAAAATCAAGACTGTTTTTTTTCTTGCGTTGATGTTATATATTTATCATATTTTAAAGTTCGCTCTGATGTTGTTGAATATTGTCCACTACTGAGCGAAACAACTTCCATGCACTCATAACTGCAGCAGAATGTTGGATTAAGATGATAATTGTAAGAAAACACTCTTGTTTCAGTTCATGGAGATACTATCCGCCTGACAGCAACATCAACGAAACAGTCATACATTTTTTATGCGGCTCCCACTGACAGGTAAAAAGTTTGAACTTGTATTGTTAAGCTGTAACGTAAACGTAAAATGACAACATTTTCGAACAGAATATTTTCTACGTAACATAAATGCAAACATGGGCGGGATGAGCCCTTTCAGCACGGAGTCATGGTGGGTATTGGGGCAGATTGAAATCATGGCAGTTCCTTTTTTATTAGTTGGTTTGTGGATATTTTCAATAGCGGTGATAAGTGTTTAAAATGAAAATATAAATAAAATGGGGACCTTTAATCATTTGTTAGTTTTTCAAACATGTGGAGACGCTCGGAATTCGGAACAATACCGCACACTGGTTGGAGGACTGGTGAATCTTTCAACTGTTCAAAAGTATTTGTGCGAACATTGACGTCACTGAGAATGAACAACTTGCCAGGTTCACAAATATGTTTATGAGGAACGGTGTTTATAAAAAAAGTCTTTAAACTGGAATTCGGGTTTTCCCAATTTCTGGTTTTATTTGTGGGCGGATCCGTAAACCGGTATATTCTGTGTCCTTATATGTAATGTGTGAGTTGTATCAATGATAAACTTGTAGGTTTAACGCCACTACATATGGTCGGGCCGTGCTCGAGGGTTTCGCCTTCAATTGGTGTCACCTTGGAGAACAGGTGACTGGGTGGAATTCATGCCTATTAGCTATAGGATTGGTATGTTTTTGTATGTTTCAGCATTTATATTTTTATATTGACAGGATCATCATCACAGCCGCAAAGACAGAGCAACTTGTCAGATTGGGAATAAAATCTACGTATAACCTAAGTGACGAGGATTGTGCAACCAGTGCCGTTAATGTTACATCAGGAGGTAAGCTGTTGAAAGATTGACAGATTAAAATATGAATACATAAAGGAATGGACAGATGAACGAATAAATGCTAAAAAATGAAAGGGATCTTCTTTAATGATGTATATAGGTTATAGGCATTATTGGTGGAATCCATGTCACGCTATGTTATAACGTTTGAACCATAAACATTGACACATCAGAAGAGCAAACAAAAGCTGAAAGACTTCTCACGGTTTATGTTTCGTGGGACGAAAGTCCTATTCTATCGTCTCCATTCTGGGCCATGTGGAATGATGCAGACAGCTCTATATATTAGAAGGGGGCACGGGTGGCCCAGTCGTCTAAGGCGCCGCGATTCGCTGTGCAGAGTTGCGTCCCTTGGGCACGCCAGAAACCTATGATTGTGGGTTCGAATCCCGGTTCGCCCCGATTATGTTTCTAGGTTTGTCAGCACCATACCCGTGCTCGTGGGTTTCACCGAAGTGGTAAACGTCTTAGAGCTGCATCACTTCGGGCTTTCCTCCCACATTAAGCTGACACGCCGCGATATAACTGGAATAGTGTTAAAAGCGGCGTTAAACCCAACTCACTCACTCACTCACTATATATTAGAAGTTGAGGAAAGATATAGTGATGAATGTTCTGTTGTTTGAAACGAAATGATTTGATTGGTTGTTAATTTGTGTTAAGTAACGACCTGCATGCTATGGGTATCTCGATGTCGGACCGTTTCTTTGTCTCAGAGGCCGGCCTGTATGTGGGTTCCTACTGTGGCAAACAGACCCCAGACTGGTTTTACGCTTCACACAACACTGCGACCATCGTGTTCAGATCACCAAGGGTTGCTGCAGGTCTCGGGAGAATCAACGTCACTTACCACATACAGAGTGGTACGTTAACTCTATGTCTCATCTTTTCTTTGAAAAGACCTAACTACAGAATTTGAGAAGAGTGAGTCTGGTTTAACGCCTCTTTTAGCAATATTACAGCAATATCACGGCGTTGGGTGGACAAAGAAATGGGATTCACACAGTGTACCCATGTGGGAAATCGAACCCGGGCGTTCGGCGTGACGAGCTAACGCTTTAACCACTAGGCTACCCCACCACCCAAGAACTTCAGAGCATACCGTTCCTTGCACATTTTAGGACATCGGTTATAGTTAAAACCAGGGTAAAGATTGAATGGATGGTTTAGATTTAAGAATGTATGTGTCTTAGTATACTTCCTGAAAGAGGGAGTGAGTGTTAGACAGTTTTATCACTGCGTGTCAGCGTGTACCGGGCTAAAACGGAGACTTGTCTGAAGGGTACCTGTATTATCATGGCGAAAACGACACTAATTGGCTGAGCTGGAACTAGATGTCGTTGGCTGTGTTGTCGAAAATAAAACCTGACACCTGAATTAGTTAATATTCAATTTAGGTGTGCGGTACAGATACTTTATTATATATAATAGAAATATATTAAGTTAATTTAGAAATGCACACTTGACTATGACTCCAGATGAGACAAACATACTTATTGCTTACTTTGTAGTCATTCAAAATAGAACAACAATAGCACGAAGATACGGTACCGTTTGCGTCAATTCTGGGTGCGTTTTCTTCAACCTGGTGCTGTTTAAGTTTGGTTTCGTTTTGAAGTGGTGCCGTTTCGTCTATAATTATAATATGTAGGCGTTATGTGGTAGGTAAGCCCAAAGTGGCCCAGGTTGTGAGTGAGTGAGTGAGTGGGTGGGTGAGTGAGTGAGTGAGTGAGTGAGTGAGTGAGTGAGTGAGTGAGTGAGTAAGGGAGTGAGTGAGTGAGTGAGCGTGTTTTTTGGTTTGATTTGCCGCTGTGATAGGACGTAAATCCGAAGTGATGCCGGTAAAACTTTGGTGAAATCAAGGAACACCGGTATGGCTCTGACAAACCTTGAACCGTAATCAGGGTGAATATGGGATTCGATCCCACGATCATTAGTTTCTGGCACGCCTAAGGGAGGCAACACTGCACAGAGAATTGCGGCGCATTAACGATTGGACCACCCCAGACCCAGGTTATAGACAATTTTGTACATTACCCAGTACTGTTGTCAAACAAACGAGCGTGGTGGTAGAGCTTACATACACGGCTAATGTACGTACCTCTGACATCGAACTGCGGCGACCTTGGGTGTGGCTCCACCCGCACCCCGTTATTTTGCCGACGGCGGAGGACGTTATAAGATCAATAGTACAAATACTGTATAAGACACAGAAGAAGGATATTGAATTATGTTTCAGCGTATATATGTGGCGGAGCGATGTCTGCATATCATCGTCCCCGGTTTATCAGGTCCCCCCAATACCCACTAAGAGGAACACCATTCAGGTGAGTGTATAGTTGTTTGAACCAGACAATATTAAACTTAAATTTCACATATATTGTTTACATAGCGATTGATCAATATATAGACTTAAACAAAAAATTGATGGTGGCATGTGGTCCCGTGTGCACTTGTTTGTAAATTTAGTTGTATACTCCCCAGGGAGATGAGAAAAATAATTCAAATTTAAGTGCACGACCGGCACGATCCACTGACCGGGCAAAAAGGTAGAGCTTTGAGCACGCTCCAAAGAATTGATTTGGCGTATTTGTCTACCTGTCACTTATTTGACGCCTTTTGGAAGTGAGTGAGCGAGTGAGTATGGTTTTACAACGTTTCTAGCAATATTCCAGCAATATCACGGCAGGGGACACCAGAAATGGGCTTCACACATTGTACCCATGCCGGGAATCGAACCCGGGTCTTCGGCGTGACGAGCGAACGCTTTAACCACTAGGCTACCCGACCTCTCCTACGCCTTTTAGAAGCAATAGGAGAGATATGTCATCTAGTGATTAGAGATGGCAGAATATCAAGATAATGTTACATTCCATTCTATGATTCAACAGGGTTCAGAGTTGTATATGGGCGATAGCAGGATTGAACAATGAACGTGTGAGCATCACTGTGAAATCGGCAACTTTTTCAACAATCGACTGCAGTACCTTCAACGTCACCATATTCGATGGTAGGTATTAGAATCATGTCCACAGACAATACGTTAACACTCACATTGAGCATACTTCACCCAGCAGTGTATATATATGGTGCCGACAAGACAAGGATCACAAAGGGGGAAATCTGGGATTCGAACTCAAACTAAGCGGATCCTGGCACGACTATAAGGCCGTACGCTGCACAAGAAACTGTGGATATACATGTGTATGTTCTATAAGGTTAATCAGTGAGACAGCGTCCTCGGAATTCCAAACAGGCTAACGCATTGTTCTACCTCACTCAGAGTCCTTTCGTGTCACTGCCAAACTCTACCCCATTCCGATAATTAATACATTAGTGTGTGAGTACTAGTATATATCACTGCAGGGTATCCACGTGAAGACTCGAACCAGGGTAATTGTGTGACCAGCGAACGCTTTAACCACTAAGCTACCAACAAACCCTATTAAAACAAAGTTTGTATTCTGAATTAAAAGCCATTCCCACAAAAACAAGTGTTCATCATACGTGGAATAGCCACACATGATAGAGGGGGCGGTCGGGTAGCCTAGTGGTTAAAGAATTCGCTCGTCACGCCAAGACCGCCACCGTGATCTAGTGGTAGAGCGTCCAACCGAAGAGCGGAAGGTCGGGGATTCGATCAACGGCCGCGCGCTACTAATAATAAAGCGACGAACCCCATTCCATTTCCAATAGAATCTTTTGCAGAAAGCAGAGTCGATTGTACGATACCCACCTTATGAGCATGTGTTTGTGAAGACGTTTAAACATGGTACTTGTTGTTCCCCTGCCTGGCGCTCAACATTAAGGGGCTAAAACAAGGACTGGTGGCTCGTAGTCAGTATACTGTGTCTGAGAGGGGTATTCAAACTGCGACATAGTATCTCAGTGGGCTAACACTATAAAATTGGCATTAGTCTGAGCTAGTCACACACACAGACGCTTGCACGCACGCATGCACGTCGCTGTATACGTTCAGTAATTTTGAACGCGACGTTAAACACTATTTCACCTCACCCCACCTCGTCACGCCGAAGGCCCGGGTTCGATTCTTCACATTGGTACACTGTTTGAAGCCGATGTCTGGTGTCCTGATATTGCTAGAATGTTGTAGAACGCGTATAACCATAGTCACTCACTAACATGATTCAGAGATAACTCTCTGCGCCTCAGCATCTCCGCCCACATCCATCCCATCCCGAGAGATAAGCCAATGTACACCACAAACTCTCGTAATAATATTCTCCCTTGTTTTGTACGTTAAGGTGAAATAACTTCTGACACACGCACGTTAGGAACATGGTGTGGGGGTGCTGGCAAAACATTCTTCAGCTACTGGAGGTTCCTTTACATAATCGCCGCCGGGCAACGACACCTGCCTGCAGGCTTCGAGATTGAATACACAGCAATACCCGGTAAAGTATTAAAATGATAGTTAGATGGGTGAGTGAGTGAGTGTTGTTTTATAACGTCAACTATATGTCATCTATCATTGTGTCTGATTTGGGTCAGTCAAATGAATGTGGTCGATAGCATGAGCAAGTATAACACCCATCCAAATATTAGTCGATTTCATTTCAAATCAAGAGTAACTGACAACTATTTGACCCGAAACCGTATGGAGGGATTAGTAAAGATATTTATATGTCATGTTGTCATTACCTTCCGTTGTGTTCGTGATAAGTCCATTTACCTTACATCCCTGGTATTGAAACACTCAATATAGTCAGTTGGTAAACAAATTTAGTCAACGTCAGCGTTCAGAATAGCGAAGTGGTTAATATTGTATTAAGGCAGTTCTAATAATATTACATCCGTATCACGTCGAGAAGGCACCAAAAGTGGACTTCACACACACCCATGTGGGACTTGCACCCGTTCGGAACAGTCAGCCCATACAACAAGCTGCTCATACGCACATTGCTATTTGTTGGTTCCTAAAACAAATCACAAATGAGTCAAGTCATTATCAACACTTGACATATCACATTCTTGATGTGTGAGTGAGTGATTTCGTTTCAACGCTGGAATAGTACTTCGGTTATATCAAGGCGTGCCAGTTTAATGTTGGAGGAAAGCCCAATGTGACGCATGCGCAGGTCATAGACGTTTCCAAATTTGGTTATCCCAAAAGCAGATCATGATAGATACTGGTGAATAACAGGAACGAATCTAACGGGATCCTGGTCCGTCTTAAAGGCGCAACAATGTTTTGCTGGATAAACATTTGAACTTGAAAATGTAGTGACAGTTCCGCAAATAGTCTCTTATACTGTAAAATAAACTTGCTGATAAACTTTTTGAGGGTTTCTGTAATGGTGAAATGGAATACGCAAACACGAGGTTTCTAATTTTCATTTGTGTTTCAGATCCCCAAAGACCAATTGTCAACATCTCATTGGAACAAAAGGCAACACCGGAAGTCATCATGTCTCCAGGGCCCCTGAAGATCTATTCTGAGTAAGTAAACTTTAGTGTCGGTAAAACCCTCTGTTGCGTAGCTAAATGACCAAATGTGATGCTATTAATGTAGCATTTATATCAACATGTCGTGCAAGAGACGCCAAGTAATTAAGCTATTAAAGTAAAACAGGTTTCACACTAACCCAGCCAGTCTGATGGACGAACGCATTGTCCTTTTTCGCGTTACGTGAACAAATATATTTATAGCTCTTGTTTCCCATATTGTGCTATATTTGGTATCTTTCTATTGCATACATGTAATTGTTTCTCATGTTTCCTATTGCACGCCCATATTTGTACCGTATCTTTTGCATTAAGTACATATATGTGCACCACATCTTTGTCATTACGCATATTTGTGCCGCATGTTTTCTATTCAATGCGTATATTTGTACCGTATCTTTCCCATTGCATGCACGTATTTGAGTAGAAGTGAGTGAGTTAAAGTTTAACGTCGCATCAGTATTGTTCCAGTCATTTGGCGACATGAACGTGAAATAAAATTAAAATGAATGTTGCCAATACAGCCAAGTTATATCTCAAAGCAAACTTTTAAATATAATTTAGGATAGCAGTACAACTGAATGAGTGAGTGAGTATAGTTTAGTTTAGTTTAGATAATATTGCATCAATATCAAGATTGCAGTTGAATCTCTTTTACAGGTTTGAGGAACTTCGATGGCTAGGCCATTCTCAGCAGCGGGTGGTGGTTAATATTACTGTTCTGAATGCAAGTATGGAACATACTCAGGACTGCGATACTGACAGCATACGGATACATCTAGGTGAATGTCGCGTATAGGCGAATCTCCATGTCAAAGTCCTTGAAACATCTTACATCCATTGAATAGATCAGGGGGTTGTTTAATATCATTGTGGCGATCGATGAGTGAGTGAGTTGAGTTTAACGCCGCTTTAAAAAAGTATTCCAGTTACATCGCGGCGTGTCAGCTTAATGTGGGAAGAAAGCCCGAAGTGATGCAGGTCTCTGACGTTTACCACTTCGGTGAAACTCACGAGCACGGGTATGGTGCTGACAAACCTAGAAACATAATCGGAGCGAACCGGGATTCGAACCCACAATCATAGGTTTCTGGCGTGCCCAAGGGACGCAACTCTGCACAGCGAATCGCGGCGCATTAGACGACTGGGCCGCCCGTGCCCCCTTTTGGCGATCGGGAGTTTGCTGTAACTATAAGTAACATCTTAAATAATTTATCGCATTAATTGAGTTGAGTTTGGGGTTATTGACTGTACAATGCATGTCAATTCTAAAGGCACACGAAGCCAAGGGTCACATTAATGTCGAGATAAATGTTCAACATGAACGTGCACGGCGCATACTTACAGTGGACTACTGAAGTCTTATATTTTAACAATATGTTAAAATTATTTTTTCAATTTGTAGCTTTTAGAGATTGATCTTTTTTAATAATTATATTCATATTGACTTACATTTGATTTGATTGTGGTTGATAAATGTTTTGATATTTTTTTATTTGTAGATTCTAATCCTGCGCAAGCTGCGATTGGGTTGGGGTGGTGTGGAGGAGACCTTCCAAGCTATGAGGTCTTCACGTCTCGACTGATGGTTGTATTCAGAGCCTACCCCAGCACTGAAACACACAAAGGGTTCTCCCTTCAATACAGCATCCTCGATAGTGAGTGTCTGTTGTAGTTCAGACCATAACTCGTTTTCGCCTATCCCCTATCGCTCTGCCCTCTACTTCCGCCCATGTTGAGGGGCGGTGGGGTAGCCTAGTGGTTAAAGCGTTCGCTCTTCACGCCGAAGGCCCGGGCTCGATTCCATACATGGGGACAACCTTGTTGACCTAGATCTTATGCCGTTTGCTTTGGAAATCGTGTGAGAACAATTACTCCATTTATTTCTCAGAAAGTTCCTTAACTAGAGTTTAATATTTCAATAAAGGCATGGTTTCATAGTTTATATACCAGATATGTTGTTGCAGCGCCTACTTGTGGAGGTAATCTCACGGCAACGGAAAGTGTTCAACATTTGATGACTCCGAATTATCCCGGGCCATACCAGGGGTAAGTTTTTTTTAAAGATACAAAACAAAGTGCAATACTTATCCTTTATATCGGCCACGATCATGAGACACAGGTGGCACAGTGGTCTAAGATACCGTAATTCCATTCATTGCAATGCTAGAAACCTCTAATTCGAATACGCATCCAACACGACCTGATTATGATCCTCAGACTATCTGACCCTTACCCAAGCTTGGTTGTTTTACCAAAGTTTAAAAGCTGACCAGCGTTGATATAATTAATATAAAAGCACATTTGGCCCACTGTTTCTTCGTTTCGTCTGAAGCCATCTTCATGTTTAATTGTAATCGTATTTATTACGAACTGATGCATTGTGTTTTCAGTATTTTGTATATCGGATGCAGATGAAACCGTTTTTGTAGGCGATTGTGTGTACTCGACCATGATACCAATGTTTCATTGTGTTCACTGTTGGATTGGCTTGGGAAGTAAACACGAACACATACAACACCATGGCTAACAGCTCTTGGTCTATTGCATTTAGTGATGCTTAGATGTAGATTGCACCGTCATCGAGTTGGAGTAAATAAAAATCTACTTCGAAGACACGATGAATGCAATACACCAGAATTTGTTACCCATAAAGCTGCACGTTTTCTTACTTCATTGCGTTGTGTGTTACAAGACATCAGAAGTGCCAGTGGCTGATTCGCACCACAGATCCTATGAAGATGGTGAAGCTCACCTTCACAACTACTGTTCTCATTTCAAACTGCATCTCGGAGAGTGTCCGAATGTATGATGGTAAGTTTCCGTATGATAGTCATTTAGAATTTGTGACAAGCTGGTATAAATATTTCAACTTGAGTACTGTTGCAAACCCAACACCGGAATCAATGTCTGGCAAACAAATACCCCTTTCATTACTTCTCCATTAAACTAGGTAAATGCCTCAAGGCATTATCGAAAGTACCGAAGCTTTTTTCTCTCACGATAAATATATTACATAACCATTGTAATCATGACATATGACTGGGGTTTGGTAAACTTTATCGTCTTGTCGTTTCTAAGATATACACTAACAACATATAGCTTTGTTGAACAGAATATTATTGGTATATTTTCAGGAACCAATGAACAAGCGCGTGAAATTGGATATCGATGCCGTTACAACAGGCAGAATGATAATACCTACAGAAGCGAATCACGCTTTATGTTGATTGTGTTCACATCAATCATTGACAATAAAGACAGGTCGGGTTTCAAGGCAAGCTATGTCGAAGGTATGTCTACGTGTATGTAGTGTTTCCGACGACTGTATTGCAATTAAACATTTTCATTGAAGATAGATTGCTTACTCTCCCACGACACGTATCTGCGTGAAGTGATGGCAAACTCTCCATAGTTGGTCGCCTACGCTTGAAAACGTCGATGTCCTCTTACCTCCTGTATCAAGTTTACATGCTTTGATGGAATTGTGAATACAGAGTGGAGATACTCGGACTTGCTCAGTCTCTGTTGCTCTCTTTGTTTTGTTGACAAGTCTTGCTGATACATTTCAGAATCATGTGGATATGCCCTAGATGCGGTTCGTGGCAAACGTATTGTGTTGAATTCTCCAGGGTACCCTGGCAACTACTCAAGGTAAGTTGCTGCGAACGTTTATTAAAATACTTATTTGATCACATTTGGTCCAGACTGGTAAACATCAGTTGTGATCAGGTCTTTATAAATAGAACATTATCTGGACCTACTGGAAGTTTTATTAAAACATGACATTGTTTGACTTCTCCTTTCTCAGACAAATAGTGTCAGTTTTGAAGCAGGGACCGACAAGACAACCCGTCACAAACAGAAATCCTAGCACACCCCAAACCCCACTCCCCTCCTCTCCTCCCACAAAAATACTTAATGTCCCTGAAAAGTGTGGTAGCACAATTGGTGGAACCAATTGTGTGGGGAGACATCACTGCACATCACAGGACCCCTCTAGTGTTTACAGATGGTAATATGACAAGTGTTTGGTACCATAATGAAGTTGTCCGTCCTCAAATCCCCCGTTACTTCAGACCCATGGATGTCACATAACTTTACAGTTATGCTCTCACGTTGCATGTCTTGGTACAAGGACAACAGAACACCCCCACACTCAAATGATCGAAAGCAGGGATCAAGGAATTAAGTTTTCTCTTAAGCTTTTCATGTGGGATAGTGTTGTACAAAGTTAAAAAATCAAATGTTTTGACAGAATTGAACCTGGTCCTTTTTCTTAGCTTGTCAAAAGTCAAGCAAATCCTTTTAGCTTTTGAGAATCCACATGGTATTATATCCGCTTGACTTTGAATATTCACTTTCTTTGAATATGAAGAAAGTCCTTTCTTGATTGTATTATGTGTTTTGTATTGTATGATTATGGTTAATCTTTGAGCCAGGTATATGGCGGTACATTTGCTTGACCCAAAAATATATCTCTCTTTGTACGGCTTTGTATGGAGCTTTGGAATCCAGTTCAAAAGAGGAATTGGCATGTCTCCTGGTTCTTGCGTCAAGTCAAAAAGTTGATTGTTCTAATGCATGGTTTTGGTAGATTTCTTCCTCAGTTACCATACTGGCCTTATATGTGCCATTAATTGATATGTCACGTATACCAAGATCTTTGATCAAACAATTAATGTAACGATGTTTACATATCATGGTTATGTCATTTGTGGCCTTGTCAGTGAGAAGTCTCCAAACTTTTCATGTAAGGCAGCTAGTCTTTGGGTGGTAACTGGCTGGGACAGAATGGGTTTATTCCCATTCTGTACCAACTGTTTCAGGTTGTGCATTCTATCAGTGACAACATCACGTACGTCGCTATATAAATGTACTAATCCCGAACGACACGTTAATCCCATTTCACCCCATGTCTAAAACAATTCTGTTTCAGTGGTGGAAATTGTACGTGGACGATTGCTGGCAAAGCCGTGGCATTACGGTTTATTGACATGAACATACCATGTTCAGGAGATTCCATTACGTTCTCTGACAGTAAGATATGTTTTATTAAATTTTTGTATCCACTTTACGTACTAGACTATGAATACTTTATATCCCATTTGTTTTTATTGAAGTGAAATGTACTAGAGAAGTTTACATGTGTTTGTGGCGGGTCCAACAATTGTCAGGATACACACACCTTATTTCAATAAGGAAACCTCCCAATATGACCTATAGTACTGAGGTGGGCCGGGTGTAAGGAAAACAGACAGACATGGATTGTGATAGTCAGGTTAACTGGTGAAATTTATGTTACATAAGGAATCCTCCCAATATGACCTATGGTACTGAGGTTGGCCGGGTGTTAGGGAAACAGACAGACATGGAATGCGATAGTCAGGTTAACTGGTGACATTTATTGACCTAAGGAATCCTCCCAATATGACCTATAGTACTGAGGTGGGCCGGGCGTTAGGGAAACAGACAGATTGGATTGTGATAGTCAGGTTAACTGGTGAAATTTATGTTACATAAGGAATCCTCCCAATATGACCTATAGTACTGAGGTGGGCCGGGCGTTAGGGAAACAGACAGACATGGATTGTGATAGTCAGGTGAACTGGTGACATTTATGTTACATAAGGAATCCTCCCAATATGACCTATAGTACTGAGGTGGGCCGGGTGTAAGGAAAACAGACAGACATGGATTATGATGGTCAGGTGAACTAGTGAAATATATTATATTTCAATAAGGATTCCTCTCAGTAAGTCCTCTGGTAATGAGGTGGGGTCAGATGCTTCGGAAACAGACAAAAAATGTTTTGTAATTTGATGGTCAGGTTAACTAATGAAACTATTTTTCCAATATGGATTCCTCCCAATGTGACCTAGGAGACTGAGGTAAGCTGTGTTAAATATAGACACATGTACCTCGCAATATATACATCTAGAAAATTTAAAAAATCAATGGCTGTTAAAAAATGTATTCTCTATCTATAGCCTGATGAAAGATGTTTGATTTTGTTTACTCGTATTAACATACAAAAACATTCTTGTGGCTATTTCTTCCTCTACTTCTTTGTATCAAACGATACGACCAACTCTTAGCGGCCATCTAAAGGATCATACGGTGTCTTCATACAAACTAAACAGCAGGTGATATCTTAGACATTTGCCCAAATGAGGTAAACGTTATTTGCAGATATTTGATAAAGATACATAGTAGTTTTGTATGTGTGATAACATAGAAGAATTGACGTCTAACGATTTTCCAGGTGTACATGAATGTATGGTGGTCTGCGCTGCATCTATGACCACGATAGGTACACGGGTCATTTTTCATTACCATGTAAAAGGGTTTTATATGTGTCTCAAAACATGATATTAGGAGAACAGCACTGATGTAAGCGATGATGAGGATTCATACTTCTGTCTCTGTTTCAGGGGGTTCTACGGAATTAAAAAGAAAGTGGGAGATTTGTGGAAACAAGGCACACAACTACATCACAATAGGAAACTCCATGTCTATCAACTTTGTAACGACGACAGGAAGAGGAGCGGGATTTAAACTCACCTACGAAAGGCTTACATCAAGTAAGTTATGACAACACTGCCCCACCAACATCACTACTAGGGGTAGTGGTAATGGGGGGTGGGGGGTTGGACCCGTCGTCTAAGACGTCGATATTCGCTATGCAGATTTGCTTTATGCCAGAAACCTAAGATTGTTGTATGAATAAAAGATTCGCTCTGATTTGTCAGCATCATACCGGATCTCATGTGTTGTGATCAATAAGACCGTACCATGATCTGAATTACTTTTGTCTTTGAATATAAATGAAAACGTTAACATTGTGTTACATGTGCAGTGTATGGATGTGCTGGCGACGTCAGACAAGTAGCGGTGACTTCACACAAAAGCACCATACGAAGTGTTGGATATCCAACTGGCTATTTCGAGTGAGAACATTTCCCTGTTTTCCCTGAGTGAGCAAATGTTGTTTTACGGCACCAATAGACAGTCGCGGCCTAGTTTTGCGCGTATAAACAAGCAAATCGGCAAACCAATGGTTGAAGGCATGAGCACCACCCTCGGGGTATGGTTACAATATAAGTCTCAATCTAAATTCGGAATCTAAATTATAAAAGGCGTCTGTTAATTAGTGTCAGGAACCACTGGATGTGGCTATACGGATTCCTTGAAATGCTCATGATTATGATCCTCGGCTTGTGAGTGTACTACATCTTCTGGTCACTACAAAAGGTTTTTAAATGTGTAAGGGTATTCTATTGACTGCGCATGGGATTGAAATCAGTGTGATTGTCATACAAGATGTGTGTTAATTGTTTTCTCTGTTATTTCTTACACTGCAAATCGCTCTTTTTCTTCCAGTGATCTTCACTGCAGGTGGCATTTCAAGACAAGATATGGCGGAATTGAAATTAATTTCACCATTGCTGACATCAATACAGACGGTTCAACCTGTACGGATGCAATACGGGTCTACGATGGTATGAACTGCAGTTGTGTTTAGACAAAAGGTTCTTTCACCTGCCGCTACGAAGGGACCTAATGGAGCGACCATTAAATATTTTACGTGCGTGCGTGTTAGTGAGGGTAGTGTAGTGGGTGGGTTAGGTGGGATTTCGTGTACTTGATGAACTGTTCCCGAATATGCTGGATCAGAATGTTTACGGACAAAATAAATACCGATACAAAAGGACAAAACAAGTCAGGATGTTCGCGGTAAACTAATAATTTTTGGTCAGAAAGAATTGCTTGGCATTCTTTCAGATAACAAATGGTATTGATTGCGGCACTGACTTGAACATTATTATGTGTCAATCTTAATTCCCAGCCATCTCAATATTTTATGAAAGCAGTCAACCGAACCTGACAACAATGTTGAGATTGTTGTACGTGGTAGGAGAAGTTCTGCGCTGTCATTCGTCACCACTCGCCCATTTCCGTAACCTGCAAGAAGACTCGTCCCCCTATCGACGAAGGTTATGTGCGAAAATACGACAAACCAATCAGAATGCGCGTTTGATCTCAAGTTGTTCATCAAAGAATCCCTCAGAAATATTTTTTATTTTACATATGTCTTGCATCTAAAATATAACCAAGACACAGTTAAATGTGTTCATTCATACTGTATAACTCCGCATGTCCATATGTGCTTTAAATTGCATCTGAAATGTATATAATATATGTGAACCATTACGCAACGAGTTGACAATTGTTTTAGGTATGCCCGTTTGCGCTAAGACGGAACCCGGTCGCAAACATGGACATTAGAGGGGCACGAGTCGCTATTCGGCTTGTCCCGGAATAACACGGGTTGGTCACGAATGCTGCGCTGTTTCGGGCGACAAACACTTACTGTCATAGACAAATTATCTGACTGGCTGGTGCTCCCGGTAGGGCAGGACATGCTTACCCTTTCGTGAACACCTGGTGTTATCACTGATCTTCGGGGATCCATTCATATAAGCTTCACCGCTATTTTGCCATATACACCCAACGGAAAATGTTTCGGCGGATAATTGAGACTGGTTATTCTCTGCGTTGACAGTTTATATTCTAAATCTTTCCTTATGCCAGTAAAATTATTTCAATTGTAGGCTCCAATACCACTGCACGTCTTCTAATGGAGAGGTGCAGTCCAGGAAACTTTTCCTTGAAGAGTACGGGCCGGTCCCTCTATGTGGAGTTCGTCACAGACAGTGTCAACGTTGGGTCTGGATTCGTTATGCGGTGTTCCAGTTTTAAAGTCCAAAGTAGGTATATCGAGAACACAAGCAGCATCCACCTGATGAAGATGCGAACTTCTGTAACGTGTTCTATTCTTCTACACTGTGCCAGGAAACGCTGATGGTGGGCTCGCATCCAATATTCGCCATGATTATGATTCGCCATGATTGTGATTACTTTGACAGCACCATTTTCATGCCCATTTGTTCTACCAAAGAGGATAATGTCACTTTACACCTTCTTCGCACATGTGACACGCCGTAGTATAACTGAAATGAAACGGAGCTAAACACAATTCACTGTAACAATATTTTTTAAAGCACGTGCAGTCGGTCAGTTTATTAAAACATATGTGTCGTGTACGTTTCGTAAGGAATAGATGTGGCATAAACGTAATGAGGAAAACATGTGAATAGGGATGGTATTTCGTTTTGTCAGAGTTGGACCGCCGTCGCACTTAATTGTTTAAACCACAATGTGCTGGGATATCTAAGGGATATTAGGTGTATCTTTTTCACAGAGCCAATGGATATCTTTTTAAATATTGACCGTTCATATCGAGCGTTGAGGTCACCTGCAAGGAAATAGTCTGACATTGTATTTCTCCCTCAAGCATATACAGGATGTCTTCGAGAGGAACCGCTAAGTGAAACTGCCATGTGAGTTGTACGTATCTGAATAAGATAACCGTTACAGTGATGGTTTGCCATTTTCACTGAAGTGCCTTTTCCTGCAGAGATCTGTGTGTCTTTTGCATGTAGTGGGTATATGTTTTGAATACTTATGAATTACTTACTGCAGTAGGTCACGGTGACACAGTGAGAAGCATGATATATTGTTTATTGATTGTTCCATTGAACTCAGTCTAGGGACATCATATTTGCTTATTAGCTGTATAGAAGTGGGGAATGGTCTTAACATTATTGGGGGGCACGGGTGGCCCAGTCGTCTAAGGCGCCGCGATTCGCGCCAGAAACCTATGATTGTGGGTTCGAATCCCGGTTCACCCGGATTATGTTTCTAGGTTTGTCAGCACCATACCCGTGCTCGTGGGTTTCACCGACGTGGTAAACGTCTGAGACCTGCATCACTTCGGGCTTTCCTCCCACATTAAACTCACACGCCGCGATATAACTGGAATACTGTTAAAAGCGGCGTTAAACCCAACTCACTCACTCCCACACACTTAACATTATTGTAACTGATATTGACGGTCGATATCACTTTCGAGGTCATACAGTCAGACGTGCATTCAGATCATGGTAACATAGAGGAAACCTAGTATATACACATTGGTTTTTTGCATTTGGTGGGGGAAAAACAAGGGTTTGAGTGACCTTCATCGAACGACTCGATTTGTAATCTGTCAGGTTGTCCTGTTCCGCTGTGTACTGAACCCGTTTCTTGGTATGGCCTGTTTGTGATTAAGAGCTGGCACTCATGGTTTCATCTTGATATATCAAGCGTTTGGTTGTTGCATTTGAGGGCCAAGGTCGATATTAGCGTAGCAAGAGGCATTGGACTTTCTGTTAAACCAATCGAAGTATAATGAACCAAATCTGGATAAAACTGTCTTATCAAGGTAGCCAGAGCCATGCAACTTTCTTCCTTTAAGTCGTTTTGCATCAGGCATGTATTAGAATTGACACTGAACAGGAAGTGCACATTGCTTATTTATGTCAAAGTAGCTAAATCATGCGACTTCCTGTTTTAAAGTCAACTTTCATTAGACATGTGTTTTCCGAAACCGAAAGTTTGGACATTAAGGAAGGTGTTGTAACTATCTTATCAGGATCGCGAGATGCATTGGACACCTCTGTTGGAAAGTCGCACTGAATGGGATATACAGTGAACCAAACTGTACATGATGCCGAGAATCTGAAGTGCACACACAGTTAGGAACTTCAAATAACTTCTTATTAAGATAGCTAGGGGGTTTCTGATTAAAGTTTGCTGTGCATATAAAGTTGAAATGATGTCATTATTCGGCAAATCCTTTCATAAGAGTGAATTTTAAGTAGCGACTTCAAAATCAGTGGGACCTTACGTGTTTTAATTCATTTGATTTTTCGGACCACACGTTTTGTCATTGGACCATTACGCTATGAGACAATTCCCTTAAGGATGAAGTTGATATATATTTCTACAAACCGAAGGTAATGGCATCAGGCTGGGCATTTATGATGGTAGAATTGATTTCTGATTCGGAAGCATTATGGGTATGATGGTGAAGTGTCTGCTTCTATACATGCAAGTACTTGAAGACATTTTTCAAGTTTGAAAATCAACCCTTCATGTTGCAATGACAACAGTAGCTGGGTCCTACAATGCGACCATTAACGAACAGCGTGGACTCTAACTACTGTCCTTTGACGTTCGACTCACAAATTGTAATGATATCATAATGATAGACATGCTTAGTTTCAGGTTCTAGTTTGTGTTTGATTGTCACCAGAAAAGTCTATAAAACATATGACCTTAAGAACACCTTCAGGGCTGTGGGTTAGCCTTGTGGCTAATGCGTTCGTTTGTCACGCAGAAAACAAAATTGGTACACTTGAGGTACATTAATCCAAAGCGCGCATGCTGTTTCGGACTTTGAAATTCCAGAATGTATTGAAGTTTAGTATGCTTCAAAATGGGATCTTCTGGCCCGCGCACAAAACACATTTAGCTAAATATTAAAACAGAAGAATTGGTAAATCAAACTACATGTAAATACAAAAAGATTGGGAATCAAACTTATGTCATACAAAGGGACTGCCCCGTGAAGCGCAAAATATTTTGATTAGATTCATTAAAATAAAAGCTGAATGATTATTGGGTGTATCGACATATCCATCTTGCACAGAGGTATCAAATCGACAGGCGGTCCATAATGAAGACAAAATTAGGGTAACTGAATAGCTTAAGGGATATGAAATTAACTGATTCCCTAATTGTCACCTTCACGTCGTCTATGTACGTCCACGTTTGTACTTAGCAGTTCATAGTTTCTAATTCATGACTGATAATGTTGTTTTATGCAGAAACCTCACAAACAGATTACAAGACAACATTTATTGCCGTGGGAGGCATCATCGGTCCCGTCATAATCGTCATTGCCTGCTTTGTCGTCTGTTCATCCAAAAGACGTCGCTGTAATTCAAGAAGAACTGTTTTTCAATCACAAGGAATGCACACGCCAGCACCATCAGCAGCAACAGGAACAGCTGTAGATTTACAGGTGTACCCCTTTCCTCCCAGCTTTTCGAACCCCTCTCCCCCCAGCTATTCGGAAATTGGGCCTTTAGAAGCTTGACGGCATGAACGCATTTGATCAACCACCTAGTTGCAGTGAGGTCAAGAATCAAGGTGCGACGAATGTTCACGGAAATATACAAAATACTTCACCAGCTGTATTGGGCGGTACAGGAGAATCTATGCACATGTAGTTAATCAAGACTCTTAGTGAATGACCAATTTATATTCTGGGAAGGAAGTGGGGGCTATTTCGGGGATGGGGTGGGCATTATCAATACGTATTTGTTCCCTAAACTACCGAAAATCCTACTTTTATCTCAGGTGTGGCAGAAAACAACACTTAGTTCACGGAACGTCCTGCACTCATGTCTTCTAAAGTGTCCAGAGACGTTGTTGCTCTCGTGGACATATACTTGTCAATACGATGTGCTTCAAACAAAATAGACATTCCAACATAGATACCTGGACTTCCATGCTCTGAGCGTCTCTGCGGGTCACAGACTCTCTATATATGACAGTTCACGTGGTTTTAAACTCGCGTCTATATTTTATATATGTTTTTCTATGATGTTTTTTTATACTCTGCAAAGCAGTTGTGCTGGAAGAATCATGTTTCATGTGTGTATAGCTGTCACTGAATCAGGTCAATATAAAAGCCACCAGATTTTTTAATCATAGGATAAGATAGTCATGATAAAAGTAATTGTCCATCTGATTTCATACATCTGGAGTCACAAGATTCCAGCATGGTTCATCTTTACAAAACAGAGGTATCTAATGTTCATTATATATTACTCTGTTTAGGTATTAACTACTTGTATCCGCAGACAGACAAAACACCTTTGCAATATGGTTCTGACTGCTCCATTTTTGTGGCATGCTTGCCTGAGACTTTTTGCAAGCGTACCTGTTGTATTGTGAGATATGTTTCTACTTGTAAATAAAATGATATTTCTGTTTCTACACATGTAGATTGTTGGTTATAACTAGCTTATAATTTCAAGCAATGCTGTTTGCAGCTTATGCCTAAGTAAGGTTAGTTAGACATTTTATAGCCATGTTGGTATAGGGCAAAGATACAGCAATGCATATAGCCATGGTATTACGCCAGTAATGTTAACAGCGTATCAGACGTGTCTGTGGATGACAGCGTATCAGACGTGTCTGTGGATGACAGCGTATCAGGAGTGTCTGTGGATGACAGCGTATCAGGAGTGTCTATGGATGACAGCGTATCAGGAGTGTCTGTGGATGACAGCGTATCAGGAGACTGTGGATGTATAGCGTATCAGACGTGTCTGTGGATGACAGCGTATCAGGAGTGTCTGTGGATGTATAGCGTATCAGACGTGTCTGTGGATGACAGCGTATCAGGAGTGTCTGTGGATGTATAGCGTATCAGACGTGTATGTGGATGACAGCGTATCAGGAGCGTCTGTGGATGACAGCGTATCAGACGTGTCTGTGGATGACAGCGTATCAGACGTGTCTGTTGATGACAGCGTATCAGGAGTGTCTGTGGATGTATAGCGTATCAGACGTGTCTGTAGATGACAGCGTATCAGACGTGTCTGTGGATGACAGCGTATCAGGAGCGTCTGTGGATGACAGCGTATCAGACGTGTCTGTGGATGACAGCGTATCAGACGTGTCTGTGGATGTATAGCGTATCAGACGTGTCTGTGGATGACAGCGTATCAGACGTGTCTGTGGATGACAGCGTATCAGGAGTGTCTGTGGATGTATAGCGTATCAGACGTGTCTGTGGATGACAGCGTATCAGGAGACTGTGGATGTATAGCGTATCAGACGTGTCTGTGGATGACAGCGTATCAGGAGTGTCTGTGGATGTATAGCGTATCAGACGTGTCTGTGGATGACAGCGTATCAGGAGTGTCTACGGATGTATAGCGTATCAGGAGTATCTGTAGATGTTGTCTTAGATAGTGCAAGCCGTGTCAGGTGTCGCCCAGCAATAGGGTGATAAAACAAGACCCTGGACGACGACTCGGTGTTAGCATACTGTATGTGAGTGAGTTATTCATCTTATCTCATCGGCATGGTATTAAGTGGGCTAGCACTATAAAAGGCGGCATTAGTCCCGCCTTGTACAGGTTAACAGACACATACACAACACAACCTCTCTCTCTCTCGCACGCACGCACACGCACACACACACACACACACACACACACACACACACACACAAACGTGTGTGGACGTCGCTATAGAAGTGAATGATCATGAACGTTACGTTAAACCCCATTTCACCTCACCTATCATAATTTATATAGTCCCTATAGTCTTTGAGCAGCAATAGCATATTTTAAATGCCGTTGTAGAAGCTGTAGTAACAATGAAAACAGAGTCCACACATCTATTTCTATCTGCTAGCATTGAACGAATAAAACAACTTGAAATCCATAAGGCAACTCCGTCTTCATGTGACCAGCATGCTCGTTGGTTTCACCAAAGTGACTAGCGATTACTGCCGATATCAATTTAGCTTTCCTTTCGCTACGTTTACCCCCTTTCTGTTCTGTTGAGTCAAATAAGGTATTCAAACTCCGAGGCTTGCCGAAGAGATTTCAATCAACGATATTTATATTTCATATCAAAACACATGGTTTTGATTTATTATCCAGTGTCATTTTCAAGAACTGACTACAAAAAAATGTACTTATTTATTTACCCCGTTAACATTTGAGACAATCGCAAAAGAAATATCGTAAATAAATATCAAAATGCGCCTTCATGCAGCTGATATTTTCCCCGTCCGAGACAGCTTCTGTAGCTGTAAAATATATGTGAGAATTCACCACCTAAAGATTATTTTATATGTATTTATTTAGTTGCACGAAATGCCTTCTTGCGTTAAATAAGAAATATCCATCGGTCCAAAGAATTGGGACGTTCGCGCTGTAACCTTACTATGTAATAACGTGAAAGTTGTGGAACATTTTGGCCTTATACTCCATCACGTCCTCACTGACCAAAGAGTTTGGTATTTGACTGTTGTATCTTGGAACTGAAGGAATTTTGTTTGTTTGTATGTTGTTTAACGCCGCACTCAGCAATATTCCAGATATATGACGGCGGTCTGTAAAAAAATCGTGTCTGGACCAGACAATCCAGTGATTTACATCATGAGCATCGATCCACGCAATTGATGACATGCATGAACCAAGTCAGCGAGCCTGACCACCCGATCCCGTTAGTCGCCTCTTACTACAAGCATAGTCGCTTTTTACGGCAAGCATGAGTTGCTGAGAAGGAATCAATTGAGGAAAGGTTAATCTACAAATAATCACTTACCTTTTAAAATTCAGCTATTGCTTATGCCGATCCACCAATGGGGTGACCAGGGAAATTGGACAGTTATATCACCTCAGGTGTTTTTATAGCATATTTCCCATTTCATTTTATGTCCTGAGTGAAGTCCTTTCAAAAGGAAAATGGATACGAGTTTTGTATCCTATTTGTCACCAACGATGATTTGTAATAATGTTTAATCAACTAAATTACACCATTACAAAATTAGAGTAAAATGCGTATAAATATAAAATGTCAAAAAATGTACACATCAAAGGTGTATCACTTCCGTTTAATATACAAAACTATCCATGGGAACTAAATCTAGAGACAGCTGAATTGTTTGGGAAATCCAAGCAAACTTGTGTTAAAACATCATTGCCTTTCATTACCTACGCAATTTTGTTTCATCGGATAAACCCCCATTATGAGATATCCATTCTTGTTTACTTTTGTCAACAAACATATAAATAAGTGAATGAATTAAAAAGCATACAAGAAAGGGCGTGATTCGCGTATTAGCCAATCCAATTCCACGTTGCTATTAATTTGACAAACGTGTTTCATAACAATTTGTTTTGTTACCTCTCTACATCGTGGGGGGCACAGGTGGCCCAGTCGTCTAAGGCGCCGCTATTCGCTGTGCAGAGTTGCGTCCCTTGGGCACGCCAGAAACCTATGATTGTGGGTTCGAATCCCGGTTCGCCCCGATTATGTTTCTAGGTTTGTCAGCACCATACCCTGCTCGTGAGTTTCACCGAAGTGGTAAACGTCTGAGCATCACTTCGGGCTTTCCTCCCACATTAAGCTGACACGCCGCGATATAACTGGAATACTGTTAAAAGCGGCGTTAAACCCAACTCACTCACTCACTCACTCTTTACAAATTGTTTGATCTCACACAAGCTACTGTAGAAGCCTTTATCGGAAAAGTATTATCTATCTTATTGTACCTTGTTACAAGGCCATTCGAACTATCATTCACCTCCCCGCTGTGAGTACCACAAGTTTCCGCCTTATTGCAACTTACAACGGCGTTTGCACCACAAGGGCGAATGTAAGCGTGAATAAGGCCGTGACGGCAACCTTATACTTCGAACACCGTACGTGTGAGGCATTATCGGAGTCGGTAGTGTTTGACGGCATTACTGAAGTAGACGACGTCCAGGTCGTTGACGTTGGACACGGCAAATCAGATTCTGAAATTAAAGTGAGTGAGTGATTATTGCTTAGCGCAGCATCAGTAATCTTGCAACTACTGCAAATAGAAACAGCTCAAAGTTACGCAAAATTAAACGTTTATTGAGAATAGACTTCAATGTGTAAAAAACACGTCAACAATAACAAATTCACAGACTGCTGATTTAATCATTAACACACAAAATATTCTGGACAACAATACGAAATCAGGACATGGTTCAGCGCAATAACGTACCACAAGTCCCGCCCATTTTATTGAGCCAATCAGGAAACAGTGGTCCTTTAGTGACGGCGGCTTAATGTTTAAATACATGCGTGACCAACTCGTGTTATTCCGGGACCAGCCGAATAGTGACTCGCGCCCCTCTCATGGCCATTTTTGCGACCGGGTTCCGTCTTAGCGCAAACGGGCATACCCAAAACAATTGTCAACTCGTTGCGTAATGGTTCACATATTATTTCCCCATGTATCATATATAGTTCAGATGCAATTTAAAGCACATTGGGACTTGTGGAATTATACAGTATGATTGAACACATTTAACTGTGTCTTGGGTATATTTTAGATGCAAGACATATGTAAAATCAAAAAAATATTTCTGAGGGATTCTTTGACGAAGAACTTAAAATCATACGCGCATTCTGATTGGTTTGTCGTATTTTCGCACATAACCTTCATCGATAGGGGGACGAGTCTTCTTGCAGGTTACGGAAAGGGGCGAGTGTCGACGAATGGTTTAAATACACAAATATTGCCTAGTAGTCCAAACAGATGCAAGGGAATCACTCGCAATGTATTTATTCAGAGACAAACAAAAGAATCTAGTTTTTTATTACTAAATAAACATGAAGAAGTCCTACACCTTCATGTACGATATAATAAGTCAGTGAGAGAGTGAGTTGAGATTTACGCCACTATGCAATATTTCATCAATGTCACGGCTCGGGGCACTATAACTGGGCTTCACACATTGTACCCATGTGGGTAATCGAACTCAACCTTCAGCGCTACAAGCGAACGCTTTAACCACTGGGCTACCGCCCCGCCCCTAAATTAACTCAGTTTGTATCTACATAATAAATATATAAAACGTCAACGCCAGAGAATAACTAGTCTTGATTATTCTACTAAACAGATTCCTTTGGGCAAAATAGCGGTGAAAATGATGTGAATGGATCACTGAAAATCAATTACGACGCCACGTGTTCTTGAAGAGGGTAAGCTTCTGCCCTACCAGCAGCACTCCCTAGTTACACAGTTTGGATACGAAATGTTTTACCGCACAGCGGTGTTGACAACGGACGCACATGTAATCCATCCGCCATTACGGACTGCATTGACGGCCCAGTGAAGGCTGCAAGCTAATTGTGAGTATTACTAATGCCTTATTCTTTCATCTGGCTTGTCCAGCGCACAATGTATTAGTTTGTAAATACCTTGAGATAAACGCTGTTGTCATTCTCATAAATATACATAAATATACAGTTACATTTTGGCTGGACTAACGAGTCTTTGCATAGTCCAATCAAAATCGCCCACCGAAATCGAAATCCGGTTCGTAAACTGTCGTGCAGATTTCGGTCGATTGCAGGATTTGCAAAACATGTGCACCACCAACTCGTTGTCAGCAGATATTTTCCAAATCTTTTACTGTTTTTAGTCAAGGTGCTCGCGTGATTTGAAGCATTTCGCGATGTAAGACCCGTTTTATCACAATATAGATATTGATTATCGATCAGATCGTCCTGACTGGGCGCCACCATTTTGTGTAAAGCAAACGCAAGTGATACGAGGGGTGGAATCTGATTGGTCCATAGGAGAGGTTTAGAAGGGACATAGCTGGTAATAGCCACTGGCGGCGCTACGATCGAGCCCAGTAATTCCAGCCTAGTTCGACAAGGGTGGAAACTGGACTTTTAAAGTCAGTTAACTCTCTTGCCTCGTGAAGATGATAAATATATTGAAATTAGTTCTCGCTCCCATTAACTGTGATCTGAGGCATCCCATTACGGGTCACGTCAGAACGACTTTTCATCCGACCAATCAGAGCGTAGCTTATCAGATTGGGAACGTGACACTCGGAATGTATTTGCTAACCTCGCAACCATGCAACCTCGAAAAGGTTAACACGGGTCATTCCGAATGACAGTTACGGGCTACACGACCGATTCCGTGAACATCATCGTCAACATCTCGCTTGAGTTATTAGCATTTGAAACGGAAAATACTTTCCACATTGTATTTCTCAAAAGCTGAAGTCTTGCTGCAAACTTTATATGTTATGTGAGGAAGTAGGTCGGATAGAGCTACACTGGTACCCTGCCCTTCGCCTCCTATCGGCTGAAGGCGAGGAGCGCAAGCGCCCCAGGATAGGTAAACCAGTCTAGGACACAGCGTATCTCCCTCTTATGATTGTTGCCGAATAACGTTAACATGTTTAGTGTAATAATTTTAAATGTTATAATGAATATTTTCATAACTATCTATGCATTTCGTATGTCTGTATATCATTATACAAATGTGACACAAACATAAAGTCTTTTAAAAGTTTGGATACATCTTTTCAACTATTACCCATCCCCAACCCTCAAAACAAATAAGGCACACAGTGCCATTAGTGCTTCAGGTTAGACTTAGCTAAGTAGCGGTTTTGTGGAACGGGACCAGAATCAAGTGGCACCTTGCCGTGGTTCTTTGACTTCTGGTCCGCTGAAGCCGAGGTCGCCAAAATTTGAAATCAGTAACTTGTGTGTTATTGAGTAATACTTGCAGGCTGTTTCTTGTTAAGTCTGTCTGTACAACACAAGGAGATAGGGCTGTCCGGACTTAACCGAAAGTTTATAAGAATCAGAATCAGAATCAGAATATATTCATCACACAATCGTTATAATGTACGCGTGTATGAATTATTAACATTGTTTTCATGCTGTAAAGAATGAAGTTTTCGACGCGTCACTTTCGCGCCAAACGATTTCCAAAGTTAGGTAAAAAATATCGAACTTTGTATCGCGTGTTGTATATAAATACTATAATGGTTATGATCCGGAAGCCCCTCGGGGAACTATGTATGTCAGATTTAGTTCAAAATATTAATTAAAAGGGCTTAAATACTTGCCCAAATCAAGTTTCATGCGCTCGGGTGAAATCACATTTTTACTGTCCAGCAACGAAATTGTACTTGCTACCCACCAACTCCAGGTTTGGGATGGACAGCTCTAACCCCCATGGGAGAATATAACATTATTGGTAAAAACACAGCGTGTGCCATCATATCGTGTGTTGTGTGTTATTTGTATATGTAAATAGTGTAAGTATATATGACCCGAACAGCTTGTTACGTTATCATTTTTTATCAATTCCGGGTTTAAGGTGAGGTAAGGTGAAATGGGATCTAACGTCGCGTCCAAGATTATTGCACTTATATAGCGACACGAGTGTATGTGTGTCTGTATGTGTGGCTGCTTTTACGGACTAATGCCGATTTTATGGTGCTAGCCCACTGAGATACCATGCCGCACTTTAACATGAATGCCCAAAGCAAACAAAGTACACAGACTCCGAGCTGACCAGTCCTCGTTTAAGACCTTAATACCGAGCGCCAGGCGGTGTAACAAGAAGTACCATATTGAATTGACTTTTAATCCATCTCACCCACAGGTCTAACGCCGCACTCGGTAACATTCCAGCTATTTGACGTCAGTCTGTAAATAGTCGAGTCTGAACCAGACAATCCAGTGATTATATCGACCCACGCCATACATGAGATACATGTACACCAACCACGTTAGCGAGCTAGCTGACCGCCCTGTCCCGTTGGCTGCCTCTTTCAACTAGCATGGGTTGCTGAAGATCTTCACGCGGGCGTGGGCTACAAATACGATGCACCTCCACAGTAATGGCAAAATCTGAACCAAGGCTTAATCCCCTCTCATCGCTATCTAAAAGTCCAACCTCGTCATGTTCATATACATGTAGTTTGAAAGAGCGAGTGAGTATGGTTTTACGGCGCTTTTAGCAATATTCCAGCAATATGACGGCGGGGGACACCAGAAATGGGCTTCACACATTGTACCCATGTCGGGAATCGAACCCGGGTCTTCGGCGTGACGAGCGAACGCTTTAACCCCTGGTTTGAAAGAACAACCAATAGACATTACACACTCTTGGCGGTCGGGTAGCCTTATGGTTAAAGCGTTCGCTCGTCACGCCGAAGACACGGGTTCGATTCCCGACATGGGTCCAATGTGTGAAGCCCATTTCTGGTGTCCCCCGCCGTGATATTGCTGGAATATTGCTAAAAGCGCCGTAAACCCATACTCACTCACTCACTCATTACACATTCTAGTGATGTAACGGGATATAAACTCACCAAAACAGTACCTGGCAGGACAAGTGATGGGATGAACGAGATAATAGACGTAGTAGATGCTGCAGTTCATGACTTGCATGGTGTGTTCATGTTCGCAGCAGTCGGCATGGGTGCTGATGCAGGCAGTGATATTTACTACTCCGTCGTGGTCGCTGGGATGGGGACCTGAAAACGAACAAATCAATAATGACCTTACATAATACAGCTAGGTATAGCAAAATGTCACTCTACATTAACAAAGTACAATAGAAAAATAGAAGTCCATGATAAATGTGACAATATCCCATGTAACATGTGTATTTCCAAAAAGGAAATTAATAGTTTAAAAGGAACAACGAATGAGCAAAAGTAAAAACAAACACAATCATGAACGTTTTGCTTAAGCATGTTCACATCCTCCAACTGAATGATTGACATACGCGTGTGCACGAATAATCGATAGCATTGGTTTAGTCTACTAATGTACCTGAAGAAACAGTTTTTACAACATATGATGATTGAGTGTGTGATATTACCATTGAGCCATATAGGATACAATGAACCGCAGCTAGATGGTGGCACACACTGGGCTGACATTGCAGGAAAGTTGCCTTGGTCATCCTGAGGACGGAACCAGTTTTCTTTAATGTACAAGTCACATTTGTCATTGTTTTTGTCATACGGGCACTGAGGGTTTCTGTCCCCAGAGAGAGTCAGGTTCTTGTAGTCACTGCACGGGTTCTCATTTTCCACCACGACTGAAATTTTCAAAGAGTAAAAAAGCACATACATGCCTGGTAGCGTGAACGCATTATTATTTTGGGCCCGTTTTTTAAGCTTACTAGCACTACTTTCTCCGCTTGGCCCAACACTCATGGAAAGTTGATGATATAAGAGACAAAGCTAACAGAAATACAGTTGATATAAAGTGCATTCCAACATACAGTCATGGCTAACATGTATGAACACACCATGCATGCGGATATAATAGAAGTATATGGTCTCACCATAACATATCCACAGTACAACCCAACGAATGGACCTTCTCGCCATGTTTTAGTTTCTCTTCTGAAAATACTCGCCGTGTGGTGAAACCCTACCAGTCATGTGATTTATACACATACTTCATGTTGTGTGGTCTGTTGAAAACAATGCAGATTCAGAGACTCTGTAACCATGCACATTTATAATGGCCATAAAAGGTTACATTTCGATTTTCAGTTTTACGACGATTGAATTGAAGACTGACTCTCATGAGTTTTCTATTCCATTGTCCTGTTTCGCAGCGTGATATAAATCAGCCAGATTACACGGAGAGCAGCCGCGACGATATTCGTTAAGTAATCTATGGTCGTGTCATGAAAGACGTTCACGAGTTAAAGTGTCTGCAGAAGGCGACTGCCTTTGCGCCACCAGGAAGTTTTAATCGGGACAAAATACTTCGTGAAAGCACTCCCAAAATAATATATTGTTTTGTTATGTGACAACGCCAGGCGTTGTCAATGTAAACAAAGATACCACGTTAGTCATATATTTTATGACGTCCTGTTTAACTAAAACCATCACTTGGTAGCAAAGGCAGCCGAAGATGCAGGCGCCATGGTTGCTCCTCTTACTAGCGGCAGTCTCGCTGCAAGCAAACGGTATATGCAGATAGAGTGCCCTTATATTACCATTTTATCATAATCTGATTGGTTACTTGTTATGTGGACCTAGCTGCCGAATGTTCATTTAATGTTGTCGATATCACCAGGTAAAATGTTTCACTTGAAATTGTATTGTAGTTGTTATAAACAGAAAGTCAGTGAGTACACTTCACATTGAGTCCGATTTTCTCAGATTGGTATCTCTGCAATATAATGCATGTATTTGAACTGCTGTTTGCAGGAGAAGACAACCCCTGCCAAGACTACATATCGTTTCCCGACTTGGACAGGAGGGACGTCAATTATGAATTATCAGTAGGAGAAAAACCCCTGAATGATTTTTTCATTACCAACTCCGGGGTTTGGTTCGGTACGGACGGTTATGACATCGTCACCAGTGCCCCACCACAGAAACGATGCGGCACCGTGTATCCAGTCTGGATAAGAGGTAACACCCTGGTAAACAAATTGTATACATGTGATCCACACGTTTGTGTCGATATGTTAGTTCTCCGTGAACTTCTCAATATTCAAAGTGTTATCATTGGGGTTTTCTTACCGTACGTGAGTGGTGTTATCCATCGATACTATATTTAAGTATTGCTGAATTATGAATAAACTATTTCAGACCCGTTGCCAGAGAACGGCGAGGAGACTACAGTTACGGCATGTGTACGTATAGACACAAACACTTGCCAGGTGAGCGAGAACATCCTTGTTCGGGACTGTGGAAACGTCCGCATCTACCAGCTGAAGAGTACTAAGGTTGATCAGTCTGCCTACTGTGTGGGTAAGTTCGAACAAATTGAAATCTTTCTCCCTCTCCGTCTAACTCTACCTCTTACTCTGATTAATATTGTGTAACTTTATAAGCTTGACATAACACTTTGTGATGGACGATAAATTAAATTTAAATTGTTTAAATTTCAGGTCTTACTGACCCAACAAAACGTAAGTAAGATTCTATTTTTACGTAACCAGTATACTGACCAAAAGAAGTCAGGCATCATGGTCAATAATTTTGGGAAAAATTGTGTGCTCAGTCTTCACTACAGAAAATATTTCCAAAACTATTCAAGATCCCTAACTTTTTTTTTCAGTATATTATTGCCTCATCCTATATTATTAATCAAGTACACTTCAAATCCTTCAACTCGATCGCAATTCTGTCATGACCGGATCGTGATTCGGTCTTGTTTCGGTCGTTATAAAGTTGGGGAACCCGGTTGGGATCCTATCTTGATGAAGATAGGATTATGTCCTACACATTGTTAAGTATTTAACCGCAAGTTGGTGAAATGATGCAATGGTGATAAGGTTTGGAGGAAAAATATTTCATCCTTCTCAGTCGTCCTTAATATTCTGGAATGTAATAATTAATGAAAAAATAGAAGTGATAAACTATTTTCATATGATAGTTATATAGATATGAGGCATTGGAAATGAATTATCCAGGTGTTTTAAATTGTACATGCATAAGATTGCACGGAGAGCATACATGTACGTACTTGAGTGAAAAGTTGTTTTGCGACGAATGTGTACAACGTTGGTGCATGCTGGCAGTTATTCGACCATGCATGCAGAGTGAATATGTACCTGTATATCGTCACTGGAAAATTCATTAAATTTGATTAACTGGTTTACACAGGGAAATTTTAATTTCACACAGACAATGTCTCAGTTTGACATAAGTCATAAATCACAACGACTATATTTAGACTCCTGGATATAAGTGGCACAGAGAACAACATGATGCCATCAAATATCAAGTTATCACATTTGTTTAATGTTAAGGAGCTCAATTATATTTTTCAACATTAACAGGTGATCAATTGTGTTTTAAATAATTATAAATAACGAACTGTGTTCTTCAATATAGTCTTGTGTACATGACACACCATGTATCTACGCCTGGGTTGACGGAAAATCAGCTGGCATTGGCAGGGCAGCGTCTGTACAGACTTGCTCGCGAATGTCAGTCTCTGTTGGCGTGGCGGCACTAGCAGATGGAGTCTGCTCGAGTTGTACTTTACCTCACCTTAACGTCCATGTCAATCGTCTTCAAGTACTGCTTGAAGACGTCTTTGAAGCAGAGGTGGAGATGTCAAGGTGCCCCTTTGCTTGACGCAAACTCGCTATACAAGAGGTTCTTCACGATTCTGGCATCATCCATGCGATGGACGTGGCCGAGCCAGTGAAGTCACCACTGTTGGACCAGGGAGAAGAGACTCATGATCATGGCTCGGGAGATAACGTCAACCTATGACTCGGTCACTCCAGCTGATGCTGAGAATGCGCCCCATGATGTGTATGTGAAAGGAGTTTCTTTCTTGTCTGGAGGAGAGTGTCCAAGAGTCGCTGCATACAGCAATGTGCTGAAGACTCAGGCTTTTTTACGCAACCTTGGTGTTGGTTGTCAGCTTGCTGTTCTCCCTCACTTTCTTTGTCAGCCTAATAAGAGTGGTGGACACTCTACTGATCCACCTGTTGATCTCAGTATCCAAGTACCTCACTACCTCCAGCTCATGTTTGTTGATAAAGAGGCTGCTCGACGCCCTATCCCATTACGTTTGTCTTCACACTGATGATCAAGTCCTGGCATGGACTTGAGAAGCAGCCCATGACGTTTTGCAGCTGGTTCTATGTGTTGGTTGCAAGATCCACATTTTCTGGGAAAAACATGTCTCTGATGAAGACTTCACAAACTCAGGGATTTTGCTTTTTTAGCCAGATTCAACATCTACCCATCTTCTTATCTTGTGTGAAAGCAAATACGCAACCCTGTTTTACTCCCTTCTTAATGTCTGAAGATTCAGAGGACGTTCCGTCAAACCGCATGCTGCCTTTCATGTCAGTGTGGAACGACTGGATCATGCTGAGGAGCTTAGGTGTTCAGCCAGTCCTTGAAATTTGCTCACAAGGCAGAATGCATCACTGCAATTCAGGATACACTGTGTCAACAAGTTTCTGTAGTCTGTTCAGGATCACACAAGTTAAGAGCTTTCCGACAAAGCCATGGCAAGGAGATAACATGATAGTTGTTTCAATCGCTTCTGTGACCCTTGTTCTTGCACAAGGTGACAATGCTGCAAACTCTTGTGTCAATGCACCGCGCAATCATCCCATCACGACACAGAAATTCATGCAGGTGGCATAGCAGAACCTCGTTTCCACACTTAATGATCTCTGGAGGGATCCCATTCATTACTGATGCTTTCCAGAAGGATATTCTCAATGGCCTTGCTCAGTTCCTCCATGGGGGATTTCTCAATGTCCTCCAGCTTCAGAGACAAAAATGCTGTTTTCATTGAGTAAAACTCATAGCAGAGGTCAACCCATGTCTCCATCTGCTTGCCTCACTGATCGTTTCGCCTGTTGCATATTTCAGGGGTGCAATCTTGCCTTGATTTGAACCAATTGCTTTCTTGGTGGCATTGTAAACACATTGGAAGTCTACAGCATCATGATTGAATGCAGCAGCTGCACCCAGCAGTTAATGCATTTTCTCGCTCTTTTCTGGATATAACGACAGTCACAGCCAGTTTTCGCCATCAGCCATTTCCATCCAAGATGTGTTCATTCTCATTCTGAAGCTTTACTTATGTATTGTAAAGCTCCATGAAACACTTTCACGGACCTCGCACCCTGAATAATACAAAATATCACACCAGATACACACCATGCTGCCATGTGCTTGGCTCCCAAACAAACGAATCCCTTCCAAGGGGGTAACTTTTCCCCGTAATGATTCATGTCACTTAATACAAACTGCATGTTACATGGAAGATGGAAAGTTCTATCCGCTCCATTAATAAGCAGAGATAATATGGTGTAACTGACTCCATGGTTGAACCTGAGAGATCATCATAACTTGCCAGCAGTTTGTGTACATGTAGTTCATATAATGGAGCAGTCCCAAGTAAAAAGGGAAGCTCTACGGTTTCACCTGAATTTGACTACTGCCTCACTTTGTTGGGGATAGAATAACGTGATCATCCATGTCCACATTATAGCCCAGGAAAATCTGTTTGAGACATTAATATGCCATTCATGATCATGCCAAGGGTATATTATCATCTTATTTGTCATAGCCAGAGAATAACTCAAGGACGACTAACTGTTAAGCAGGTCAGAGAAACTGGATCCTGTCTCTCTTACGGCTTAACTGAGATCAGAAAAGGTCCTGAGCTGCCTAAATGTAAGGCATGAGGCTTCCACATAGATTACATGGATTCGGTTTTACGATACAGACAAGGAAATAAATAATGATAAAAGTGAAAAATCTGCATCCTTAATCATAAGAAATCTCAATTTAAAGCATTGTACGATTCAGATCATATCCTAGCTTGTATTTAATGAATCACTGTCAAAAAGTGGTGAATCCAGGTGTTCTCAAACATGCAAAGACAATGGTAATGTATTTGTTATGGCATAATGTTAACTTGTCGATACATTCGCCCGTTTTCAATCACTCCAGGTTTTGATGGTCCAGGGTACAATAAATGTATTTTGACTAAGGGAAACATTAATTGAACACATGTACTAATTTACTTAATTTCACACCATCATCCGTCATTTCGAAATGAAAATATTAAGTTATGTTATTCATGAGAGTGACTCAGACTACAACAATTTAATATTAACAGATAATAATGTCAAAATGATAATCAAGTAATATTTCATCCATGTACTGATATCAAACTTCCTCACCTTCACCTGTGTACACGAGTCTGATCTGACAGTCTTAATGCTCTGTTGTTTCTTACATGTACTGCATGTGACCATGTCACATTTTAACAAAGAAAAATATTCTTGCCATGTGTCTGGCAGTTAATGGCTAAAAATGAATGGCAAGGTCACTTCTGAAAGCCAGAAATAATGAAGGTTTAAGACAGTTATGATTATAATAACTGTGTGACAAACTGAAACTTAATCAGGAGAAAGTTTCTGGCACGTGTAATGGACGCAGCTTTGCACGCTGTACATTGCGCCGTAGGCGACTGGGCCACCCGTACTTCAAGATACTCATGAACTTAGAGATGAATGAAAGTATTTGGGTCAATGTAACCATGAAAACTTATAATATAAAACGTCAACACCAGTGAATAACCAGTCTCGATTACCCACCAAAGGAGATGCTGTTAGGAATAAACGGCAAAGTAGCAGTGAACATTTTATGAATTGTCCATGAAATTCTGTGATGACATAAGGTGTTCGCGAAATATAAAAACATGTCAGATAAACATAAAAGTAGCGATGAATGTACTTTTATGCCATCGATCCACGATCTGACTCATCACATGAACGAGCAGTCTCCCAATCCCTGACCTGTTCGCTGTTCACAATCACTTGGCCTTGTCATAGCGTTCATGATTATCAATTTGGTTTTTTGCGTTACGTACAGAAAACATGTGACATTTTAGATATGACTTGGATATTTTTCTAAAAGTGTCTCCAGGCAATAGTGTTAGGCTAGCTTGCAAAATAGTGGTTGCACTTCATTACCTGCAAAATTATATATAGAGAACCTCTCACAGCTAAGTGAGTTACAGAGTAGCGTCCCAGACTCGGTAATACGTAGGCATCTGCTGGCAGATCCCTTAAGAACCCTCAAGATAGTATAGCATGTTTTTCTTGGATTTTATGTTTAAGACCAATCCAATATGTTTTCTTGAATGACATGTTCGTAGGGTCGTAATACTACTTCCACTACCCTTTGCCATTCCAGTCTTCCGGTCGTGTCCACACTTTGAGAGAATGGAATACCTTCTCCTGCAGAAACATCTTCATCTCTTTACTGCATTGTGTTTGATTGGGGACCCGTTGAACATTATGAAGCTGCATCGCCCCTCGCACTATCTGTCAAATCTTCCAGAATAACTTCAGATAGCGTCTGATCACTTTTTTCACAGTCTTTAGAAATTTGGGTATATTCCTCTTCACTATTTTCTTAGAGGGCTGTTGGGGTTTGAACCGGGCATATTTGAACATCGTAATTAGCTAATTATCCTGATAATGCAGTCTCCTCGGGTTTGATCTAAAGTACTGTTTCTTTGGGACGAAATTACATTTTTTTTATCCCGAACTCCACAGCAGTATTTGAACATGCATGTGTTTGACAAGAACCATTAGATCATGCTGGTAGCTACGAAATGTCCTTTCTTGGTTATTCTGAATAGCTAACGAATTTCAAAATTCGTAGCCTGAACCAGATTCAGCTCTGAATCAGGAATATTCACAGGCAAGGATACGTCTCATGCTGCAAACGGTTTCAGAATTTAGGAGCTTGGTGTACGTGTTAAATATCGCGAAAAACGGAACATACAAAGTGGTCAGGTACTTCATCCTACAGAGAGTACTCGTGTAACAGTTGCTCCATGTATTTCGTATGTTTACAGGCAGTCGTCACATGACAAAGTACTGTTGTTAAGTGTCAGGCAACAAACAAGCTTTTATTATTTTATGTTTTATGGAAATTGTGTGAGTAACCGGTGCTACCTGTAGGGTGTGATATGCTTACGCTTTTCGCGAAAACTTGGTCTCATCACTGATTTTAAGTGATCCATGCACATAATTTTTTATTGCTTTTTGCAACTAATAGAATCTATTTCGGATGTTAATCAAGACTGATTATTCTCTGGCTTCGACGATGTATAATTTCTTGCATGCTCGAGTTTATCGACTGTGGCGGACGTGTTAGGATGTAATATGGAGCCAACACAATTGAGCTTGTCAATGAATACTGCCCCTGACATATAAACTGCCTTGTTGAAAGTTACACATACCCAGGTATAGTTCCTGGCTTCATAACGCGACAATACTGTAATATGCCTAGAACCAGTCAAGACATGTTTTTAGAGAAAACAAGGTAGTTTGTCTGAACATAAAGCCTATGAACGTCACAGGAAGCCTCATTCCTACCTGATGTCCTGAACACGCTCAGATATGTACTTCACCCATACATTTAAAAATACATATGAAGGTTTATCACCCAATTCGATGCCATTAAACTCAGTATTGAACAAACGGAAATATCATTGGGAACCGATTGCTTCAGCAAATGGTTTCAGCTGTTAGATTTGCGATTAAATGGACCAGCTTTGCTTACTTAAGTATCCACATACCACTTTGTAGTTGTTAGATCGTGCAAATATAACATATTTATATGCACATTTAAACAAATGCAAAGAATACTGTTTATTGTCATTCTCACGAGTTACAAAATAAATCTTACAATTACACTCCCCCAGAACAGAAACGCATGTGTGGTTTTTAAGTGTTTATTTTTTAATCCTAATGAAGAAGACTTTGCATGTGCATGTTACGTCCCTAAATGACTGCACAACACCTGCCAGTGGAATAAATAAGGCTGGGGATAACACCTTGTTGAATGACAGCCCATTCTTCCTGAAGAGCTTTGCATAATTGCAGTTTATACTATTGCCCTGGAAGACGTTGACGTAAACGTCTATCTAGCTCACCCCACAGAAGCCAAATTGGGTTGAGATCCAACGATCTTGGCAGCCACGGTATTAAGTGTATGTCCTAAGCTTTCGTGAAACAGAACAGACTTGTGCTCAGTGGTGATGAGCATTGTCCTGCTGAAAAATGGCGCCTAGAGCTTGATGAGTTGGGACACGGTGACGAAGAGATGGCTTCCCACATTATGACACTGAATCTAAAGAATTCTATTATTGTTTTAATCAACAACCGTTGGAATGCTCAGGGGTGTGATGCGACTGTTGTTCACAACAAGGTTATGGACGTCTTTAATGTTTTCTTTTGTGGTGCTTGTGGCCATGGTGGGTCGGCCAGTGCGGGAAACATCTGCCCAATACTGACCTTTGTCCAGTTCCATGCTAAGGAGTAGGGTACTTCAGAGTCAAAGTCATTTAACAAGGTCACGGCAAACTGTGAATTATGACTCAACAAACACAGGTGAATGCTAATATGTCATACACAAGAATAATAAAAACCTAGATATGTCAGATTCAAGAATATCCAATCATAAAGACATTAAATATATTACTAGAGAGTACACTTCTTCCTTTTCAAACTACATGTATATCACTTTCGTCTGTGCCTGCACAATAAATAGAAGGTCCAACTGATTTGATTTACGATGTCTAGTGTCACTTGAATAACGTGAAGTATATCTTTATTGATGACATATTTACAGCTGTACTCATGAGCTCTCACGAAAAGTCTTAAAATCATGTCGCCTTTGATTTGTGTGATAAAACATAGTCAAGAAATAAGAACAGCGTTTTCATTGCATTCAAACGGCAGTTGTTACATGTTGATTCCCAAATGAAACGCAATAGTTAACCCACAAATCAGTAGGTACATAAATAAATGAGACATAAGTAAATAACCACACAAGATCAATGAACAATTAACAAATTATAATGAAATGCACAGGATAAGGTTAACATTCATAAAAGTCAATACAATTGGTCAGACTATATTAGGCACTAATTACGATAGGTGTACCGTTTGTACTGGCAAATAGACAGACGTGGCAGGAAGGCCTCACTCGCCGCGCCCTCGTCTCACATATATGTAGGAACAGCCTGCCTCACAGAGATTTCGCGAGCTTGAAGTAAGGTCGTCGTTCAACAACTGCAAACGAGTAGTAGACAAGCTACTCACAACTGAGTTCTCTATATCGGTAGGTTAACGAAGATGGCAACGGTGTTTGATCATAAACAACCAAGGGATGTCACTCTACATCTAGGTCAACACCTTTGATGTAGTTGCAATACTGATGTGTGTGATGTTAAACAACAAACAAGCACTATTGCCTAGGATGGGCCTTGTGCAAATATATTAATGTCTCTGACAACATGACCGACAATCCACGTCGGGGTTCTACAATTAAACGCATCATGAAAATCACAGAGTCTGACTTGGAACCCATCACGAGTTGACAATTTAGTAATAATCTAATAAATTATAAATATTATTAAAACATTTGTCAATATACTATTTACATTGTACATTTATCTAATTATTTCGTTTAGTATTCATTATCTGTCGCATAAACGTTACTGTTTTACAGTGTATGAGTTATTGTATGAATTTAACATTTGTTATCCTCAACTCGCACCCTTAACTGACTCGCTTGCAATAATTGCCACCCGATCCTCGTGTAAGGCACTGTTAATGACTGGAATAATCACAGTTAGGGTTCTTGTCCCCGAAATTGACACAAATATCCCTTGAGATTATTATCCCATTGCAGCGATTCCAGGCTTCAAAGTCAAGCCAACTGTTCAGGTCGAGGCCGTACTTGTTGGAACAAAAAGTGAATACAAGTTCCGATGTTTGTTTTCTCCGTCGACGTCCGAAGTTTTACATTACCAAGTGCTCTGGTACGCTAATGTGAAAATGGTCTACACCTTCACTCCAAGGCAGTGGTCTGATCAGTTTCTAGAGAATACATCTCTCACTGAAGCCATCCTAAAAGCAAGACGTTTCGAATCACCAGGATTTACTGTAAGTACAAATATACGCGTCTTTTGATTGTTAATTACCATACATACTGAAGCAAACAATTCGCGTGGAGCAAATTGTAAGAAATCAGCACTCAAGAACAAATTGCAAATAAATTATTTATGTATACATTGCATCAGAATCAAACACTTAACACAGGCAAACTCTGTCCTTGTCACAGTCTTGGGAATTTGTCAAGAAGGGGTGGATAAATGTCAGTAATGTGTGAAGGCACCATTAGCAAGGATAACAGCTGTACAGCAAAGTCTCATGTTCTGACAAGGTGTTGATGTCTGGAATGGTAATGTTGGTCCACACTTAAAAAATGGCACGTTCAAGGTCACTCTCATCCCAAATATATCCCATGCATGCTCTTTCTCAGAAGGATCTTGCTGGCCAGTTCAGAACAGGAACTTGGTTTCCATGAAGGAATTCAGGGGTTAAACGAGCTGTATCGGATCGGGCGTTATTATCCCCTGCCCCAACGAAGTTGGCGGGGGATATTGAAATGGGTTCCGTCAGTCCGTCCGTGCGTCCGTGTGTACATGTGTCCAAAAATCGTTTCCGGGGCATAACTCAGAAACCGTTAAATATTTCTCTACGAAACTTTGCATGTCTATCAGACTCATGCTGAACTGGTGCCTTTGGCTATTTAGGATTTTTAAAAACTTTTATTTTTTACGTTTCCATGGCAACAAGTTTGATTTAAGTTTTAATATAGGGTGGGTTCACTTATGGCGGATAACGAAATAAACTGTTAAGTATATCCCTGCAAAACATTGCATATATATATATACAGCACATACTGAACTGGTGCCATTTGATATTAAGGAGTTTTAGAAATGTTTATTTTAGAATTTCCATTTTGACATGGCCTGAGAGAAATGTTGGGTCAGTTACCTGGTTTGGGACCATAACGTGTTAACATTGGCGGGGAATATAGACGACTTCGTCTACTATACGCTTGTTTTGGTTGAAAACCACAATGCTGAATAAATGGAATGACCACGGGTGTGACAATGTTGTCACAATAACGCTGAGCGTTGAGTTTCCCATTAACGATCACAAGATCAGTTTTGGCACTGGCATAAATGGTTGCCCATACCGAAATGCTTCCAGCGCCGTATAGATCTCACCGGACGGCGTTATCTGCGTTACACCTTTCGCCATATGCGGTGTCTTACATCGTCAGAAAATAGGGATTCATTGGTGAATAACGTCTGGTTCGCCATGTTTTGGTTTCGATTCCGAACTTGTATATACTCATGCATACTTTGCCAAGCCGCTAGTCTACCCTTTCTAGTCTCGCTAGTCTACGCAGACTTTCCGGCATTCCACGCAGGCATTACTGCCATCACTGTCACGCGCATCGCTGTCAAGCACGAGTTCTAAGGCTTTATGGGATGCATGTGTTGTTTCAACGTTCTGCATTCGGTGATAGGACGAAATGGTGAGGCATTACTGCACATCACAGCTCACCTCTGGTGCTTATCGATGGCAATATGACAGGTGTACGGTACGTAACGAAGTTATCATTCTCACGTTACTTCTGACCCTTGAATGACATCACTTTACAGCAGGACAATGCACGCCCTCACTTTGCAGGTGTGGTTACAGATTTCATTGGACAACAGAAAAACAGATCAACAGAATCCCCACGCTCCCTTGGCCTGCTGTTTCGCCAGATCTGTTGCCAATCGAACATGTGTGGGATGAAATGAAACGTCGTTTTTGACGACTTCCATACTAACCGGTGATGATAATGACAACCAACAAGCCTTCCTCAACCTTCTTGTATCGTCAATGAGGCGCCATTGTCAAGCTTGTGTCACTGCTAATGGTGGTCATACCCGATACAGACTCGTGAACTGACAATTGACACCACGCCAACTTCAAGAAGAAGTGACGTTTACAGAGGACATGTGTTGACACTGTCATGATGATTTCATGTTTCATGGCCATCACTATATTGTTCTGTTGCAAAATCCTTTGTTTGCATATAAATATTATTTCCCTTGACCATTAGTGAAGCACAGGAACATTTTCCCCGCAAATATATATACTGCCGAAAGAAAGTGTACACCAATGTTTTGATGGTGGCTAAAAATGAAACAAACAAGACATGGTTATTCTTTGTTGATATATTCAAAACTGGAATCTTTGTTGAGTTTTCGACCTTGGCAGTGTTTCAGCGACTGTTTTCAGCTTAGTAACGCTTTAACAACATTTGGTTTTTTGTTTGGTCAAATCCACTTTTCCAGTGTATACTTTCTTTTGCCCGGCAGTTTACATATATTAACAGATTCAGAAAGTACTCCAACAAATCCTCTATGAAACATATAGCATTATGTTATTTTGTCACACTTTTCATCCAGAATGTGTTTAATTTGGATTGGGTTCGGTGGATGTAAGACTCATAAAGTCAGACTGAGTCACCACATATTCTTTTTAAAGGTACAATGTGCAGTCAAGGCATCTTATGGCGTTGGCTTTCCTCCAGGACAGAGTGAAATGAGCGATGCAAAATTTATTGGCATTGTGGTATGTATGAAAGTTCAAGAAAGGTAACCTACAATTAGCATTTGATATTATTTTACGATTAAGCGACACAATGTCCAACATCCATTATTACAAATAGTGAGAGTTGGAATCTGATAGGTCAGTAGGAAGGACAAAGAAGAGACATAGCTGAGGAAAACTGAGCATAGCCACTGGCGATCGAGCCTCAAAATTCCAGTCTAGTTCAGCAAGGGTGGACTTTCAGAGTCAGTTGACTCCCTTGCCTCGGGAAGATGTTGGTTGTAACCTGTTAGCAAATGCAGTGAACAGGGCCATAATGAGTGAGTGAGTTGGGTTTAACACCGCTTTTTACATTATTCCAGTCATATCGTGGCGTGTCAGCTTAATATGGGAGGAAAGCCCGAAGTGATGCAGGTCTCCAGACGTTCACCACTTCGGTGAAATCCACGAGCTCGGGTATGGTGCTGACAAACCTAGATATGTAATTGGGGCGAACCTGGATTCGAACCAACATCCGCTCACAATATGACATGGTCTCTACCTATTGTTATTGCATGAAAAACATGATCATAACCTTAAAAAAACTTAAAATAGCTCCAATCTATATTTAATAGATCGAAACCCCCTCTGTAATTGTGAAAGAAGGTGAGGATGTTATCGTTCACCTTGGCCTGTCCACACCATTCGGATGCGGAACTGAAAATGATTGTTCTCTGCTGGTAAACGTCATGGTGGAGAGTGAGAACAATGTGTGCGACCCATCGGCAATGGTTCATTCCCAGTGCGGGGTGCGGATATGGAAAAGAGACTGGCAACAATCCCACTCCTTGACGGTAACAGGAAACCCAACTCAAGGGTATAGCCCTAAAACTGCCGTATCAAAGCTACGTTTTCGTGTTGCGTCATATTTCATTCCTCATCCCTTCTGGTCTATGTATGACGTTGGCGAAGTAACAGTAAGTATATTTCATACAGTGAAATCAATTAATCTAACGTAGATATCTGAAATGCCACTGTGATACTACCTGAAAGTGTTTACTTAATGGGCCAAAAATATAAATTTGTCAGGACATACTTAAATGAAATACGAAAATAATACGTAGCAGCATCAGACATGTTGTACACTCTTTTGCAAATATCTTGATTTAATGGTAATTGCTTATTTGTATTGACAATAAGTGTTGATACATTTACAGGTACAAATTGTTAAAGACACAAGAATCTTCAAAAACAAAGTTTGCTACGCATATACAGATCCACATATGCAGACTACTGATGGAAGGTACTGGAAAATTATGGTTCTAACACAAATCCACATACATTCGGTCACGTTTGTCACCGAACCGAATATATATACACTTAAGAGAAGTAGGGAGGTTGAGAAAATGTTAAAACCAAGTATTAGAACAAAGATATAGTCTGGAAGATAATTTAAGGTTCCCACGTTTACTACAATATCTGAAAAACTATTGGACCTACTCCAGTCAAAGTTGGTATGAGATTATTAAACAGTCATACATAACTGGATATTACATTTAAAGACAATCGGTGCATGAATAAAAAATCTGTCTATTTAGCTATCACTATATTTCATCAACAACCAGACCTGTTCGTCACGGGTGGAACGAGCATTCATTGTAACAGCCATCTGCATAATGCTACCCCTGCGTCACCTATGACGTTAATCCCCTACTGTCGTTAATTTGTTAAATTTGGCAACTTTTGCTCTGTGGCAGTTAATTATTCTATATTGTATTCGTTTCAATATGCTTATCCTTTCAGGAAGTACGAATTTCATGATGATGGCGTGTTCGTCTTTTATAAGAACGTGGACCTGAATTTGGAGGTAAAAGAAATGGTTCTAATCAACAATAATTTGAACTCATGAAAAAACACCACACACCCCATCACGCCCGCCTGTCTACACACAAATATGCACATACAATAGTGAACTGCAACATACATGAGCCCTTTGGTTATATTAACTTAATACCACGTTTGCTGGTACAAATACAACTGATCCCCCAACTAATAACACACACCATCACGCCCACCCACAAACAACATATATACACACACACAGAAGTGAACTACAAAAGATATTTGCACTTTGGCTGTCATAATTTGATTCCACGTTTCTAACCTTGCAGGTACAAATTCAAATGCTTTCCTGTGGAAGTGGGCATGTAAGATGCCCATGCGGCGTCGCTGTCCGAGCTGGAAGGACCGTATTCCACATGAACAGGTGTTACAGATCAAGCTGGAACATCAATTACGTCATGTGTGAAGATGGAAAAGACATTCTCAAAGTACTCAGGAAAGGAACAACATATCAGGTACACATTAAACAATTCATCATTAGAGTTATACACTGACCATTCTTGTCAAGTGTCAAAGTCATCCACGATGTTAAAGTATGAAGAAATGTAAGGTTAAATGACACCTCGGGTTGAATAAACTAAATATAATTGTAATTTGGTACATGCCATCCTTGCGAAGTGGCTGCGATCTGGAAACGTTTTTGATAAGGTCAAGCTCGAAATGAAGGTCATTCGTATGGTATGTTTGCCATTTTCACTTCATTGCCTTTAAGTCCTGTGTAGTGGTTATATTGTTGGAATTCTTATGTATGACAAATGATGATCTTTTAATATAGAATGTATTTGTAGGTAATTTTGACCTGTTTGAAACCACATGGTACTTTGATATGTCAGGGATTGCAGGTGATGATAATTTACAAAAACGGATTATGTCAATAGTCAAGGTACCATTCAGATCCTAGCCCCCAAAATACATTTTTTTATCTCTAAACTCAAATAGGAGTTGCTGTCGGTCAATGCAACTTGGACATGTCATCCTCAGGGTAGGGTCCAAATCTTAAAAGGTCATACGTGGCCTATGTGAAGGTCACACAATGTAAGTTATTTGTAAACTATGTTTGAGATTTTCACTAAAATGTCGTTTTCGCTCAAATGTAAGTCAGGTGAGCGCATGTCACAGACTGCTTATCCACCGTCTGTCATTGTCGACTTGGGTAATGCCACTGAAACTCTGTACGCTTCATCTCACCAATGATCGATGACACCTTATTTTGTTAAATTGTTCCAAATCCGATTTTCAATACTGTCCCAATAGCAACCATATTATAAAGGCAACGTGGCCATATATCGACTGACGAGTTAAATTAGAAATCCATATACTTTTTTTATGCAAATCGCGTGAATGCCGGGTGCCAACGGTAGGGCAGGACATGCTTATATTTTCGCGAACACCTGGTGCCATAACTGATTTTCAGTGTTCTATTCCTTAATCGCCAAATGGAACCTGTTTCGGCAGATAATCGAGGCTGGTTACATATTCTCTTGAATTGACAATTTATATACATGTTCTGCTTGACTGTGTTGATTTTTCTTTTACAAAGTGATAATTACTGTCATTTAACGTATTAGGGTCTTTCTAATAATACCAGTGCTCGTTTAATTCTCGAATTTCTAACTGAAATAGCATTGTGGCACGCGAGTCAATCTCAATTGAAGCATATAACATCGACTAGTGTTTTAATTCCTTGATTATAGTTTGTTTTTTTAATATTGGTTAGCTTTCCATATTACCACTGGTGTCCAGTTTTTTCCCGAAAATATGTGCAGTGCTAATTGCTTTGTGATCACGGTATTATATGTGCAAATTTTCATGAAGGTGTTGCGAGTTTGTGCTGCAGTTCTGCGACGGAAATGAACAGAGAGATTGACTAACAGGTGTAACAGGATGGTAGCTGTTTAACCCAGCATTATATGCATTGAATGCGTCGGCATAAAAGTTTCATATGTTTGACAAATGCCACAGGGCAACACTTAACCGTTGTTATATAACATGTGTCAAAAGTGTATATGGGAGTATAATATCTTTTCATCTTAACCTTCATTGGTACCTTATGAAATACTTCATATTAACAGCCACAATTTATGTTGCGTATTTGTTTTTCAGATTCACTTACCGACTGGAAGTTATGTGGAGGTAGAACCCAGTGGTAGGTTCTGCAATGTTCGTCTTTACCCATCGGATTCGGATTTCAATAAAACACGAGGTTTATGTGGAACTTTCACCAACAAATGCGAGGACGACTTTCAGATGTCGGATGGAACATTGTCGACAGCCACAGGCGCTGAAGCAAATTGTGTGCAGGCACAGTATCACACACGAAGGTATTACCACGATTTTACAGAGTCATGGAGGTAAGTTAGCACACGAGTTCTAAACAGATACAGACAATGTCTAAATGCACGAACCTATTCTTACTATCCAGAGATACATACTTCGCTGAACACAACACATACAGGGAATATGGGTCCTAATTAAATTGCGGTGTTGTTCCTTTTTATATACAATTGTTATTCAGTGAAGGCTCGTTGTCGCGACCTGTATTAAGGATATAGGTCCCAAGCAACCATGCTATTTGAGACAAATTGGATGGGTTGGTCAGGCTCGGTGACTTAGCATTTACATACAGTCGTGATATGGAGTTAATATTGAAGGCGGTGTTAAAAAACAAACAAACAAAAGCATGCATAAAATATCCTCTGCATGCATGTTTCTATTTCAGTTTCGGTTGAGTAGAATGCACTTTGAAGGTCCAAGTAGCTATGTCTACAGCGTTACAGGCGACATCTTGCAATCAATTTTTATTTTCTAATGATATGACATTGTTAGAGTTGTGCTGAGCAGTGGCTCTCAAATACTGTTATGACAAGGAAGACACGGCCACAATTTTATGGATAACAACTTCTTTAATACTGTAAAAAGCGACGTTTCGGTATAGATCCTTATATCGTTGTCAAGCAAGACTTATGACAACGGTATAAGGATCTATACTAAAACGTCGCTTTTTACAGTATTAAAGAAGTTGTTATCCATAAAATTGTGTCTACCTTGTCATCCGTCAACTTCTAAGTGATGCCTATCAAACAATGAATACTGTTATACTGGCACTATTTTCATGTGATTGAGATTTAGCATTTAGTCTTCCAAAGTCTGGTTGAATGTTTGTCCTGCATGCACCTTAATTGATTCTATGGAATATAGTATAGAATGCATTATGATCATTCATGCTTGTTTATACAATATATGTCCTATATCAACAGAGCAAGAACAAATCTATTTCATTACAACCATCTGGAGAATTTGGAATGGTGGACATCCACATTCTATTACTGCCAGTGTGATAAAGATGACCTTGTTGGTCAGGAGCCACATCCAGAAGCCACATGCTCCCCAGGACCAGGAAAAGTATGTGTGTACGACCACAGATTCCGCCCTCCGCCGTCAGCTTCCCGAGAATGTACAATAATGTCAAGGTCGCGCAGAGCTGCTGCGTTCCAGAATGAGGAGCAAATCTCAAGAGAAAAACGGTCACCTTCTACCTTCAATGAACACCCTGAATATCCTAGGGTATGTTGTTGTATTAAGGCTAGCGACAGTGACGTGTATTTGCTTCAAGCAGTTGGTGTATTTACATGATACCTGACACTCCCAGGATGCTTTGTGCTCAAATGGTTGATGACAGCACAGTAACATTGTTAAAACGTGAGATGGAGATCTAGAAACAAACCAGTCAGTAACTTGTTGTAATTATGTGTGTTATTCTTTAGACAAGTCATAACATCCCTTAACATTGGTCGCATCGGGGAAATCAGACAATCAGCCAAATCAGTCAGTTATGATCATAATAACTCCATGGTTAAATGTATGATAATGATTACATACTACATACTTAAATTTCCAAGATATATGACGTCGGCAAATGTTGATTGATGTAAAACGATTACAGAAAACTAAAACCATATTTTGGTATTTGAAATGTTTCGGGAAAATGGACGGAAAATACAGCCAGGTAGATTTGTCAGAAAATAGGTGGTCGGAAATGAAAGACATATCCAAAATAGAATACAGTTCAAAAGAATTTCTGGTTTATTTTACCATTTACAAACTACCATACTATATGGTATGTGTTAATTGTTTTATTTATGGACTGTTCTACAGCCGCTGGCCACGGACACAAATATGACCGAAGAGGCGGCGACATTGTTCTGTGACAAATTGTTCAACAACACCAAGACGATACTAGTATGCACACATGTTGACGGAATACAACAGATTATCTCGGACAACAAAGAAAACTGTGTTCTTGATATCATGGTGTGTACACTGTATAATGTTCATAGAATAGCTAACCGACCTGTGAATATCCAGTTAGATTTCAGCCAGCATTGCTTGTCGTAAAAGGCGACTATGATTGTGGTAAGATGCGACTAACGGGATCGGGTTGTCAGGCTCGCTGACGTGGTTGATGCATGTCATCGTATCAACAATGTGTAGATCGATGCTCATGATGCTAATCACTGTCTGGTCCAGACTCGATTATTCACACACAGCCGTCATACAGCTGGAATATTGCTGAGTGCGGCGCTAATCAACAAATAAGCAAAATAATAACTATTCTGTCTTCCAAATACCATATACATGTACACTGAATTGAAGACATACCATGACGCATTTAATAAAATACACACAAATACTTCGTATCCGTAAGGGATATTATTAAAATTCGTTCAGAATACTCATGTTAAGAGGAAGGTTTTAACATTTGTCAGCCATTAGTGAGTGAGTGAGTGAGTTTGGTTTTAAGCCGCTTTTAGCAATATTCCAGCAATAACACGGCGGTGGACACCACAAATGGGCTTCACACATTGTACCCATGTCGGGATTCGAACCCGGGTCTTCGGCGTGACGAGCGAACGCTTTAACCACTAGGCTACCCGACCGCCCTTGTCAGCCATTAACCGCTAACGCTTCAACATTTGAGGGATGTCAAAACCCCAGCAGAACATTTATATCTCCATCGTTGTCTTGGCAAATGTTTTGAGGCATTGATATTTTTCATGCAGTGTCATCCCGTTTCTCCCTTTTCTCAGAATCCGTCGAACAAAATTTCTGCAGCTCATGAAGTGTACAGATCTTATAAATGTTCTTAAATACATGATAGGTCCACTCTTGAGAAATTCATGGTGCAAAGGTTATGATTTAGGGCTTTGAGGAATTAGAGGTGAAACATGAACGGGGATGTCTTTGTTCTTGCAAATATTTACCAACATTTTTCTGGTTTATAACAAAACACTTTAGCTCACAGGAACTACTGATTTTGCACGGGATGCCCTGGAATCAGCAAAGAGCCAATGCTTGCAAGAGGTGGCGCTGAATTCTTCTTTTCACGAGGACACAACTCCTGGCCTCCCCTCCATATTTGACACCCTGCTGGAGATGACGTGTACAAATGAATGCTCAGGAGAGGGTCTATGTGAAAATGGTAGGATTGCATTTAATATTTGCAAATATACAAACTTTAAGTTATATGTGAGTATATATTAGTATATCATATATGTCAGTAATGCCTGTTTTTGTATAATTCAGCGAGTCATTTGCCAGCTTTATCATGGTAACAGATAAATGAATGAGTGAATGAATGTAATTTTATTCAGCTGTTGTAGTCGATATGATAGGCATTATGTACCTATTCTGACCGTTACTGCATTTGAAACACTGACTGTTTGACAATTGCGCGTGTTACAGTTATGTATACTGAGATACGAATCGGTTTGATGGCGGCATCATAACGGCTTGGGCAGCAATCAAAGCCAGCTTCTAGAATGATTTCATCATTGTGCGTTTTGGCTGCCCAAATATACATCAGCGAAATCTTGAGACTTGTGCTCCAACCAATGACGTCAACGTTGTTAACAGCTGTTGCTTCAGCATGTTAATGTATGCTCGACCACACACCGGAAGGATCACTTGAGACTTTCTCCAGCAAGCAGGATGAATTTCATGAACTGGCCAGCAGTATCACCAGACGGAAACCCCATTGTGGGATGTCTTGGGATGTTGTGTACGAGAGCGTCAACCACCTCCAAACAACGTGAATGATAGCGTTGAGGCTTTTTAAGCAATATGGGGAACGTTCCCACAGTTATTGTGAGACATACGTGTGGGTCCTTTCCACGTTGTCTTCGCGTCGTGCATGTGCGCCGAACAGTAGTGGTCGCATAGTATTGATTCATGTGTGTGGGTTTCATGGTAACTGTCATCTAATCTGTGACTCTCATTCATGAAATGTTATTGTCTGATGACCACTCATTTTTGTCAATATGTTGTATAAATTTTGTCATTTGGTTCAAGTTTGTATTTCTTCTCTATTCAGGTACATGTGTTTGCAATGCAAACTTTGGTGGAGAAGACTGCTCTATCGACAAGTCCATCCCACCTGTTGTTTACGGAATGATTGGAGAAGGATATTGTGATGTGGCAGTTGAAGACTGCAACGAGACAGCAATCGTGGGGGATTACTTTGATGAATTTGGAAATATGAGATGCCGTATAACTTTATTTCAAGTATGAACATTTCAGAATATATTATAAATTAATTTAATAATAATATATCTACAGTTACTTATGTATACACCTGCACAAAAGTTAAGCGCCACCATATGCATAGTCTCTTAAGTTCACGTGTGGGAATCGAAATATGATGATGTATGACTGAATTAGGCTTCCATAGTTTCATGAACCCAAATGTGTCAAGATACCACAAGGAAAGCATGCTTTACGTGTTGCTGCAGTTCCCCTACCCTATAAATAGTGAAATTCAAGTTCCAGCACGTGGTTGCATTTTGCTCCTGTGTGAGATTCCCCTTCCAATAGAGGTTGAAAATCAGCCATGGTGAGGAGAAAGGTAACGAAGGCTGAAAGATGGCAAGTGATAGGCATGAAAAATGCTTGCATGTCATGCAGGTCCATTGCAAGACAAATGGGTCGTCATCACAGTGTTATCACTCGTTTGATTGTCAAACATGGTCAAACCAATGATGTCAATGACAGGCATAGGTCTGGTAGGCCAAGAAAGACCTCTAACAGAGAGGATAGACGTCTTTTCAGGATAGTCAGACGAAATCCATTTGCCACTTCAATAGATTTAAGACTGCAGTGGATTACCTAGAGAGACGCTCGACGATGACCGTAAGGCGTCGCCTCAGAACGGCTGGTTATAACGCCAGAAGACCAGTCAAACGTTCTCAACTGACTGAGAGGCACGTGCGGAATCGTCTGATATGGTGTCGTGCCTGTAGTCGATGGAACTTGACCAACTGGAGAAGGATTCATTAGTCGGACGAGTGTCTAATGCTGCTACGAACTGTTGATGGTCGAAAACGTGTTTGGAGGCAACGTAACACTCGTTTTGCATCAAGGAACATCCAGAAGACCTTAGCATGTGGCTGGGGGTCTGTCATGATATAGGGTTGTGTTTCCTTCGACTGCAAACTTCCGCTGGTGACAATTCGTGGAAACGTGAATGGCCAACAATACCAAGATGCCGTTCTTCGTCCAGTGGTGGTCCCTCATTTTGACAACCATCCTCTTCTGACAAGACCTGTTTACATGGACGACAATGCTAGACCACACAGATCTCGGTGAGTTTGGGCTTATTTGCGTCAAGAAGCTATTGCCACTCTTCCTTGGCCTGCCTGTAGTCAGGATCTTAATCCGATTGAGCATCTCTGGGACATTCTTGTCCGGAAAATCAGACATCGTGATCCCCAAGTCTCGCTGGACTTGAAGCCACACTTCATGAAGAATGGATCCGTTTGCCTCAGAGAAGCATTCAACGACTTGTAATGAGTATGAGGCGTAGGGTTGAAGCTGTGGTCAATTTCCGTAAATCATACACACGTTACTGACGTTTCTGTCTTGCAATAGACTCTGCACTCCCTAGGGTGTCTATGTGACGCCTGATATGGTCTGCTGATATCATGACAGTTACATGACAAAAAAAGTTTTTCAATGTGTCTAATCCTTCAATTTCTGGTCTTCGGTAAAATTCCTTTCTGCTCGTATTCTTTTGGAACACAAGATGAAATTACTTTGGGACAACTTTTGCATCACAAGAGGTTTACATATACGGCTTATAACAATCGTACATCTCGTTATAAAAGTCATCATTAAGTGCCAAAAGTAACAGCTCACACATATGGTGGGTGGCGCTTAACTTTGTGTATATGTAAACAATGGTAATTGATCTGGGAAGGGACGGAGCGAGTGCGCGAGTTGGATTTAAAATACCACAACGTGTCAGCTTGATAAGGGAGGATGCCAGAAGTGATGCAAGTCGTCCACTGTATCAAACCCACGAAGAGGAGTTTGGTGATGACATGCCTTTAAACAGTATCAGGGCAAATCTGTGTTTCGAAACCCCAACCATGGGTTGATCGAATTGTGCACGGCAAATAGCGGCGATATTTTCATGTACCTGAAAGCAACGTATCTGCGGAAAGTGCATTCGGACATGTATTATTTCGTGATCATTGCATCGCCTTCTGGCGTGCGCAATTGAAAGGAACATACATGATAGTTGCGCTAAAGTAGCAACTATTGTGATAATACATTAGAGTGAACCAACCAATTCTTTAATATTTGTGATCAGTATTCATTTTGTCGTCAATGACTGGACGACAGCTTCTAAATAATGCAGCCTTCCATCGATTGTGCAGATGACCTACAGCGGGGGCGGGGAGGGGGTATTTGAATTGTGAATAGATATTTTTTTCAGCTACAGCAACGTAACCATAATATAAGTCGAATATACCATATGACCATGTATTTTCCAGCTTTCGCATGATGGGGTTAAAACCGCCCAGGCCACAACCTACACCGAACCAATAGTGGAAAGTTTCGCAGAGGTTTTCTGCGGTCTTCCTCAACACCGACATAAGCGGGATCTGAATTCCGGCCATCCCGGAAGTGCTGTTGCATCCGGGTTTAACGTAGCAGTGTCCAATTATGGAGAGGTTTTCAGCAAAGAAATGGTCGTAATACTTTTCAACTCCCAGTGCCAAACATGTGTTATTAAAGATGACACAGTACTCTGTACATTCACAGTAGGTATCATTGAATTATTTGGATTGATGAATACTTGGGTCATAAGGGCATACTAATTAGCTATCACTAATATTTACTATTTTGTTCGTAGACATTAGCCTACATGTGTTTATGGCATACGTTTGAAGTATATAGAAGATTATATATGTACGTGTGTGACCGACTGTGTTTGTCTTCTCACCCATCAACATTTTCTTCAGAGCAAATCGTGTACTGCTGGGGCTGTGTGTGTCGATCACGGAGCCAGTCACCCGGACAACCCTTGTTATGTCTGTGATGCTTCTCTATCCATCAGATCATGGACGGCGAAATATGGTAATTGTTTTCATCACTTTGTTACAGTCATCGATTGCCGATCGTTGCATTCATTAAATATTTCCAAATGTTTAATCTAGCATTTTGTCTGAAGTGTGAGTGAGTGAGTTGGGTTTAACGCCGCTTTTAACAGTATTCCAGTTATATCACGGCGTGTCAGCTTAATCTTGGAAGAAAGTCCGAAGTAATGCAGGTCTCAGACGTTTACCACTTCGGTGAAACCCACGAGCACGGGTATGTTGCTGACAAACCTAGAATCATAATCGGGGTGAACTAGGATTCGTAAGAGGCGACTAACGGGATCAGGTGGTCAGGCTCGCTGACTTGGTTGATGCATGTCATCGTATCCCAATTGCGTGGACCGATGCTCTTGATGTCAATCACTGGACTGTCTGGTCAAGACTCGATTCTTTACAGACCGCCGTCATATAGGTGGAATATTGCTGAGTGCGGCATTTAACAACAAATAAACAAAACAAATCGAACCCACAATCATAGGTTTCTGGCGTGCATTTTGTCTGTTTGTTTTCTCCTCTAAAGGAAAATTTCACCTTGGGGCTTCTTAACGGAAGTCAAAGTGAGTGAATGCTGTTTAGCGCCGCATTGAGCAATATGCCCGATGTAGCATGGCGGCCTGTAAATAGTCGTAACTGGGCCATTGTAACCAACGGTTGGTATGTTATCGTGAGTGATCATAATCTACGTATAGACCCGTGAAGATCCGGGGTGGAATAGGTCTTCAGCAACCAATGCTTGCCGTAAAAGGCGACTATGCTTGTCGTAAGTGGCGACTAACGGGATCGGGTGGTCAGGCTCGCTGACTTGGTTGATGCATGTCATCGATCCCACATTGCGAGGATTGATGCTCATGATATCAATCACTGGATTGTCTGGTCCAGACTCGATTATTTACAGACCGCCGTCATATAGCTGGAATATTGCTGAGTGCGGCGTTAAACAACAAACAAACCAACCAACCAATTGCGTGGATCGATGCTCATGATGTCAATCACTGGATTGTCTGGTCCAGGCTCGATTTTTTACAGACCGCCGTCATATAGGTGGAATATTGCTTGGTGCGGCGTAAAACAACAAACCAACCAACCAACCAACAACCTTCGTATAAGATCCGATATGTGTGAAGTTCTGTGTGTGTACTGCACAATTTTACATTCGTATCATGCCAGTACTGTAGGTTACGACAATTATATATGACATTGTACAAAACCTAATGTTGAAGCATGGTGGAGATGTGGTATGTACACATGGAATGAAAACAGGGATGGAACATGTATGCGCAAGTAAAAAACATACACATGTGTATTTCTGATATTGTTTTGTGTGTTTCTGGACAATAAAAACCTTTGTAGGTTTGATAAATCGTTTTCTTCATCATTGCACAGGACCGGGTTGTCCAGTGTTGGACAAGGAGGAAGAACCACTCTGGATTATTGGAGCTGTGTTAGGTGGACTTGTGCTGGCGGCTGCTGTCGTGTGTGCAGTGATATGTTATAGGAAGTTGCGGTATGTATTTTACATTAAACCAGTATTGCTGCATGGAACACAATAGGTCTGTGGAGTTTTAAATCTACATCTGTGATAGTCTAGTGTTTTTACTGTCCTTTGTCGACAGATTTTAATGTCTATATGTATTAATATATAACTTGATTTAGTCACTATATGGCTGAAATATTGCCGATGTGACTTTAAATATTAACTCACTCACTGTGGAGTTTTAATTTCACATCGCTTTACCCCACCGGCAGTCATATTATTTTTTTAAATAATAATTGTGTTCGTGGCGAGTGCTTCATATGGACATGCTTACGCCTTTTGCGAATACAGCGTGTCATCACTAATTTTCAGTGATCAGTTCATTTAATTTTAACTTTTGGCTTTTACGTTCAGTATATTCTGTTACGGCAGATATTCCCTGGGGTTGACATTTTAAATATATGCACATGTATATATGCTTTAACCACAATGTGATTCAATAGACTATGTCGTACTTTAAGACTCTTTGCACGACATGTCTATTACTATACCCGACTCGAGATATACTTTACCTTATTTCGTCAGGATAATTTTTAAATGAGTGAGTGAGTGCAATATTCCAGCAATATCACGGCGGGGGACACCAGAAATGGGCCTCACACATTGTACCAATGTCGGGAATCGAACCTGGGTCTTCGGCGTGACGAGCGAACGCTTTAACCACTAGGCTACCCGACCGCCACAGTTTTTAAATGGAGATGTCAGGTCGGAAGAAGTCATCAGCTCCTCGAACTTGACCTTTGAGCTGACTAAACTTGGCATTGGGTTGGCCATGACTTCCTTGTGTGGATCTGCTTGGAATGTATAGGTTTGGTTTGCCTGGATCAGATTCGAGTATCTACAGGCTGCTGTCACAGGACTAGGGTATTGCAGAATGTAGCGTGAATAAAACATGCACCATATCTTTCAAATAGGACATCGTCTTTTGAAATGATTTTAAATGGCGCGTCAATCACGTAATATATTGGCTTTTTGTCCCTTAATTTCAGTCCGAAATCAGTTTGTTCATCTGTTTGTTATTTAACGCCACACTCAGTAATATCCCAGCTATGTGACGACGGTCGGTAGTGTTCGAGTCCAGTCCAGGCAATCCAGTGATTGACATCATGAGCATCGATTCATGCCGAAGTTCAATTCTAGTGAAGTTGATGAAACTATCCAGATTTTGACATATTTATTTATTTTTCATTTATTTGATAATTTTGTTCCTACCATCGCTTTCTTGTCTGGTATTTGTATATATAACATGCACGTGCAATACAATACCCCTTTTCATGTAGTCAGAGCAGCACCTGAATGTTGAAATGCTAAATATTTTTAATCAGTGACAAACAAACAAGAAAGCCTACTTTATACTTGTTTATGTGCTTTGTTGAAAAACCTTTCCATACCTACAATGAGTCGATTGTACTCTGTAAGATTCGTAATTATGTATTCATGAAAATGTCATTGAAGTGGCTTCTTACGCACTCAAGAGTTGTTGTGTTTATGTATTATAATGAACTAACACCTGCACGAGCGAAAGACTTATTGTACATACATACATGCATATTGTACTTGTGTTATGATATATAATTATTTTATGTAGAACTTATAGTCGAGACCATGATACAAGCATGCATTGAATGAATGATTGTTTTGTCAAGAATTTGTTTTCATTTTCTTGCTAGAATTGAATGAGTTGTCTATCAACTGACATTTTTAAATTTACACATATCACCTGTCATGGTTTATACAAAGGCGATGAACTTCCGCCTAAAACTATCGTCACTTGTTACAACACCCCCCAAAACACTTTGATTTTTAGGCACATTATAACCAATATGTTACATTCAAATGTTTTTTCATGTTGTTCAATGTCAGGAATGTCACATTATTAAACTGACAACTGGAACTATATTTCAGACAACCACAAAAGGTTGCTGCCTCACCTACGATCTTCGACAAGAAAATGAAGAAGGAACCTAAAGCCTAGACATGACTGAAATCCCACCACACTGACGAAAGTTTTGGAGTCAGTAGAATTATCAGATCCAAACTAATGCATAACTCAAACAGATCATTCAGTACAGAAAATGGTCCCTTGTACAATAACGAATAGTGGAATGCCTACAGATACCAGAATGGTGATTTAAATGTTTATATGTTCATTGCAAGGACTGGACAAACTGAATTAGCTGCGACAATATGACCGTATGTATAATCAGAAAGTATCACAGATTGCGTCAGGTACAGGTTTATGGGGCTGGTGTTCGTGATCATGATTAGATCGTCACTTGCATGATTTGATTGGATTGTTTTTTTTAAAGAAAATGCTAAAGACACCATGATGATGCATGTATGCATAATCAGATTGTTTACAATTATATAAATACTTGTATTGGGTTCTTTATTATGTTGCTATGTTGTTGTTGGTCTTTTTTGGGTTTTTTTGTGTGTGTTTTTTGGGGGAGACAAACAATGTACATGAGGTATATAATCAGTAGTCAGGATGTACGTGTATGCTGCTCATATAACTATAATTAACAAAGGCAGAGATTGTCAATTTTAGAGGCAAGGGAATTTCCCGTGACTTTTTGTCAAGACCTGTTGGATTGCCTCAACCATAAACTAGGGCCTTAAGTTTAGTAACGTTGTCATTTGTGCCGGCTGTGTTTTAATATCATATATGGAATATAATATTGCGTGTGTATGTGGCATATCTGTCCGTAAGAATTAGACGGGTAAGTCGTGAGAGAGCGACCACCCTTTATTACTCTAGGGATATTACGTGATCAGACTATAAGGCGTTGACATACGCTGAGAGAAATTTGTTGACATAACTTGGTTAGATCGTGCAAACAGTTTGTGGGAATCCGCATTAACCAGGGAATTGGCACAATATGGCTGTTATGTATGTTTCGCATTATAAATTAGAACGTGTTACCAAAGACTACCTTTTGGTCATCATCAGAAACCATATGTAGCTACCATATGTGGTAAAATATCTGAATAAACATATTGATGCATATTTTTTTTCTTAACGCTTATGCATGAAGAAAAACTCTGCATTCAACATGTGAAGAAAACATATTCCTTTTGTTTCGTCATGGGGCATTGATGGTCCGGTCGTTTATGGCGCCCCAATTCGCTATGCAGAGTTGTGTCCCTTCGGCGTGTCAGAAACCTATGATGTTAGGTTCGATTCTCCGTTGGCATTGGTTATGTGTCTAGGCTTGCCCGCCCATACCTTTTGGTTTCCTTCCAGCCGACTCGCCGTCACATACCTGCCGCCGTCATATAGTTGGAATGTCGCTGAGTGCGGTGTTTAACAACAAACCAAAACATGTTATACAGCTGATACACTGTTCAAAAAGGCGCTATTTCCAGCATTCTTGAAGACAAGGATAACATGTTATTGTCAGTCATGACAATGGCATCCCAATGTAGCTCACCACATGGTCAGAGGGTCACAATTGTTTTTTCCAGGATCGAATCCTTTTGTCCTTGTGCATCGACCTGTATAAAAATTCAAGTTCTTCTCGGAAACTGGCAAAGCTGAAACCTTTGCATTGATGGTTCTGCTAATGTTAACACTTGATCCATTACTTACTTGTTTAATTATCATCAAAACGTCTTTAAAAGAACAACCGTGTACTTATATTATACAATATTAGTAATTAACAAAGGCATAGATCGTTATTTGTAAGGGCAATTTGAATGACAAGGCCAATTCCCGTAACCGTTTCGTGAACGTTTCGGAGTATATACTTACTCCAACAGACACGTGAAGATCCGGAACCGATGCTTGCCGTAATAGGCGACTATGCTTGCCGTAATAGGCGAGTATGCTTGCCGTAATAGGCGAGTATGCTTGCCGTAATAGGCGACTATCCTTGCCGTAATAAGCGACTATGTTTGCCGTAATAGGCGACTAACGGGATGTGATGCATGTCATCGTATCCCTATTGCTTAGATCGATGCTCATGGCGTCAATCACTGGATTGTCTAGTCCAGACTCGATAATTCAGAAACCGCCGTCATATAGGTGGAATATTGCTAAGTGCTAATTTCAAACAATAAACAAACTCCTACAAGCATAAATGAGTAAGTATGTACTCCGAAACGTTCGTTGTGTTCCTCATTATAAAGAGGTTGACATCCATAATGTTTCTTCTGTATGTGTATCACTTCTAAATGCCATTCAAAGACTTAATATCAGCATAGCTATAAAGTGTCGAACTAACCCGACTTAGGCATAAACTGCAAACAGTATTGCTATACAGTAATGTATACGCTAGTTATAAACAATACCGTTCAGGTGTAGAAATAGAAATATCATTTTATTTACAAGTAGAAACATATTGCATATAACAACAGATACGCCTTACAATCTCAGGCTATCATGACGCAAAAATAAAACAATCAGAACCAACTTACATTGGTGTTTAGTCTGTCTTCGGATATAAGTAGTTAATACCTACATGAGCAATATATGCATCAAACAACATTATCTATATACATTGATTATGTAAATGAGAAATGTGTTGAAACCATGCTCCTGCAGTGTATCATCACTGTACAATTACTTATGTAATAGCTTCCTTATCCAATGGGAGGCACGGGTGGCCCAGTCATCTTAGGCGCCGCGATTTGCTGTGTTGCGTCCCTCGGGCACGCCAGAAACCTATGATTGTGGGTTCGAATCCCGGTTCGCCCCGATTATGTTTCTAGGTTTGTCAGCACCACTCACTCACTCCTTATCCAACGATTCAATAATGTGGTGGATTCTGTGTTAACTGGATTCGATGACAGCAAAACACACTTAAAACATGATTCATCCCGGAAAACCCCTCTGCAGTGTATGAACAAACACCATAGAGAGAAATATGAAATATGATATAGATGTTACTTTAAAACCACATGAACAACCGTATATAGGTAGTATGTGATACATACTGAACTCATTAAATGCAAGTTCAGTCATCACTGTTGAGACAGTGGAAAATCTATTTTGAAACAGTTTGCCTGAAGCAAGTCGCATTAATATATATCTACCCGAAGGGCAAATAAGAGAAAAAGGAAATGTTTACCTAAGGCACGTGTATCTAACTGAACAATTACAGGCAATAGTACTCGTTTTAACTGAACTATCTGTCAACAGTCTTTTGTCTTTTATTTGTTGTTTAACGCCGCACTCAGCAATATTCCAGCTATATGATGGTGGTCTCTAAATAATCGAGTCTGGACCAGAGAGTCCAGGGATTGACATCATGAGCATCGATCCCCGCAATTTGGATGCGTTGCATCAACCAAGTCAGCGAGCCTGACCACCCGATCCCGTTAGTCGCCTTTTACGGCAAGCATTTCCTGGCTGAAGACCAAATATTCATGTCAAACTTACTGGAATACTACATGGAACAGAGTAAACATTTTGCTTAAAAGTGAGCAAGCTGGTTTTCTTTGACTTCTTCTGTAGGGCATTCCACTCCCGGAACAGGCCAGTCGGTGATTGACAGCTAGTGATTATTGTTACCAGATGGTTCAAGCTGGGCTAGCAGAGGACACACTATTCTCTATGCATTAACAAAAAACAATTACAGGCATTAATAAGCACAGGGACTATACAGTGTGTTATAAATTTATCAATTCTCTAGCAACTGTAAAATAATAATAAAAAGACAAATAAAACTGAATTTTAATTTGTGCATGTTGTAATGTCCTGGAGAATTAAGAATTGTATTAACAATGTCAATATTATATATACCTCCGTCTATGATTAATATGAAACAATAATAATCAATTTTTATTTGTAATTATCAGAAGGTATAAGAATGACAATAGTATCGAAGTCACAATTATATGACTAATCCTAAACTGAAGCAGTCCTCTACATTACACGTTCAATTACGGAACCTGTGAACATGTCAACTTTCTAACATACATTCGTGGACGTTACATCAACAGTTGAAGTGATATTATCCAAACGAACTTCTAACAGCCAATACTATATTAGGGAATTCTTAGTCTTGGGTGTTTTTTTACAGGGCTAGTCGCATGAATTTCATGACTCATATTAAGCCAGGGATCGACTCTCGCATTAATCTGGTTCGTCATTATTTCATTATATTAATTTCATGATTTACAGTACAGGAATAAAGGAAATTATGAGCATAGACTTGCTAAGTATTTTAGGATATTCTTGCTGGCTCAAAACAAACTTTTGATTATTTTTTATTGTAGCCACAAAATAGGTAGGGTTCATATTGATAGAGTGAGATGACATGAAATAATATGTACTGTTTGCATATCAAAGTTTTCTAATTGTTCTAAAATGTTCAGAGCCAAAGCAGGACCACTGATTCTCAACATGCTCAGTTAACTGTCGGTCTGCTTGGCACTGTACCACTCGACAGAGGGGACCCATCAGTTGCTCATCAGATTGCTCAACATTAATCACATGACTCATTGTGGGGCGCCCACCCACTTTACCTAATAATTGGTAAAAGATAGGCAAAAGTAATTAGATCATGCGGGTTTACTATCCTTGACTGGATTTAGGTAATTATTGATGTGGGTATGGAAGGCCTAACTCTTGAATTCTTAAGGGGTTACCAAAAAGTGAACAAATAACTAGAAGATGGCTTTTATGTTACAAATAGTCCTTTTATACACTTTTACAAACATATACACTATACAATAAATAGATTATTATCAATCATACATTGATCAGGAGAGAATTATAATTGTAACTGAGTATGGTTTTACGTCGCTTTTCTCAATATTCCAGCAATATTGCGGCGGGCGGGGGAGGGAAGAGGTATCTTATGTGGTTAGGAATGTCCGTGTCACTCTCCATTCCTTTTAAATACTGTAGTCGAGGCCCCCCTCTTAATCCCTAAATGTTCAAAACATATGTATAAAAATTATAATGTTGTGCTACAGCAGGCTATATCTAACAAAGTTAATAATTTATATATTTAAGTTAATTAAGTAAACATATATATATCCTTGTTCAGGTCATATGATCCCCGTCAACATGTATTTACAACGTGCAAGCGATGGATAAAATACTAGTTCAGAGCCCGACGATATTATGAAGACCCGGGTACCATGCATTGTAAATATCAATGGAAGTTGGCGAATGTGCAACCGCGGCAGAGAACGTATTCGACACGCATCACTCAAGTGAGTGACTGAGTTAGTTGGTTTTAACGCCGCTTTTAACAGTATTCCAGTTATATCACGGCGTGTCAGCTTAATGTGGGAGGAAAGCCCAAAGTGATGCAGGTCTCAGACGTTTACCACTTCAGTGAAACCCACGAGCATGGGTATGGTGTTGACAAACCTAGAAACATAATCGGGGTGAACCCGGATTCGTAAGAGGCGACTAAAGGGATCAGGTGGTCAGGCTCGCTGACGTTTACCACTTCGGTGAAACCCACGAGCACTGCATCACGCAAGGGTGGCTTATTATGGAAACATACAGGCAACAAAGATTTCTGGTTTATTTTTCAAATATTTTCCACAAATGACAATGTTTTCAATGTGTTTTGAGTAGGGGATGATTATGAGTCAGAGTGTCAGGTACATATTGGGCTTGTAACGTTGTGAATGTCATGTTGTCATGACTAACAAGATGTAGATCTTTATACCTTGTAGAAGGGAGGTATGTTTAGTTTGCCAGTGTAAAGCAATATTTGTTTCTTTTATTTACCTGTCAGTTACTCTTTAGTAGTATTGTGTAAATAAACTTAATATGCCACTGAAAATTGTTCTTTGTTAATATCTTTCACCTCTACTGGATATAATATGTACTTGTTTGGGGGAAATTGTATTTACAAGCTGTCAACAGGTATCCCCAAATGATCAAAGTATAAACCTTTGTTAAGGTGTAGTAAAACTTACACCAATCTAGGTAAATATTGCATTCATTAAATTATGATCAGAATATCACTTATTAAAATTTTAAAATTCACAACATAAACATATACCTTTGAATGATGGAAAGTTATCTATAATAACTCATAAGTAAATTGTACTAATCTACGATAGGCCATCGTGAAATTAGCAAATATTTACTGTCAACTAAAATGTTAGCGTCGAGTGGACAGGGAAATTCAATGAGTAAGCTAGTATTCTTCACCAACTACTTCCGTCATTGTGTTCATAGGTTCTCCGTTACTGCCCACTCCTGCAGACACAGTGTTTTGTTCATATCCGTGAACACTCGTTGCACCCTGATTCATGACTTCACTGTAGATAGCTATAGGTGGTGGACAGAGTGAAGCGTCCACGACTACAGGTCCAACGTCCGCATAGCTGGCGGGGAAGGGGAACTGTGGAGCTGTTTCTCGTGGACATGGTCTCTTGCATGGCTTTGTGATGACAACAGTGAGGCCGATGGAGAAGATTACGATGGAAAGGAGGATGCCCCCAATCATAAGACCTTCTTTTGTCCTGTTTGATGAGGGGGGATCTGCATTAAAAACCATTATCCATCATGAATACGAAACAATGAACTGCAGCGTGTACGTACATGGCGTCGTGAAGGTAACAATTACTGAGGTATTTTTCTGCAATGTCAGTTCCATAATTATACTCGACGTACTGAAACTCGCACGACACTTTGTGCTTCACGGAGTATTTCCTTTGGTATTGACATTAGTTTAATTTACCAATCCGTTCGTTTGGTTTGATTGATCATTCGTATCAACATTTATTTTGATTCACCAACCCCTTTGGACCCGTGAAGATTCCAGGGTATAAATAGGTCTTCAGCAACCCAAGCTTGCCGTAAAAGGTGACTATGCGTGTAGTAAAAGGCGACTAAGGGTATCGGGTGGTCAGGCTCGCTGACTTGGTTGATGCATGTCATCGACCCCAATTACGTGGATCGATGCTCATGATGTTAATCACTGGATTGTCTGGTCCAGACTCGATTATTTACAGACCGCCGTCATATAGCTGGAATATTGCTGAGTGCGGCGTTAAACAACAAACCAACCAACCAACAACCAACCACTTTGTGTTGGAATTAGGTTAATTTACTAATCTTATTGCATTGCATTCAGTTCGTTTTAACAACACATTTAGTTTGATTTCAAATCTAAATGGAAGTGATATACGAACCCCAGGGAAAACATCAAGCGACTTTGTTAGTTTAATGATTGTTTGTTTTGTTTGTTTGTTGTTTAACGCCGCACTCAGCTATATCCCAGCGGCGGCGGGATATATTTTGACGGCGGTCAAAATTTCAGATTGTTTACTTGCGTGTGACCTTAAAGCTTGACATGACTGATGAATGTTTGAAAAAAAACCCCATTCATTGGGACTGTGAAACAAATACACCTAAAGTGACATCCCTTAGATATCGAAGCACAGCGTGGTTTCCAAGAGAAAGTGAGACAGCGGTCCAATTCTGACATAGCGTAATATCATCCCCATTCACATGTATTTGTGATAGCGTTTATGCCTCATGTATTACTATATGTACACGAAACATACGGTTTTTTAATATAAACTGACTCCTACACGTGCTTTGTTGTTTGAGAGACTGTGTCCGTTAGACCGGTAATTCAGTGGCATCTTAAAGTCTAAAGTGACGCGGGGCGGTCGGGTAGCCTAGTGGTTAAAGCGTTCGCCTGTCACGCCGAAGACTCGGGTTCGATTCCCGACATGGGTACAATGTGTGAAGCCTATTTGTGGTGTCCCCCGCCGTGATGTTGCTGGAATATTGCTAAAAGCGGCGTAAAACCTCACTCACTCACTCACTCACTCACTCTTAAGTGACGCATCATTAGAATGGTGCTAACAAAGTAATCATAATCATTGGATGCGAACCGACAATCAGCGGATCCTGGTGTAGAAGAATAAATCAGTGTAGAAGAATAGAACACGTTACAACAGTTCGCGTCTTCGGTGGCATGCTGCTTGTGTTTTCGATATACCTACTTGGTGGATACTTTGGGTCGTTAAACATTGAGACATAGAAGGTGAATCCAGATCCAACATTGATACTGTCTGTGACGAACTCCACATAGAGAGACTGGCCCGTACTATTCAGGATTTTCTTTTCTTGACTGCACGTCTCGAACAGAAGTACACTAGTATTGGAACCTGCAATCGAAATAATCTTACTGGTACAAGGAAAGAATATAAAACGTCAACATAGCTATAGAGAATAACCAGTCTCGATTATCCGCCGAAACAGACTCCATTGGGCGTAAAAGGCAAAATGGCAGTGAAACGAATATGAACGGATCACTGAAAGCCATCTATAACACCGGGTGTTCATGAAAGGTTGGTTGGTTTGTTGTTTAACGCCGCACTCAGCAATTTTCCAGCTATATGACGGCGGTCTGTAAATAATCGAGTCTGGACCAGACAATCCAGTGACGGGACTCAACCCCCAAAATTCTAGAATCTATACTTTACTAAGAAAGTGTTATCCCAAATATAACATTTGTTACATTTGACCACTTTCTCAATGGCACAATGTTACCGTGACCAGACATTGGGCTGACGCGCCCTCATAAAGCTGAAGTACTGAAACCGTTAAACCCAACACCCGCATAATAATATTATTAGTTATGGTGTCTTTATTTGCCGTGTACGGGGTCAAAGGGAGACTACTCTTCAAACCTCAGAGGCCAAACCTTGTTGATAATTTTAACTTTATAATCTTTATCAAAGTCACGAACGTGATTAAAAAACCCATTAACGTCCTTGCACATCAAAATCAATTATATTAAAACTCAAAACAGTGTCGAATAACGAATCTCCGTACCAGAATTTTCATGTGAAATATGTGAGGTGGGTGTTGGAAAATCCAAAATGGCTGTGACTGACCGGATACGGTCTCATATTAGGTCAGTAACAACCATCTTTGATTTTTACTGACGGTATACGGGCTCATACAGGGTCAGTAGTTCTGCTCTCCGATTGGTCAATCTCACTTTGAGGCATACTAAAAAACGAAATGCAACACTGTACTTTGGCAGCATGAACCTATCTGTACAGTGAGTGAGTGAGTACGGTTTTACGCCGTTTTTAGCAATATTCCAGCAATATCACGGCGGGGGACACCAGAAATGGGCTTCACACATTTTACCCATGTCGGGAATCGAACCCGAAGTCTTCGGCGTGACGAGCAAACGCTTCAACCACTAGGCTACCCGACCGCCCCTGTACAGCATAATGTCGTTGTGACACACACTAAATCAACAAGTATAATATCAACGCACTTAATATTTTTTTTATGAAAACATGAGCAGAAAGATTTCTTCTCACCGTTTGTACAATGTATTTAGATGTAGTTTGAGTGTGAACATTACACATATCTGTATTTAGAAGATGTCATTGGGGTAAAAAAAATATTGTTTGTTTGTTGTTTAGCAGACACCTCAGCAATAGTCCAGCTAAACGACAGCGTGCTGTAAATAATCAAGTGTAAACCAGATAATATAATCCAGTTATTGACACCATGAGCAACAGGGATGCGATGACATGCATAAACGAAGTCAGCAATCCCATGTTTTGGCCTCCAGTGATTAATATCATGAGCATCGAACCACGCAATTGGGATCGATGACATGCATCAACCAAGTCAGCGAGACTGACCACCTGATCCCGTTAGTCGCCTCTTACAAGGTGAGGTGAGGTGAGGTGAAATGGGGTTTAACGTCGCGTCCAAGATTATTGCACTTATATAGCGACGTGCATGCACGTGTGCGTGAGCCTGACCACCCGATCCCGTTATTCGCCACTTACGACCAGCATAGTCGCCTTTTACGGCAAGCATGGGTTGCTGAAGACCTTTTCTACCCCGGATCTTCACGCCTCATAAAATATTGAGAGGACTGGGAATTATGTTTGATACATAATTTTGTTCAAGTCAGCGCTGCAATCAATACCATTTGTTATCTGAAAGAATGAGCCAAGAAATTCTTTCTGACCGGAAATATTTAGTTTACACAAGAACATCCAGCATGGCGACTTGTTTTGTTTTTTTTGTATCCAAAAACACTTTGTCCGTAAACATTCTGATCCAGCACATCCGGGAACAGTTCATCAAGTACACAAAATCCCACCCAAGCCGACACCCACAACACTGCCCCCACTAACACACAAACACGCACGCGCGTAAACTATTAAATGGTCGCTCCTTTAGGTCCCTTCGTAGCAGCAGGCTTAACACAACTGCAGTTCATACCATCATAGACCCGTAATGCATCCGTACAGGTTGAACCGTTTGTATTTGTGTCAGCAGTGATGAGACCAAATCTAATTCTGTGATCGTCATCTCTTGTCCTGAAAAGCCACCTACAGTGAAGATCACTGAAAGAAAAAGGGCGTTTTGCAATGTTAGAAAAAAACAGAGAATACAATTAATACACCTCTTTCATGACCATCACTCACTCTGATTTCAATCCCATGCACAGTCTATATAATACCCTTTCACATTTAAAAACCTCTTGTAGTGACCAGAAGATGTAGTACACAAACACTTGAGTTCCCGAATCAACCAAATTCGCCCGCTGTACAAAAGAAGTGTGGCTGTTGCAGTCACATGGTGTACATGGTGTACATGGTGACATGAAAACCCAAAGTCTCCCTTACCATTTTCGTGAAGACGACAGGCACTAATGCAGCACTCAGAAGCCAAGGAACATAGAAGCCAAGGAACATAATCAGGAGCAATTCAAGGCATTTGTAAGCCCACTCCAGCGGTTGCTGGTGCTAAAGGGGCCGTCACACCATGACGTTCTGGTCAACGGTCTCTGAACATTTCAATCGTTCAATTTTTGAGCGTTCTAGAATGAGGATGACACATCTGGCGTGTGATTAACGTGTGCCTAACGCATGACTAGCGTGTGTCTAACGCACGAGAAGCGTGTAACAGCGACCAAGTAAGATACCCCTGAAAACCATTAGCGTGTGCTAACGTGCCACTGGCGCGCGACGAACGATTTGTCAACGTTAGACGAGCGTGTTGAGCGTGTGACTAACGTGTGAATAACGACAGAATAGCGTCTTGCTGGCGTGTTTGACTTTAGTCACACGCTGCGTGCGCCAGGGGACCGTTCCGCGGTCGTTGACAGGTCGCCAGTGAGTCGTTCAATGCAAAGCAAACGATTAGTAACAACCAAGTAACGCTAGAGTAACGACTGACTAACGATAGCCGAACGCGTGCAACGCTCGGCGAACGTTAGTAAAACGTTCCACGAACGTTCTTAAACGTTCTTCAGCGTTTAAAATTAAACGTTGAAGAACGCTGGTCTCAGTGAGAACTTTTGTGCATGTTCAAAACTTTTTTTCCGGACCAGCGTTCTCCGCCGATTCCCGGCGATCACCGACGTTCACTAGCGTTCACACAACGCTCTTCTGGCGCTATCCCAGCGACCATGGGCGACTACCAACGTTTCCTCAAACCTCATAGAACGCTGACCAGAACGTCATGGTGTGACGGCCCCATAATCAACACATGCTTTTCACAATTTAGATTCCCGTGACTGATCTGTGTGACCATATTCCGAGGGTGTGGATCGTTGCTCTTGCTTTCAAACATTGGTCAATCTGATCTGATTGTTGATACGCATAGGCCCCGATTGTCTTAACATGACTACTCATGGCGTAACACAGCATTCACTTACTCAGGGAAAACAGGGAACAACACTCACTCGAAATAGCCAGTTGGATATCCAGCAGTTTCTATGGTGCGGTTGTATGTCACCGTTCGTTGTCCGAGGTAGCCTGCACATCCATATGCTTCACCTGGAACACAATGTTAACGTTTTCATTTATATTCAAAAACGAAAGTAACTGAGATCATGATCCAGTCTTATTGATCACAACTTTAGTGATGTAACACACGAGTTCGGGTATGATCCTGACAAACCAAACAACATTATCCGAGCGAATATTGGATTCGAACCACAGTCATAGGTTTCTCACATACCTAAGGAACGGAACACTGCACAGCGAATATCAACGTCCATCCCTCCCTTAATAGTCATGACGGTGTAGCAGTGTTGTCATAACTTACCTGTACCAAGTTTTTCGTAGGTGAGTTTAAATCCCGTTCCGCTGCTTGTCGTCGTTACAAAGTTGATAGACATGGAGTTTCCTGTTGTGATGTAGTTGTGTGTCTTGTTTCCACAAATCTCCCACGTTCTTTTTAAACCCGTAGAATCCCCTAAATCAGAGAGAGAAGTCTGATTCCTTATCATAGCTTACATCGGCGTTACTCCATGATTGTCATGTTTTGAGATACACATAAAAACAATTTATATGAAAAATGACCCCTGTAACTATCATTGTCATTAGGCGCAGCGCAATGTCAGCACAGACCGCCATACATGCATGTACACCTGGAAAATCGTTAGACACCAATTCTTCTATGTTTTCACACATACCGAACTTCCACGGATCTTTATTAACAAACCTACACCACGTGATAATGACATTACACTAAACAATTTGGCTGTAGTCCTAATTTCTATCAACCATAAAAACTCCAAGCCGGTATCGTGTCTATAAAATGCTTTCCACATATAGGTCACGTGAGACCAACATTTCCAATAAAGGATATTATTACATGGCAAGAGCTTGATAACCCTCTCGATTTACAACAGGTACTCGGATTCAGACGAGTGCGGTGCAAAAAGGAGGAGCGAAGTACTTATATTAGGAACACCTTTTTCGTAGCCCACGAATGCGTTGTTCGGCAATGAAAGGCCACTTAAATGCATCAAATACAAGCGACAAAACCCCTTCAAAAATCAGAAAATAATATATCTGTTAACTGTACGATACCGGCTATAACATAAGCATGTGTACATGTTTATGATTCACAATGAAATACGAGGTTCCCTGAAAAGGCGAACGTATCCTAATAATCGTTGGAAGAGTCACAAACACATGCACATTTCCCTAGAACATTTCACTTCAATAAACACATATGGGATGTAAAGTATTCGTTGTCTAGTATGTAAAGTGGAAACAAAAATTCAATAAAACATATCTTACTGTCAGAGAACGTAATGGAATCTCCTGAACATGGTACGTTCATGTCTATAAACCGAAATGCCACGTCTGTGCGAGCAAACGTCCATGTACAATTCAGACCACTGAAACAGAGTTGTTTTAGAAAGGGGTGAAATGGGATTAACGTGGCGCTTGGGATTTATATAGCGTGATGTTGTCATTGATGGAATGCACAAACTGAAAAGAGGAAACAGAAATGGAATGGCACATTCTGTCCCAGCCAGTTGTCATCCAAAGCTTGGCTGCCCTGCATGAAAGGTTTGTAGACATCTAACTGACAAGGCCTCATATAACATAACCATGATATGTCAACATCGTTATTTTAATTATTTGATCAAAGATCTTGGTATAAGTGACATATCAAATAATGGCACGTATAAGGGCAGTATCTTAACTGAGGAAGAAATCTACCAAAACCATGCATCAGAACAATCAACTTTTTAACTTGACTCTAGGACCTGGAGACATGCCAATTCCTGTTTTGAACTGGATTTCAAAGTTCCATAAAAAGCCTACAAAGAGAGATATATTGCTGGGTCAAGTAAATGTACCACGGAATTCCTGTCTCAAAGATTCATCATAATCCTTAATACAATCAACGAAGGACTTTCTTTATATTCACAGAAAGTGAATATTCAACGACAAGCAGAAATAATACCTTGTTGAATCTCAAAAACTAAAAGGATTTGCTTGACATTTTACAAGCTCCGAAAGAGAACCAGGTTAAATTCTGTCAAAACATTTGATTTCGAAACTTTGTTCAACACTATCCCACATGAAAATATTAAGATAAAGCTTAATACCTTGATCCATGGGCCTTTTGTTATCCTCAGAGGTTCTGGTCAATTTATCCAAAACAAAAGTAGGTGCCATTTGAAGTTAACTGCATTTTTGAAAAAAAAATTAAAAAATTATTTTTATTTTTTATTATTATTTATTTTTTATTTATTTTTATTTATTTATTTTTTTTTTTTTGGGGGGGGGGAGCAAGAAGTAGGCATTTACACCAACTGTACTTCCTTCTTATCTGTTCCTCAATGTATATGAATAGGAATTTCTGCTTGGATTGGCAAAGTCAAAACAAGGTAATTGAGCCAAGACGTTTGACCTAAGCTCATCTGTTTTATATTTAGATCTAGGCATAAAGATTCAGTGTGACAAAATACTCTCCACAAAACTTATGACAAGAGAGATGACTTAAACTTTCCAATAGTCAACTTTCCCTTTATGACGAGCAATATTCCTGCAGCTTTAGCCCTTGGTATCGACATTTCACAACTTCTTAGGTATATGCTCATTCTACCAAGATTTCAAAGAGCGTCTTGATCAGAAGCTGATGATCAATTCACAACATTCAAGCCCGCAGTGAAGCTTTAGCAACGTTTAAGGTAGACATATGTAGGTATATATTCTCAAAGTCAAAACAAGGTAATTGAGCCAAGACGTTTGACCTAAGCTCATCTGTTTTATATTTAGATCTAGGCATAAAGATTCAGTGTGACAAAATACTCTCCACAAAACTTATGACAAGAGAGATGACTTAAACTTTCCAATAGTCAACTTTCCCTTTATGACGAGCAATATTCCTGCAGCTTTAGCCCTTGGTATCGACATTTCACAACTTCTTAGGTATATGCTCATTCTACCAAGATTTCAAAGAGCGTCTTGATCAGAAGCTGATGATCAATTCACAACATTCAAGCCCGCAGTGAAGCTTTAGCAACGTTTAAGGTAGACATATGGGGGACACATTTAACGCCTCAGTGACAAGAACTGACAATATTTGTTTGTGAAAGGAGAAGTCAAACAATGTCATGTTTTTAATCAAACTTCCAGCACGTCAAGATAATGTTATATTTTTAAAAACCTGATGACAACTGATGTTTTCCAGTCTGGAAAGATTATTTAAATAAATGTTCGCAGTAACTCACCTTGGGTAGTTGCCGGGATACCCTGGAGAATTCAACTCAAGGCGTTTGCGAAAAACCGCATCTAGGGCATGTCCACATGATTCTGAAATGTATCAGCAAGACTTGGCAACAACACAAAGAGAGCAATACAGACTGAGCAAGTCCGAGTAACGCCATTCCGAGTAACGCCACTCCATCATACCCGTGAAGATTCTGGGGTAGAATAGGTCTTCAGCAACCCATGCTTGCCGTAAAAGGCGACTAACGGGATCGGGTGGTCAGGCTCGCTGACTTGGTTGATGCATGTCATCGATCCCAATTGCGTGGATCGATGCTCATGATATTAATCACTGGATTGTCTGGTCCAGGCTCGATTATTTACAGACCGCAGTCATAAAGCTGGAATATTGCTGAGTGCGGCGTTAAACAACAAACCAAACCAAACCAAACCAAAGCCACTCAATCACAATTCCATCAAATCATGTCAACTTGATACACGAGGTAAGAGAGCATAGACGTTTTCAACTGTAGGCAACCAACTTTATATGGATGGTTTGCCATCACTTCACGCAGATATGTGTCGTGGGCGAGTAAGCAGTCTTTCTTCAATGAGAATGTTTAATTACAATACAGTCGTCAGAAACACTACATACACGTAGACATACCTTCGACATAGCTTGCCTTGAAACCCGACCTGTGTTTGTTTTCAATTATTGACGTGAACACAATCAACATAAAGCGTGATTCGGTCCTGTAGGTAGTATCAGTCACCCATAACCCGTAACCGCATCGATATCCAATTTTACGCGCTTGTTCATTGGTTCCTGAAAACAAATAATAATATTCTGCTGAACAAAACCATATTTTGATAGAGTAGTGTATGTCTTTGACGATAAAGTTTCCCAAACCCCCGCCAATACTTTATAATAACAAGTGGTTATATATTTATTGTGAGATGCTTTTGCTACTTTTCTGATGCATTTGCCTATTTTAATGGTGAAGGAATAAAAGGGGTATGTGTTTGGAAGACTTTGTTTACGGTGTTAGGTTTACAATAGTACTCAAGTTGATCAAAACAACTCTTTTTACCTAGTGAAAGGAAACTTACCATCATACATTCGGACAATCTCCCCGACGCAGTTTGCAACGAGACTAATAGCTGTGAAGGTGAGCTTCACCACCTTCATAGGATCTGTGGTGCGAATCAGCCACTGGCACTTCTGATGCCTTGTAACACACAACCCAAATGAAGTAAGAAAACGTGCAACATTTGTCCAACAACTTCTGGTCTATTGCATTCATCGCCTCTTGCAAGTAGATTTTTAGTTACTCCAACATGATAACGGTGCAGGAATCTACATCTTAGCATCGCTAAATGCAATAGACCTGGAGTTGGCAGCTAAAAAGTTGGATATTTTATTCTTTACTCCCCAACTTCTAGAATGCCAATCCAACAGTAAACACAATGATGCATTGGAATCAACGTTTTTCAGATTTTAATCTTTAGCCAACCTGGTGATAAAGAAATAAGTATTGCACTTTGTTTTGTATCTTAAAAATACCTTACCCCTGGTATGGCCCGGGATAATTCGGAGTCGTCAAATATTGAACACTTTCCGTTGCCATGAGATTACCTCCACAAGTAGGCGCTGCAACAACATATGTGGCTTGTAAGATATGGAACCATGCCTTCCTTGACATGTAATACTCTAGTTAAGCAATGAGAGAGAGAGAGAGAGAGAGAGAGAGAGAGAGAGAGAGAGAGAGAGAGAGAGAGAGAGAGAGTACATATACTTGAAAACTTTTATTTGACCATTATTATTTACTTGGCTGATAGCAGTCGCCAAAAAAATGCAAACTTCAGGTCCAAAGGACAAGTGAACTATGATTCTTGTATCAAATACATCAATATCGAATAACCATTTCTTGTTTGTTTATTTTTAGCTACCATCAAGCATGAGTGTATACTTTCTTTTGACCGGCAGTTTATTTTACTTTCTTATACGCCGCTTTTAGCAATATCACGACGGGGGATAAGAAATGCGCCTCACACATTTTACCCATATGGGAAATCGAACCGGGCCTTCGGCGTGACGAGCGTACGCTTTAACCACCAGGCTGAGGGCAGTGTGATGAAGGAAAGGCGAAAACCAGTTACGGTCTGAGCTGCAACCGTTACTCACTATCGAGGATGCTGTATTGAAGAGAGAACCCTTTGTGTGTTTCGGTGCTCGGATAGGCTCTGAATACAACCATCAGTCGAGACGTGAAGACCTCATAGCTTGGTAGCTCGCCTCCACACCAAACCCCAATCTGAGCTTGCACAGACTCTACAAATAAAATTTATCAAAAACATTTATCAGCCACAATTAAATCAAATGTAAGTCAATGTGTACATATATTAAAACAATTACACTCTATAAGCTACAAATTGAAAAATGAATGTCAGCATATTAGATAGATATTGTATTCGGCATTTAAGGCCACATTGTACAGTTCACATTTTCAGTTTCATTTGTTTAGTCACGTGATATACGTGATATATAAAAAAGTATCTGACACAGTATATACTCCTAAAAAAAAGAAACGCAAAACGGATATTTTTGGCCATAAAAGCAAACTTAGCGGACCAAGAGGTGCAAAGTCAAAAGGTTTAATGTGTTATAGTGTCAGTGACAAATGTCCCGGATCAGAATGATCACATGGACATGCAAATCATTGGTCGAGAAACACGTATGATTCGGAAACACTCACCCAGTGCATTAACAAAAAGCTCATGGAACTGCACTCAGTGCACGCGCAGCAGCACTATGAACGGTATTTAAAATGCAGGGTTCTGGATTGCCTGGTATCTGCGTCAATCGAACAGTGACAGTATAACAACATGCCAAAGAAACACCGTCATAGGCAGGGGAATCCCGATCAGCTGTAAGCAGGGTTTTCAATGTAGCGCCCTGCACCGTCACAAGGCTATGGGATAGGTTTCAACAGCATGGGTCAACACGTGATCGGCCGGGACGACCAAGAGTAACCACCCCCCCCCCCCCCCCCCCCCCCCCCCAAGATCGCTACATCCGACTGCGCCACCGACGTGAAAGGACGACCACAGCCACCTCAGCCGCCTCCCAAATACCCGGACTGGGCAGAATCTCCTACCAGACCGTACGAAACCGTTTAAGAGCAAGAGGTCTACGAGCAAGACGTCCTGTTCGACGCGTCATATTGAGTCGACAGCATGGTCAACAACGACTGCATTGGTGTTGTCAACACAGAGTATGGCCTCATGATCAACTGCGATGGAGAGATGTATGGTTCAGCGACGAATCAAGATTTCTCCTCCGTCCAGGGGATTGAAGGGCACGGGTCTACAGACAGCAGGGGGAACGTTACGCCGGAAACTGCGTACAGGAAGCGGACAGGTTTGGTAGGGTAAGCGTTATGATGTGAGTGGCTATCTCTCATCATGGCAGAACAGGTTTTGTCCATATCCAGGGCAACCTAACGGCTCAACGATACATCAACGAAATACGCCTACCACACGTCCTCCCAATTGCAGCCAACGGCAACGGTGTATTCCAGCAGGACAACGCTCGACCGCATACATCACGGGTCACAAGAGCCTGCCTACACAACAACGATAATGTTCACCGTTGGCCCCCCAAATCCCAGGATTTGAAACCGATAGAGCACCTGTGGGATGAATTGGATAGACGGCTACGCCGACGTCAACCACAACCCAAGACGTTGCAGCAGTTGGCCTTTGCGTTGCAGGCCGAGTGGGCTACCATTGCCCAGGATGTGATTTGCATACTCGTCCCTTCCATGGAAAGGAGATATCAGGCCGCTATCGATTCCAACGGGAGACATATGCGTTATTGATGGTAGCTGACCTTCACCTTGGACTCTTCCTATGTACCGATATATGAGATGACTACAATCACCAAGTGTTCTCTCCACAACATTTTGACTCAATACCTTGTACGAATCCTCGTATAAAGGTATTTTCCTACATCAAACAAATCTTGCTTTGCGTTTCCTTTTTTGAAGAGTATATGTTTCAACAATATGGCTGATGAACGTATAACAACAGAGTTGTAGGATTTTGTAAGACTGATCATTAATATCTTGTTTTTATGCCTATTGTAAAACATCGGAATATATGTTTCTCTTAGATGTTCATACTTATCACATACTAATAAAACATGAAAATCATCCTAAATCTCACCTAGCTAACAGTTTTTACAGATACCCATTTCCACTTCCCTTTTTTCACATCTATGTCTAAAATTTACATTGAAATTGTGTTATGACACATTTACATAATGCCCTAACAAGCGATTTATCATCTTACATACTTATATACTTCTCTGGTTCTGTAGCAGACTTGATATCATTGTAATGACTGGGGAGACGTGAAGATAATATACTATCATGACAGTCTTGGCTATGCATGCCCTGTCAACATATCGTCGAAATATAACACGTCCGTAGTCGCTGTAAGTATACGCCACGTGCATGTTTGGTTGCTGTAAGTATACGCCGTGCACGTGCATGTTGAACATTTGCCTCGAAATTAATGTGACCCTTGGCTTCGTGTACTTTTAGAATTGACATGCATTGTAGAGCAACCGTTACGCCGAGCTCAATTATTTTCATGATCCTTTTGAAAAGATGTTATTTATAGTTTCAGCGGGATTCCTATCGACACAATGGTATTAAATAACCCGCTATTCTATTCGATGGATGTAAGATGTTTCAAGGACTTTGACATGGAGATTCGCCTATACGCGACATTCACCTAGATATATCCGTATGCTGTCAGTATCGCAGTCCTGGGTATGTTCCATACTTGCATTCAGAACAGTAATATTAACCACCACCCGCTGCTGAGAATGGCCTAACCATCGAAGTTCCCCAAACCTGTAAAAGAGATACAATTGCAATATTGATATTGATGCAATATTATCTAAACTGAACTAAACTATACTCACTCACTCATTCAGTTATACTGCTATTCTAAATTATACTTGACCGATTCCTTTTAGATATAACTTGGCTGTATTGACAACAGTGTTTTGGATTCTATTTCATGTTCTCGTCGCTAAATGACTGGAACAATGCTGACTGATGCGACGTTAAACTTCTACTCACTCACTTCTACTCAAATATGTGTATGCAATGAGAAAGATACGGTACATATATGCACGCATATGGAACGACGCGGTACAAATATACGCATTGAATAGAAAACATGCGGCACAAATATGCGTAATGACAAAGATGTGGTGCAAATATATGTACTTAATGCAAACGATGCGGTACAAATATACGCATTGAATAGAAAACATGCGGCACAAATATGCGTAATGACAAAGATGTGGTGCAAATATATGTACTTAATGCAAAAGATGCAGTACAAATATACGCATTGAATAGAAAACATGCGGCACAAATATGGGTAATGACAAAGATGTGGTGCAAATATATGTGCTTAATGCAAAAGATACGGTACAAGTATGGGCGTGCAATAGGAAACATGTGAAACAATGGGAAAGATAGGGTACCAAATATAGCACAATATGGGAAACAAGAGCTATAAATATATATGTTCACGTAACGCGAAAAAGGACAATGCGTTCGTCCATCAGACTGGCTGGGTTTGTGTGAAACCTGTTTTACTTTAATAGCTTAATTACTTGGCGACTCTTGCATGACATGTTGATATAAATGCTACATTAATAGCACGACATTTGGTCATTTAGCTACCCAACAGAGAGTTTTACCGACACTAAAGTTTACGTACTCAGAATAGATCTTCAGGGGCCCTGGAGACATGATGACTTCCGGTGTTGCCTTTTGTTCCAATGAGATGTTGACAATTGGTCTTTGGGGATCTGAAACACAAATGAAAATTAGAAACCTCGTCTTTGCGTATTCCATTTCACCATTTCAGAAACCCTCAAAATGTTTATCAGCCAGATTTTACAGTATAAGAGACTAGTTGCGGAACTGTCACTACATTTTCAAGTTCAAATAGATTTCTCCAGCAAATATTGGCTTGTGGGATCATCCTATATGAAATCGTCTATGACCCGCGTCATCTGTGCGTCACATCGGGCTTTCTCCCAACATTAAACTGACACGCCTTGATATAACCGAAATAATATTGAAACGAAATCACTCAATTACACATCAAGAATGTTTTAGGAACCAACAAATAGCAATGTGCGTAAGAGCAGCTTGTTGTATAGACTTATTGTTATGAACAGTGTGCAAGTCCCACATGGGTGTGTGTGAAGTCCAATCTTCGCGCCTTCTCGACGTGATACGAATGTAATATTGTTAGAACTGTCTTAATACAGTATTAATAACTTCTCTATCCTGAACCCTGACGTAGAATGCATTAGTTTACCCACTGACAATATTGAGTGTTTCAATACCAGGGATGTGAGGTGAATGGTCTTGTCACGAACATTTCGGCAGGTGATGACAACATGACATATAAATATCTTTACTAATCCCTCCATGCGGTTTCGGGTCAAATAGTTGTCAGTTACTCTTGATTGGAAATGAAATCGACTAATATTTGGATTGGTGTTATATTTGCTCATGCTATCGACCACATTCATTTGCCTGACCCAAATCAGACCAAGTGATAGATGACATAGTGTTGACCCACCCATCTAACTATCATTTTAATACTTTACCGGGTATTGCTGTGTATTCAATCTCGAAGCCTGCAGGCAGGTGTCGTTGCCCGGCGGCGATTATGTAAAGGAACCTCCAGTAGCTGAAGAATGTTTTGCCAGCACCCCCACACCATGTTCCTAACGTGCGTGTGTCAGACGCACTTTCACCTTAACGTGCAAAACATGGGAGAATATTATTACGAGAGTTCATGGTGTACATTGGCTTATCTCTCGGGAAGGGATGGATGTGGGCGGAGATGCTGAGGCGCAGAGAGTTATCTCTGAATCATGTTAGTGAGTGACTATGGTTTTACGCCACGTTCTGCAAAATTCCAGGAATATCAGGGCGGAAGACACCAGAAATGGTCTTTAAACAGTTTACCAATGTGTGTGTGTGTGTGTGTGTGTGTGTGTGTGTGTAGGGGGGTGAGGGTAGTGGTGGGGGTGGAAGGGGGCTTATGCTAGCCCACTGAGATTCCTTGTCGTTTAATTGACATAAATACCCCACTCAGACATATCATACTGACTCTGATCTGACCAGTCCTTGTTTTAGCCCCTTAATGCCGAGCGCCAGGCAGGGGAACAAAAAAATACATGTTTAACGTCTTTCAGTTGGATCGAACCCCGACCTTCCGCTTTCAGGGAAGACGCTCTACCGCAAGACAACTAAGGCAGTCTCGGCCTGACGAGCGAACGCTTGTACCACAAGGCTACCCGACCGCCCCTCTATCATGTGTGTCTATTCCACCTCTGTTGAACGCTTGTTTGGTTGGGAATGTCATGCAATTCAAATTTATTTTTCGTTTAAATAAGGGTGTGGGAAGCTTAGTGGTTAAAGCTTTCGCTCGTCATTGCCCTGCCTCGAGCCATCACCCGGTATTGATACAAGCGGTGTTAAACCATACTCACTCACTTTAGTAACATGATCGGACTCGGGTAGAGTTTGGTATTGCGTGTGGAGGGTCCTGCGGCTGGTAGTATAATGCGTTAGTCTGTTTGGAATTCCGAGGATACTGTCTTAATGATCAACGGGGGAACGGGTGGCCCAGTCGTCTAAGGGGCCGGGTTTCGCTGAGCAGAGTTGCGTCTCTTGGGCACGCCAGAAACCTGTGATTGTGGGTTCGAATCTCGGTTCGCCCCGATTATATTTCTAGGTTTGTCGGCACCATACCCGTGCTCGTGGGTTTCACTGAAGTGGTAAACGTCGGAGACCTGCATCACTTCGGACTTTCCTCCCACATTAAGCTGATAAGCCGCACTCAACTCACTCACACTCACTTAATGTTAACTTAACGTATTGTCTGTGGACATAATTCTAATACCTACCATCGTATATGGTGACTTTGGTAGTGCAGCTGATTGTTGAAACAGTTGCCGATTTCACAGTGATGCGGATCCGCTTTCTGTCCGATGCACTTATCAGCCATAAACACCTCTGAATCCTGGTGAATCATAGCGTGGGATGTATCATTACGAAACGAGATAATCTGCCATTTCTAATCACTGGATGACATATCCCTCCTATTGTTTCAAAAGATAAGTCACATGTAGTCAAATGCGCCAAATCAATCCTTTGGATCGTGCTCAAAGCTTAGTCAATGGATCAGGCTGCACTTAAATTTGAAAATTCCTTTTTAACTCCCTGGGCAGTATACAACCAAACTTACGGCCAGAGCGCTGTTCACCATATGCCACCATCGAATTTACACTTTAAGTCTATATAACGATCAATTGCTATGTCACCAATATATGTGAAATTCAAGGTTTATTTCTGTCAAACATCTGCATGCTTACGTGTCTGGTGTTCCTCCTAGTGGGTACTGGGGGGACCTGATGTACCGGGGACGCTGATATGCAGACATCCCTCCGCCACATAGATACGCTGAAACATAATACAATATCCGTCTTCGGCGTCTTATACAATCTTTGTACTATTGATCATATAACATCCTCCGCCGTCGGCAAAATAACGGGGTGTCGGTGGCCCTACACCCAAGGTCGCCGCAGTTCGATGTCAGAGGTACGTACATTATCCGTGTATGTAAGCTCTACAACCACGCTCGTTTGATTTACAACAGTACTAGGTAATGTACAAAATTGTCTATAACCTGGGTCCGGGGTGGTCCAGTCGCCTAACGCGCCGCAATTCCATGTGCAGAGTTGCCTCCCTTAGGCGTGCCAGAAACCTATGATGGTGGGATCGAATGGTTTATTCACCCTGATTACGGTTCAAGGTTTGTCAGCACCATACCGATGTTCCTTGATTTCACCAAAGTTTTACCGGCATCACTTCGGATTTACGTCCCATCACAACGGCAAATCAAACCAAAAAACACGCTCACTCACTAAATCACTCACTCACCCAATCACTCACCCACTCTTTCACTCACTCACTCACAACCTGGGCCACTTTAGGCTTACCTACCACATAACGCCCACAATCTATAGGTAACACGAAACGATACCAAACAGCACCAGGTCGGCCAAAACGCACCTTGACTTGGTGAAAACGGTACCGTAGTTTCAATTTATATAATATTATGGTTATTCTATTTTGAATGAATACAAAATATACAATAGGTATGTATGTCTCATCTAGAGTCATAGTCTAGTGTGTATGTATTTACAAAATCTAAAACATCCATTAATTCTTTACCCTGGTTTTAACTATAACCGATGTCCTAAAATGTGCAAGGAACGGTATGCTCACAAGTTCTGGGGTGGTGGGGTAGCCTAGTGGTTAAAGCGTTAGCTCGTCACGCCGAACGCCCGGGTTCGATTCCCCACATGGGTACACTGTGTGAATCCCATTTCTATGTCCACCCAACGCCGTGATATTGCTGGAATATTGCTAAAAGAGGCGTTAAACCATACTCACTCTTCTCAAATTCTGTAGGTAGGTCTTTTCAAAGAAAAGATGAGACATAGAGTTAACGTACCACTCTGTATGTGGTAAGTGACGTTGATTCCCCCGAGACCTGCAGCAACCCTTGATGATCTGAACACGATGGTCGCAATGTTGTGTGAAGCGTAGAACCAGTCTGGGGTCTGTTTGCCACAGTAGGAACCCACATACAGGCCGGCCTCTGAGACAAAGAAACGGTCCGACATCGAGATATCCATAGCATGCAGGTCGTTACTTAACACAAATTAACAACCAATCAAAACATTTCGTTTCAAACAACAGAACATTCGTCACTACATCTTTCCTCAACCTATAATTGAGCACCATTCCACATAGCCTAGAATGACGCGTGTTGGTCACAAATGATAACGGAGACGATAGAATAGGGCTTTCAGCCTACCAAACATGAGCCGTGAGAAGTCTTTCATCTTTTGTTTGCTCTTCTGATGTGTCAGTTTTTATGTTTCAAACGTTTTAGCAGCGTACCGCGACATGGGTCCTATCATTAATACCTGAACCTTATATACATTATTAAAGAAGAACACTTTCATTTTAAGCATTCATTCGTTCACCTGTCAATTCCCTAATGCATGCATATATTATTTTAATCTGTCAATCTTTCAACAGCTTACCTCCTGAAGTAACATTAACGGCACTGGTTGCACAATCCTCGTCACTTAGGTTATACGTAGATTGTATTCCCAATCTGACAAGGCGCGATGTCCTTGCGGCTGTGATAATGATGCTGTAAATACAAATATACAAATGCTGATATGAGAGAGAGAGAGAGAGAGAGAGAGAGAGAGAGAGAGAGAGAGAGAGAGAGAGAGAGAGAGAGAGAGAGAGAGAGAGAGAGAGAGAGAGAGAGAGAGAGAGAGAGAGAGAGAGAGAGAGAGAGAGAGAGGTGTCACAAATGAGAAACGAAACCCTCATTGACGAAACTCACAGTTTACATAATCTAAATACACTGGTTTACGGTTCCGTCCACAATTCAAACCAGGAATGGGGAAAACCTGAATTCCTGAATTCACAGCTTTTTTTTTATTGAACACCGTGCCTCATAAATACAATTGTGACCCTAGCAAGTAATTAATTCTCACTTACGTCAATGTTCGCAAAAATACTGTTTATAGCTTCACCAGCCCTCCAACCACTGTGCGGTATTGTTTTGCATCTCCACATGTTTGCAAAACTGACACATAATTAAAGGTCCCGAGTTTATTTATATTTTCAATTTTTTAACACTCACCACCGCTATTAATAAATATAAATAAAATATTATATATTGAAAATAATAAAAAAGGAAAATCCTTGATTACAATCTGCCCCAATACCCACCATGACACCGTGTGGAAAGGGCTCCCCTCGCCCATGTTTGCATTTCTCTTACATTAACAATATTCTGTTCGAACAAAATATCATAATAAGGAAAACTGGTTTTGTCATTTTTGTTACAGCTTAACAGTAAGGGTTAGAATTTCTTACGTGTCAGTGGGAGTCACATTCGCGTTCAACATGTATGACTGTTTCGTTATTGTTGTTGCCGTCAGGTGGATAGTATCTCCATGAACTGAAACAAGAGAGTTTTCTTACAATTTCCATCTTAATCTAACTTTTTGTTGCAGTTATGAGCGCATGGAAGTTTTTTCACTCAGTAGTGGACAATATTCAACAACACCAGAGCGATGTCAATGCAAGAGAACAACCAGTCTTGATTTTCCATCGAAACAGATTCCATTTGGCCTAAAGGGCAAAATAACTGCGAAAATTGTATATCTGTGATGACACCAGGTGTTTGGGAAAAGATTAAACATATCCTGCTATAACGGTAACACCCGCAATTCACACAATTTGCATAAAAAGTAAGTTTTTATTGCCTGACACCGCACAGCAGAACTCCTGCCATACGACAAACCAGGCAGTCAATGCAAGTGATCGATGGACCAGAAAATCCAATGAAATGCATTTACTGATTTCATTGAAACAAATAAACATGATATTTAAATTCTGAATGCAAGTGTTGAGATTCTGCTGCTTATAAGTAAAGAGAAACCTTTACGAAATGTATTTGTGAGTGAGTGAGTATGGTTTTACGCCGCTTTTAGCAATATTCCAGCAATATCACGTCGGGGGACACCAGAAATGGGCTTCACACATTTTACCCATGTCGGGAATCGAACCCGGGTCTTCGGCGTGACGAGCGAACGCTGAAATGTATTTGGTGTAAACGGAGTTAAACGCTATTTTAGCAGTATAAAGGGATTATTTTGGGGGTGGGTGGTGGGTGGTGGGTGGTGGGTGGTAACCAAAACAAGTTAAGGGTGTATTGTAGTAATCATATATACTTTCATTGTCAGCTTCCTGAATGAGAGAAAATGAACACATAGATTTATTTTAAGACTCGGTGGGATTCCAACCTGTAGCTCTTCACGCTGCCAACTGTGCCCCGGAAACGGCTGTCGTCACAAGTGTTTAATTTTCTTGTTACCATTAACCCAGTGTGGTAAAGGTGTACAGTCTACATTATTATGTAAATATTGTACAAAGTCCTGGTCGTATATGGGTCATGCAAGTGCCTGTGAATCTGATTTGCACATCTAATTTCAATATGTATTATACATCTTGACTTTATTTGACTTATTGCCTAATGATAAGCACTTTATTTGTTTAAACATGTTTTAACTTGAATATACGGGTTCAGATTATTTTAGATGTTTTAAAATGTCACATTTTTGGACTATGGGGATGTTGTGTTTGGGTGGTGTTTAGGCTGTGAGACGATAACTAATTTCATGTATTTAGACCTAAACGCGTTTAGATAGAGTACAACAAATGTGTTTTCCGTTTAGGATTGAAACACATTCCTAATCATGTTCAGATTTAAACATGCTTTCAACAGTGTTTACATCCTCAACACAGTTGTTTACAGTACATCACTGAACAGTTTCAATCAGGCTATGTGCTCTGAATTCCTACACTGAGGAAATATTTGATGTAAATTATATTAAGTCCGGTATCATGTCAACTAAGCGGCAAAAGAAAGTATAGGTTGGTAATTTGTAATTTTCCTAAAAACAGCGATAACTAGTGGAAAGTGGGTATTGGGAATATGACTGCCCAGGAACAGGTACCAAAAAACACCTCACCCGAACGCGCCACCTTTTACGGCGCTCGTGCGGTGACAAAAAAATGGTGAAACAGGTTTCCCGCCTATTGTATAAACTGCACGTGCATGTTAGCTGTATAAATGCGTTCGTCTGCAGGGTATAACCACACGTGATGAAAGCTCACAAAAGAAATGCCACGACTGTCACAGGAGCAGAGAGAGAGAGCCATCGGTATGGCCGAAATGGGGACAAGACAGGTCCAAATTGCCAGAAGGTTTTGTTGTACACCATTGACAGTAGCCAGGCTGATTCAACGGTAGAGGAAGACAGGGAGGACACAGGACAGGCCTAGAACCGGACGACCCCGAGTGACAGCACCACTGGAAGACGGTCAGATACGGCTCATTCACCTGCTAAACAGATTCGTAACGGCGACAGCGACGGCAGCAACAGCGTTAGGACATCTAATTAGCCAATGTACAGTACTACGACGACTTTGTGCTGCTGGAATCCGAGCGTATCGTCCTTTCCGAGGAATGGTACTGACTGCTCAATATCGACGCCTGAGACTGCGATGGGCGAGGTAGATTCGACGATGGCAAGTGAGAAATTGGCGTTTACTAATGAAAGTCGGTTTAATTTGTTTCGAAATGACGTCAGAGAACGAGTTTATCGACGCAGAGGGGAACGTTTGGCTCCGGCGTGTATTCGAGAGGTCCATCCATTCGGCGGGGGAGGTGTCAGTCATGGTGTGGGGTGGTATTTGTGGAGATCAGAAGACTGATTTGATGATTATACAGGGAAACCTGAACGCTGTACAGTACATAGACCAAGTGTTGCAGCCAGTTGTGCTTCCGTTCTTACAAAACCAACAGCAGGGGACATTGTTTCAACAAGACAATGCCAGGCCCCATACTGCAAGACTGACTCGAAACTTTCTAAACCAGCAGAACGTTGACGTTTTGCCCTGGCTTGCCCACTTACCCGATATGAATCCTATTGAACATCTGTGGGACCATCTTGACAGACAGATTAGAGCCGACAATGAACTTGTAGTGTGTCTGACAATTTTTTTATGACATTTCAAAATGAAATTTCTTACCCCACCATTGTTTACCTTGAGCTTACATAACCTGTGATTGCACAATTTCATTCAAACTGTGGTTGATCAATCATTTGTAACCCCTCCCTAGATTATATTATAATTCACAACAAAACCTCTTCTTGTTATTTTTTTATCGATCATGGAACTCGACCTATACTTTATTTTGCCGCCCAGTTTATTTACTTTGTGGATTTTCCCGCTACCAAAACATTACGTTAAACACAAATAAAACCAACCAACAATATGCACCATGTGATATATCGAATATTTACGTGTAGCATATTCACTCCCACCGTCACACCCGAACGATCAGTGGCAGTGTTGTAATGGATGGCCATGGTCAACTATGTACATATTCTAAAGCCTTGTAATTTTTCCCAGCGTCCAGCGTAACATATAGTGATTTAACACATAACGTGTATGCTTCTCGGCAGAATAAAGACAACATATAAAAACGATATCCGTTGAGGTCATACGAGAATAGAGGTGCAAATATCAAAGGTCAAGTAGGGACTGCTTTCAGTGTTTATAAACAAACATGGCGTCGCCGTTGTCTTTATTCAGCGATCTAGTCAGAATTAACCATCGGGAATCTGGAGAATCTACTGGTATAACTGCTATCATTATCAAAAGAATAGCCAAATATACTGACAATAAGTGTCTAACTGTGACGTAGATAACGCATTGGCAACTTTGGAGATATATATTGCGATACAATTTAGCGAGGGCACCAGCCAAGCGGGATCAGTTGCCATTATCTGTTTGTAGACCTCTGCCGCTTGGAACCTTTTCCACAAAATAAAGAAGTTATATTTCGCCGAAATATGTACGAATTGTTACCTTTTTTCGTTTTGTCCCTGTGTGTACATCTGACTGCACTTCGTAACGTCATGACAGGACAGACCGACTGTCAACATCCTCTGACTGTGGCCATGACGTCTCATTGACTAGGGTTAGAGTAGCTTCCCTTTTAAAGGGCAGTTACTCCAGTGGACAGACCGATGGATTGCCGCGAAGGGCAAGGAGAAACAATTTGTGTGACGCAATTGTTGTTTTGCATATAGCTACGCCACAAGAAACAGGTTTCATTTTGAACTATTTTGGCTACTGTCACTGCCCGACTGACCTCATTTACCTTCTCACGTAATACTTATTCATGCGCACGTTCCAGGATCACACGACCCGTGAAGATTCCGGGGTAGAATAGGTCTTCAGCAACCCATGCTTGCTGTAAAAGGTGACTATGCTTGTTGTAAAAGGCGACTAACGGGATCGGGTGGTCAGGCTCGCTGACTTTGTTGATACATGTCATCAATCCCAATTGCGTGGATCGATGCTCATGATATCAATCACTGGATTGTCTGGTCCAGACTCGATTATTTACAGACCGCCGTCATAAAGCTGGAATATTGCTGAGTGCGGCGTTAAACAACAAACCAACCAACCAACAACCAACCCCTCTGCTTAGGTAATGTTTGTGAGAGATTTGAAGAGATTTTCGAGCACAGAATTAAATAATGACATTATATGATAAAGAGGTTATCACGATGGTGTGTTTGGGGATGGTGAATATCCTGCATTAGGAATAAACACTGTATGTATAGCTCGCCAAGGCCCGCTAAATACAATGATTATTCCTAATACAGGATATGTACTATTCAAAACACACTCGCGTGATAACCTACATGTATACAATGTACTGTTTATTATTGCATAATGCACCGGTTTGGTTTAGAACCAAAGTCAAAATTCCAACACGTCATTATCAGTACACTCGTAGAAATGCTGGGATATGGAATGAACATGATGACATGGTGGGACTGAATCCGTAAAGAGTATAGCTCAAATGAAATATAACGCAAAATCGCCCCCACCCCCTCTCACTGTTCCTACGGGTCTGATTGAGTAAATCGGGAACGTTACCTGTCATGAAGATGGACAGTAATATTGAAATCCAAAGCGCCATATTCGTGCCTGCTTAATCCACCGACAAAACTGTTAAATTGTAAATGGCTGACATGTTTCGCAATACCCTTGTTAGGACTTCTTGTTGTCGTCTACACATAGGCCAACGTTGGGGAGCGACGCGCGCGTCGTCCTGTTGCGTTCTATCTCACGTACAAAACGGCTAAGTATATTTAACTTGACACATAATTTTTTTACACAAAATGTCACCTATTGTCCGATGCCTCTCATGAAGGAAAAACTCAAGGCGGTTACACGTGCACTGAACAAATGCGGTGTGGACGGAATTTTCCCCTCATGAAGAATGGGTCATCGTTAGACTGAATGACGTTTACAAAGTATACGACTTAGTGAGTGAATATTAGTGTACGCCGCAGACATACCGCTGTGGCCAAAACAGTTGTCTGTTCTCTGTGCTGATTGAAAACTGTTGCACTGAATGTTTACGTTATCAGAGTGAAGGGGTTGGTATTCAACATTATTTTGACCATATATATTGACAAATTCTTATTATAAATTGTCTTATTTATGTAATACGGCGAAGTGTATTAATTTTGTTCCTGTGCACAACTATATTGTTCATCCTAAAGATGGTATAAATTAGGCCGTTTTGATAATGCAAGATAACACATTACTCAGTTTTGTAATGCTGAATTGAATCATAACATTTGCTCGTGAAAAGGATACATATTTTTAATGATCTAGAAAGTCACCCGCGCAGTAATTATAAAATGGGTTCAATCCAAATTGTAAAATTCGTTTATACATGAAAATGGAATATATACCTAAATTGTATAATTTTATACATGTGGTTGTTATACCTGAAAGGGTTATATTTGAAGTGCATGTAGGGTAAAGCACATTCACGCCTTCCCTGACATGTATACCCACTTAGGACACGGCTGGAATCCTTGGACAAGTCCGACCAGGGCCCCAGAGAGCTTCCCATTTAGAGCCCATTTCCCAGTCCATATTAACCCCTGGAGGGACCCATGTGTACGATGGCAATGTGGTCCCGTACGTGACGTTTTGGAACCACTAATGAGGTCACATAACAATTCCAAAGGAAGAAGGAATATAAGAGACTCTAAAATGCAACGATGCTCCTTTGAAACATTGCTAGATTGTAGAATTTATAATTCACATTCATATTGCTGCTGCTGTCAAGGGGCGCTCCGGGTGGCCCAGCCGTCATTTAGGGCGCCGCAACTCGCCGTGCAGAGTTGTGTGCCTTTGGCACGCCATAAACCTATGACCCTGGAATCGAAGCCCGGTTTACCCTATTTTATTTCTGGGTTTGTCAGAACCATACCCGTGCCCGTGGGTTTCACCAAAGTAGTAAACGTCTGAGACCAGTGGTGAACTGGAATATAGTTCAAAGCGGTGTTAAACCCAACATTGACACTCACTCATTCTTCCAGACCGATCAAGATCTGTTTGTCGAGGGTTCGATCACCAAATTCGCTTCGGTTACAAGCGTAGGTACCGTTAGTTTATTTTTTAAATCGGAAGAGAGGGGGGTGATCGATATAGTGATCGATATTGTGAGCAACTATCCTCGACGACGAACCTGACCACTCGATCAATATACAGTAAGCTACGGTTATAACGAACTAAAAGGGACCAATTCCTTCATCCAGCTTTTCGCCCTCTCGTAAGCCCCACTCAACCACTCAAAACTTTTATTTGGTGATTGAGCCTGTAGGGGGAAAACGATGACTGCTCAATGCTGACCTTTGTCCAGTTCCATGCTAAAGAGTAGGGTACTAGAGTAGAGTCAAAGTCATTTAACAAAGTCACGGCAAACTGTGAAGTATGACTCCACAAACACAGGTCAATACTACTATGCCGAACATAAGAATGATAAGATGATTCTAGATAAGCCAGATTCAAGACTATCCCGTCATAAAGACATCTAAATAAATTACTAGTGGGTACACTTCTTCACGTTGAAACCATATCACTTTCGTATGTGCCTGCACAACAAATGGAAAGTTCAACTGATTTACGATGTCGAGTGTCACTTGAACAAAGTGAAGTACTCGTATATCTGTATTGATGACATATTTACAGCCGCACTCATGTGCTCTCATAAAAGTCTTCAAATCATGTCGCCTTTGACTTTTGTGATGAGACAAAGTCAAGAAATAAAAAACAGTTCTTTTGAAAAACCTGGATCCGCCTCAGATAATTAATTATCAATAATAAACAAATATCCAATAAACTTTTTTCACATTTAAAAACATAAAACTCTTCACTTTTAATCCTGTAACATTAAACATGAGTAATGGGAACATAAATGCAACGATAACGATAATCATTTTTAAATTCCACGTTTGGTGTATGCTATGCCAGTTACATGCACTCATATGTGTTTTGTGGCAGTGTATATTTTATTTTAACTGTGGATTACTGCCTCAGGATGACAGAATCGCATGTCCAGTCGGTTTCCATTTCTTTTCTCCACGCTGACATCGCCGTATCCAGAGACGATATATCGGTATATGGTCTGTGCTGTATCCAACCTTTCCTCCTCTCTAAATCGCCGTTTTCGCTTGGACATTTAAGGAAATGACACTTACTTCGTTTGATAAACTGGTACCCCAAGTGGGGTATTCGCAGAACCATTAAATCTGGCACTACTACAATAATTACAACACTCATTAACACTTTCATTATAATAGCAACAACGCCATCTACTACACAACAATCTAATAATCAACAACCATGACAACCACAACAATACCACTACAGCTACTACAACAAACACAGCGACTAGTCAATGTCTAGAACTACGACTACTACTGCCACAACTAATAATAGCACTACTGTGTATAGAGAGTCAACTTGTCACTTGTCAACAGCAATACAGGACAGCCAGTATTCATTTTATTGAGAGAGTTTTCTGGTCATATCTAAATATAACTGTAAAGGAAAAAACCGCGCCGACATAAATACTTCGATCTCGCACATAAACACAGACGTACAATAGGTCTATGAATGGTTTGGCGTTGTCACAACAGAACATGTAAACAGTGAGTGTTCGAAACAAATAATAAACTCATTGAAATTCAAAAGTCTAAGTTATATTTTTATCCCCTATTATGATTCTTTTGCATTGTATTACCATGTGTAGAGTTGTAAACATTCAACATTTCAAAGAGTTAAAATTCACAAGAACTTCGATACGCCCTCCTTTGTCAACACAAATATTGGTGGTGTCATCAGCGGACGTGGGACACGACTTTACTGGAAGACAAATCAAAGCAACAGTAAGAGCTATCCTCCCTTCACAACTTGATCAAGGTGGTCTCCTGATCCTTACAGCTGAAGGACAAGTGGCTAAAGTTTCTAAGATAAGACATTTTGTTTAAAGATTAGACTATAAAGGTAGAGTAAGTAAGTGTAAGTGATTGTTCCTATAGTTTATACTATTTTTCTGTGGTTCCTGTCTAGCAAGCTTAAGCGATCCCTGATGATCAATTATTACAATTGTGAGGGGGGTGGAGGGGGTCGAAGCTTTTTTTAACAATGTAGTTTCATATACAAAGCTAATTAATTATCAAAGTACATGTTTCTCACAGGTTTGAAATGTGAATGACAATCATCAGCAAACAAGAACTCTCAAGATTGCATTCATTCTTGAAAACATTACATTCATGCCACTTCTGATCAATGGGATATGAGTAATAATATAGTAGAACTCTCTTATAACTAGCAATATAAACTCATTGCTTTTAGACTCTGCCCACAATTTTGAAATGTAATTTACTATCATCAACCAAAATATATGTAACGTATCCATTAATTGTAGATTTTATTTGAGTAATTATATAGTGAAACATCTCTTAAAAATTAAACACATTCACTCATTGCATTCAGATTCTGCTGACAAGTTTGCAATGTCTATTACTATCAGCAGCCAATGAGAAAATCTTACGATTTCATTAAATGTAGATTTTTTAAAGACATTATCCCACTTCTGGTTGAGGGGACGTGATAAATAATATGGTAGAAAATCTCTTAAAATGAGCTATATTCACCCATTGCATTCAGAGTTTGATCACTGGTTTGAAATGTGATTAACTATTATCTGCCAAGAAGAAATCTACAGAGGGCACACTCTATACACCCTACACATGTAGTGAACAGTGGGCACACTCTATACATCTTACACCTGTAGACTACACAGGGCAAACTCTATACACCCTACACCTGTAGTGAACAGAGGGCACACTCTATACATCTTACACCTGTAGACTACACAGGGCACACTCTATACATCCTACACCTGCAGTCTACAGAGGGCACACTCTATACACCCTACACCTGCAGTCTACAGAGGGCACACTCTATACATCTTACACCTGTAGACTACACAGGGCACACTCTATACACCCTACACCTGCAGTCTACAGAGGACACACTCTATACACCCTACACCTGCAGTCTACAGAGGGCACACTCTATACACCCTACACCTGCAGTCTACAGAGGGCACACTCTATACACCCTACACCTGCAGACTACAGAGGGCACACTCTATACACCCTACACCTGCAGTCTACAGAGGACACACTCTATACACCCTACACCTGTAGTCTACAGAGGACACACTCTATACACCCTACACCTGCAGTCCACAGAGGGCTCACTCTATACACCCTACACCTGTAGTCTACAGAGGACACACTCTATACACCCTACACCTGCAATCTACAGAGGGCACACTCTATACACCCTACACCTGCAGTCTACAGAGGGCACACTCTATACACCCTACACCTGCATACTACAGAGGGCACACTCTATACACCCTACACCTGCAGACTACAGAGGGCACACTCTATACACCCTACACCTGCAGACTACAGAGGGCACACTCTATACACCCTACACCTGCAGACTACAGAGGGCACACTCTATACACCCTACACCTGCAGACTACAGAGGGCACACTCTATACACCCTACACCTGCAGACTACATATGGCACACTCTATACATCCTCCACTGGCAGTCTACAGAGGGCACACTCTATACATCATACACCTGCAGTCTACAGAGGGCACACTCTATACACCCTACACCTGCAGTCTACAGAGGGCACACTCT